CTCCGTCTCAACAAATGAAATAAAATAATAATAAAATAATAAAAATAAAAATAAAAGGAATGGGAGATTTAAAGTGGACTGTGATAATTAGGTAAGAGAATACATGTAAAGTGCTGAGCCCAGAAATGTAATTTTGAAAAACAGCAATGGCCAAAATTCCCTTAAGAGAGAGAATGGCTTTTTGTTTAGCAAAATGGTTTTTTTGTTGTTGTTCTGTTTTGTTTTAGAGATGGGATAAAGCCAGGCACAGTTGGCTCACGCCTGTAATCCCAGCACTTTGGGAGGCCAAGGCGGGCAGGAGTTCGAGACCAGCCTAACCAACATGAAGAAACCCCATCTCTACTAAAAATACAAAATTAGCCAGGCGTGGTGGCATGCACCTGCAATCCCAGCTACTCCGGTGGCTGAGGCAGAAGAATTTCTTGAACCCAGGAGGCGGAGGTTGTGGTGAGCCAAGATCACATCACTGTACTCCAGCCTGGGCAACAAGAGCAAGACTCACTCTCAAAAAAAAAAAAGGTAAGGTAGGATCTTGCTGTTTGCCCATATAGACTTGAACTCCCGGGCTCCAACTGCCTCCAGATCTCCCCACTTAGGCGCCTAAATAGCTGGGGCTACAGGTGCATGTCATTATGCCCAGCTCTGTTCAGCAGAATCTGTTAGTGGTCTTCAGCACTTTCTAGTTCTAGACTTTGGATAAATTATTCCACCTCTCTGTGTTCTTCAGTTTCCTTATCTGCACCATGGAGATAATAATAGAACATCCCTCAAACATTGTTATGTGGGCTAAAAAAATTAATTGAGGGAAAACATTTGCTGAACAGTGTCTGGCATATGGACAACAAGGCAACTATGAGTAAGATTAACAGTGTTAACTGAGGCCAGGCATAGTGGCTCACGCCTGTGAGCCCAGCAATTTGGAAAGCTGAGGCTGAAGGATCCCTTGAGCCCAGGAGCTTGAGACCAGCCTGGGCAACACAGTGAGAACTTGTCTCTTAAAAAAAGTTTAGGTCAGGCACGGTGGCTCAAGCCTGTAATCCTAGCACTTTGGGAGGCCGAGGTGAGTGGATCACGAGGTCAGGAGTTCAAGACCAGCTTGGCCATCATGGTGAAATCCTATCAAAAAACAAAAATAAAATAATAAAAAGTTTAGGCCGGGCGCGGTGGCTCAAGCCTGTAATCCAAGCACTTTGGGAGGCCGAGGAGGGTGGATCATGAGGTCAAGAGCTCGAGACCATCCTGGTCAACATGGTGAAACCCTGTCTCTACTAAAAATACAAAAAATTAGCCGGGCATGGTGGTGTGTGCCTGTAATCCCAGCTACTCAGGAGGCTGAGGCAGGAGAATTGCCTGAACCCAGGAGGCGGAGGTTGCGGTGAGCCGAGATGGCACCATTGCACTCCAGCCTGGGTAACAAGAGCAAAACTCCGTCTCAAAAAAAAAAAAAAAATTAAAAGTTTAAAAATTAGGCCAGGCACAGTGGCTCACACTTGTAATCACTTTGGGAGGCCGAAGGGGGTAGATCACAAGGTCAGGAGTTTGAGACCAGCCTGGCCAACATGGTGAAACCCCGTCTCTACTAAAAATACAAAAATTAGCAGGGTGTAGTGGTACGCGCCTGTAGTCCCAGCTACTTGGGAGACTGAGGCAGGAGAATCACTTGAACCCTAGAGACAGAGCTTTCAGTGAGTCAAGATCACACTACTGCAAAACTCCGTCTCAAAAAAAAAAAAAGTTTAAAAATTAGCTGGGTGGTGGCACATGCCTGCAGTCCCAGCTATTTGAGAGGTTGAGGTGGGAGGATCACCTGAGCCCAGGATTTGGTGACTGCAGTGAGCTATGATCGCACCACTGCGTTCCAGCCTGGGCAACAGAGCAAGATGCTGCCTCTAAAAAAAAATAATAATATTTTAAAAAGCAGTATTTAATCATATTTACGTAATAATTTATTACAAAAATAATGAATGAATGAACCGTCAACCTCTGGGCACCAACAGTCTTCCTGGAGTCAGCACTCTTGTCAATGTTGATTCAATGAAGGAAGGAATCCAGGACAAGTTTTCGGGTGGCCCTAGGGGGCTGGTGGCAGGAGTAGCAGGGCAAGACAGCCTTGGGTTTGAGGGAGAAAACTCAAAGTCCAAAGCCTCTACCCACCCAATCCCACCTGACCCAACTCAACATGCACCCGTTCTCCATTACTCCTAATGAAACTCAATCCAACTGCCCATCGACTGATGAATGAATAAGCCAAACGTGGCAGGCGACTGAATATTACTTGACAATAAAAAGGAATGAAGTGCTGATGCAGCTCCAAATAGACCCGGACACCAGCTGGGCGCTGCGGCACATGCCTGTAACCCCAGCTTGAGGTGGGCGGATCACTTGAGGCCAGGAGTTCGAGGCCAGCCTGGCCGACATGGTGAAACCCCCTTTTTACTAAAAATATAAAAATTAGCCAGGGATGGTGGTGCGTGCCTGTAATCCCAGTTACTGGGGAGGCTGAGACAGGAAAATTGCTTGAACCCTGGAGGTGGAGGTTGCAGTGAGCTGAGGTTGTGCCACTGTACTCCAGCCTGGGTGACAGAGGGAGACTCTGCCCCGAAAACAAACAAACAAAAAAACACTATAAAGCATTTTGCTGAAATGCCAGACACAAAGGGCCACATATTGTGTGATTCCATTTATTTTTACTTATTCTTTAAGAGACATGGTCTCGCTCTCTTGCCCAGCTGGAGTACAGTGGCATGGTCACAGCTCACTGCAGCCTCCAACTCCTGGGCTCCAGTGATTCTCCCTCCTCAGCCTCCTGAGTAGCTGGGACTGCAGATGTGCACCATTGTACCTGGCTAATGTTTTTACTTTTTATTTTTGTAGAGATGGGGTCTTGCTATGTTGCCCAGGCTGGTATGGAACTCCTGGCCTCATGCCATCCTCCTGCCTTGGCCTCCCAAAGTGCTGGGATCACTCAGCCTGATTCCATTGTATGAAATGGACATTTCAGTCCAGAACAGGCAAATCCTTAGGGAAAGAAAGCAGATTCATAGTTGCCTACAGTTGGGAGGTTGGAAAGAGATGAGGAGTGACCACTAGTGGGTATAGAATATCTTTTGGGGTGATGAAAATTCTAAAATTGATTGTGTTGATGGTTGCACAAGTCTGTGAATGCACTAAGAACCATTTAATTATACAGCTTAGATGGGTGAATTCATGGCATGTGAATTCTATCTCAATAAAAAATCAGTTAAAGAACACACCTCAAACCAACATCTAATTCCTAATTCAAATCATCCCAAACCAAACTTTTTTTTTTTTTTTAGACAAAGTCTTGCTGTGGTGTTACCCAGGCTGGAGCACAGTGGTACAATCTCAGATCACTGCAGCCTCTGCTTCCCAGGCTCAAGTGACCCTCCCACCTCAGCCTCCTGAGTAGCTGGGACCACAGGCATGCTCCTCCATGTGCAGCTAATTAAAATCATATATATATATATATATAGTGGCTCATGTCTGTAATCTCAGAACTTTTGGAGGCTGAGTTGGGCGGATCACAAGGTCAGGAGTTCGAGACCAGCCTGATCAACATGGTGAAACCCTGTCTCTACTAAAATACAAAAATTAGCCGGGTGTGGTGGCGGGCACCTGTAATCCCAGCTATTCAGGAGGCTGAGGCAGGAGACTCGCTTGAACCCGGGAGACAGAGGTTGCAGTGAGCTGAGATCACAGCAGTGCACTCCAGCCTGGGGGACAGAGCTAGACTCCACCTCAAAAAAAAAAAAAAAAAAATCTTATAAAGAGGCCAAACTTCTGGGTTAAGCTGACGTGGGCCTCCCATCTCAAGCTATTTTCAACTTTTTTTAGGAGCCTGGATGAATAAATAGGCCTATAATCTCCAGCGAGTCTCATTATAATTGGATTCTCAAAAGACATACCTGATTAATATAGGTGATAACAGGTACGTCAGATGAGACAAGAGCAAGACCCCAGGAGAGATATATCACACACCAGATGAAAGAGATCAGGAGTTGGGAGAGGTGCTCATGCTTGTAATCTCAGCAGCTCAGGAGCCTGAGGCAGGGGGATCGCTTGAGGCCAGGAGTTTGAGTCCAGCCTGGGCAACGAAGCAAGGCACCATCTCTACACACACACACACACACACACACACACACACACACACACACACAAAACAAACAAAATCCCAGCTGGGTGTGATGGTACATGTCTGTGGTCCCAGGTACTCAGGAGGCTGAGGAAGGAGGATCACTTGAGTCCAAGAGTTGGAGGCCGCAGTGAGCCAGGATCATGCCCTTGCACTCCAGCCTGGGCAACAAAATGAGATCCAGTCTCTAAAAATGAACAAAGGCCAGGCACAGTGGCTTACGCCTGTAATCCCAGCACTCTGGGAGGCCGAGGCAGATGGATCACCTGAGGTCAAGGGTTCAAGACCAGCCTGGCCAACATGGTGAAACCCTGTGTCTACTAAAAATACAAAAAATTGGCCGGGCGCGGTGGTTCAGGCCTATAATCCCAGCACTTTGGGAGGCTGAGGTGGGTGGTTCACGAGGTCAAGAGATCGAGACCATCCTGGTCAACAAGGTGAAACCCTGTCTCTGCTAAAATTACAAAAATTAGCTGGGTATGATGGTGCATGCCTGTAGACCCAGCTACTCGGGAGGCTGAGGCAGGAGAATTGCTTGAACCCAGGAGGCAGAGGTTGCGGTGAGCCAAGATTGTGCCATTGCACTCCAGTCTGGATAACAACGAAACTCCATCTCAAAAAAAAAAAAAAAAAAAAAAAAAATTAGCTGGGTGTGCTGGCAGAGCCCGGCAATCCCAGCTTCTAGGGAGGCTGAGGCAGGAGAATCGCTTGAACCTGGGAGGCAGAGGTTGCAATGAGCCAAGATCGTGCCACCGCACTCCAGCCTGTATGACAGAGCAAGACTCTGTCTCAAAAATAAATAAACACAAAAACAAAAAATTAAAAAAAAGAAACACAGAGACAGAAACACAGTTCATCGGTTTATTCTCAGATTTGAGATGCAAATTATGCCCTATGGCCTGGGGACGGGAGGCCGGGCTTGGGCTGGAATCTCTCATCATATCCCAGCCTTCCCTAAGGAGAAAGCAGATGAAATCTACAACAGGAGGGTATTTTCCCCTTTAATACAGACCCAGGTATAAATAGGGCAGCACCATTAGGATCCTGATTCTCTCCCCACCATCTTGGTCCCCAAACCACCTGGCATGGCAAGGTTAGCCTGGGCAGGTGGGGAGAACGGGGAGTGGATTTGCAGAGCTGGGCTGAGGCAGGAGAAGAAACAGCTCAGTCAAGGGAAGTCCCACTTCCCTCTGTAGTCTGACTTCAGCCCTTTCACCATGGAAATAGAAAGGATCAAAGGGGGTGGGGGGGAGGGTCCCAGCCTGGGATCAGGAGACATCCAGTGCTTAACTCTGGGGAGGGGTAGCACCAAAAGGTGTGAAAGGCAGTGATGGAGGAGTGAGGAGGCAGGCATTGGGGATGGGGGGGGATATCGTTCATCAGCTCTAAGTTAGAAGCTCATTACATGGGAGTTCAAGGGATGGGGGTAGAGGCTTGGGTGAAAAGGGAGGGGAGAAAGAGCCAGACTGCAGTTTGCCACCTAAAATGGGGTGGGAGGAGGCTGGACCTTTGGGCCAGGGAAACCCAGCCACCAGTGCCCTGGAAAGGAGAAGGAATGACTAACCGTGATGAGCGAAGTCACATCCCATTGGCTCCAGAGTCACAGGTAACGATAAATAGGGTGGCTTCAAAGCCTCAGCACCAAATGCACCCCATTTTGGGGCTCCCTTATGATCCCTCCCACCCCAAACACTCTCAGCTGCTGAAGCAGACAGGGCCCAGTTCAAATCCAAACTTCTGGTTCGTCTGGCCAAAGTCAGTGGCCGCCACATCCCACAGGGGCAGAAATCCCGCTCGAGAAGAGCTGAATTCGAAAATGGTCTTTGTCTGTCCTTTCCGGAGCTGTCCACAGAGAAGACAGGGATGGCGAGTTATGGGGAGGGTGGCTGAGGTCTTGCCTCCCCTCTCCAGCCGGCCTCTGCCCCACCCTCTTACCCGGCAGCCGTCCTGGGGGACACTGACGGTGGCTGCTGTCATCTGGTTGAAGGACAGCTCCTCTCCATTGGTGCCAAGGAAGCGGGCGGAGCGGCTGTGGTCACCTGTGGCTTGGTCCAGCCAGGCAGCCGCATTCTGGCAGGAGTAGGTGAAGCTCTGGCGAGCTGTGGCACTCAGCAGTTTCAGGAAGTTCAGCTGCACGACATTCACTGGGGCCCCGTCGGCGTCCACGTAGGAGAACTGGTGGGAGGAGGTCAAGGCAGAGGGGGAAGGGGCTCCATGAGCCTCTATGTTTTCTGCAGAACCACACCCCCCAGTCTCCACCTGCTGGCAGAGCAGCCACCCCTCCCATGTTGCCATCTCGGAGGAGGTCCCTCCAGCCTCCTGGAGATCCCTGGCAGAACTACAAAAGTCATCTGAGCATCCACCCATCCCCCTCTCCATCCAGGGGGTCTCCATGCCCACTCCACCTGACCTCCCAAATTTTGATTGCTTCATCCACCAATCCAGGAATTTTTTTTTTTTTTTTTTTTGAGACGGAGTCTCGCTCTGTCGCCCAGGCTGGAGTGCAGTGGCGCTATCTCGGCTCACTGCAACCTCCACCTCCTGGGTTTAAACAGTTCTCTCCCTCAGCCCCCGGAGTAGCTGGGACTGCAGGCACTTGCCACCATGCCCGGCTCATTTTTGTATTTTTAGTAGAGACAGGGTTTGACCATCTTGGCCAGGCTGGTCTTGATCCTGACCTCGTGATCTACCCGTCTTGGTCTCCCAAAGTGCTGGGATTACAGGCATGCACCATTTCAGGGTTTTAACACACTCATTCCCATGCAGAAGCCACAACTCTACTTCCACTCTTGTGAGCCGCTGGATCTACAGACCTCACTGTCTCCTAAACACCTGATTTCTGCCCTGTCCAATATGGCAGCCACGTGTCTAATGACCATGTGGCTTCTGAGCACTTGAAATGAGGCCGATTCGAAGGAGGGAATTTTTTTTAACTTTATTTAGTTTTTTCCCCCCTTTTTTGGGTGGAGGTTGGGGTCTCGCTCTTTCACCCAGGGGTGAGTGCACTGGCACAATCCCAGCCCACTCCAGCCTCCATCTCCTAGCCTCAAGTTATCCTCCCATCTTGGCCTCCCAAGCAGCTGGGACTACAGGTGCACACAACCATGCCTGGCTGGCACGTTTTTTTCTTTTTTTTTTTTCCACTCTGTTGACCAGGCTGAAGTGTACTGGTGCGATCTCAGCTCACTGTAACCTCTACCTCCCGAGTTCAAGCGATTCTCCTGCTTCAGCCTCCCAAGTAGCTGGGACTACAGGCATGCTCCACCATGCCTGGCTAAGTTTTATATTTTTAATAGAGACAGGATTTCATCATGTTGGCCAGGATGGTCTCGATTCCTTGACCTTGTGATCCACCCACCTCGGCCTCCCAAAGTGCTGTGATTACAGGCCTGAGCCACCACGCCCAGCTGCCTGGCTGGGGCTTTTTTCTTTTTCAACTTCATTTAAGTTTTTTACAAGAAAAAATTCATAACTAATGACTGAGCTTCAATCCGGTTACCAGAAAGCTTATGCTCGGAACAACTTGAGTCTGAATCTACTTTTTAAACTGTTGTCCATGGTTTTACGAAATCTAAATATAGACCAAGTATTGCCAATAAAATTTAGCATTCAAATTGTGATGTAAAATCTGCACCAGATTTTGAAGAGCTAATATGAAAAAATAGAAAATATCTTAACAATGCTTTTTGTTTGTTTGTTTTGAGGCGGAATCTTGCTCTGTTGCCCAGGCTGGAGTGCAGTGGCGCAGTCCTGGCTCACTCCAACCTCTGCCTCCTTGGTTCAAGCAATTCTCCTGCCTCAACCTCTCGAGTAGCTGGGATTACAGGCATGTGCCACCATGCCCGGCTAATTTTTCGTATTTTTAGTAAAGATGGGTTTTTATCATGTTGGCCAGGCTGGCCTCAAATTCCTGACCTCAAGTGATCCACCTGCCTCGGCCTCCCAAAGTGCTGGGAATACAGTCAGGAGCCATTGTGTCCAGCCATGTGGCTTTTTCTTCTTCAAATTCACCAGATCCTGTCTTGACTCTGAGCCTTTGCATATACCATTCCCTCTCCCTGGAACAATTGTTCTTGTCCTTCCTAGCTTGCTAACACAATACCTTCTGTTTTTTTGTTTGTTTTTGAGACAGAGTCTTGTTCTGTTACCCAGGCTGGAGTGTAGCGGCGTGATCTTGGCTCACTGCCACCTCTGCCTCCCATGTTCAAGCAATTCTCTGCCTCAGCCTCCTGAGCAGTTGGGAGTATAGGCACCTGCCACCATATCCAGTTTTTTTCTTCTTCTTCTTCTTCTTTTTTTTTTTTTTTGAGACGGAGTTTCACTCTTGTTGCCCAGGCTGGAGTGCAATGGAGCACTGTCAGCTCGTCACAACCTCTGCCTCCCGGATTCAAGTGATTCTCTGGCCTCAGCCTCCCAAGTAGCTAGGATTACAGGCATGTGCTACCACGCCCAGCTAATTTTGTATTTTTAGTAGTAGAGATGGGGTTTCTCCATATTGGTCAGCCTGGTCTTGAACTCCTGACCTCGTGAATCACCCGGCCTCGTGAATCACATTGGCCTCCTAAAGTGCTGGGTGAGCCATTGCGACCAGCCACACAATGCATTCTTTAGGCTTCGGATGAGCTGTGATCTCTACCAGGAAGCCTTCTGGTCTTTCCAGCACTGCCTCTGAATTTCCACCATGCCCTGTGCTTCCCCTGTCCTGGCATCATCATTCTGTATGGCAATTGACTGCCTGTTCCGCATCTGATGCTGCTGCCACCCCACCTCTAGCCTGCAATCCCTAGGAAGGTGGAGGAGAGTCTGTCCTGTTCATCTCACTTCTACGAACCCATCCCTCAACCGCCCCCCTGCTGGTTTCCATCCCTTTCCATGCCACCCCCACCTCGGCCTCTGGTGACTCACCTTCTTCCCTCGACGGAATGTGCTATACCAGCCTCCAGGCTTTTCCCTGGACCAGGAGGCCAATTTCACCTGGAGGAGAAAGGGGAAGGTCACTGTTGCAGATGCCCTTGGTGCCACCTAGATCCCACCTGCATTTACCTCCTCACACCAAAGGCTGCTGACTGTGACTATGTCAGGATGTTCTCCGGCTCCTGGGACAGATGGGCTCTGCCAGTGCACAATCAGGGAAAGGGGGTTCATGCCCCTGAGGCAGCCCTCATCCAATGACTGATGAGAGTTGGTGGATAGATACCCCAGGTCCCTTGCCTCCAAGGGGGATAACTCTCAGGTGCCTGTGCTACACAGTCTCCCAGGGTTCCCCAGTGGGACTGAGCTCTGGGTCCCCAGATGATACCATTTTATTTATTTAATTGATTAATTTATTTTTGAGGCAGGGTCTCACTCTATCACTCAGGCTGAAATCCAGTGACATAATCTTAGCTCACTGCAGCTTCAAACTCCTGGGCTTTGAAGCAATCCTCCCACTGCAGCCTCCTGAGTAGCTGGAACTACAAGCGTGCACCATGCCCAGCTTTTTAATTTTTTCTTTTATTTTTTGAGAGTCTTATTCTGTCACCCAGGCTGGAGTGCAGTGGTGTGATCACTGGCCCACTGCAGCCTTGTCCTCCAAAGTTCAAGCCATCCTCTGACCTCAGCCTCCTAAGTAGCTGGGACAATAGGAATATGCCACCGTGCCTGGATTTTTTTTTTTTTTTTTTGGAGCTTGAGTCTTTCTATGTCACCCAGGCTGATCTTGAACTCCTGAGCTCGAGTGATCCTCCCACCTCAGCCTCCCGAAGTGCTGGGATTACATGTATGAACCATGAACCACTGTGCCTAGCCCCAGCCTCTCCCTTTGGGCTAGAAGGTAAGCAGGTGACTGAAGAGGAGGCCCTCAGATGTTAGCAATTGTTTAGGGATCAAGGCCTACGCTCCAGGCCCAGGAAGTGGGAAGTCCAAGGTTGTCTAAATTCCCATCCACTGGGCATCTGAACTCCACTAAACCAGGGGAAGATAGACCAGTTAAAAATAACAACATGGGGCTGGGTGAGGTGGCTCAAACCTGTAATCTCAGCACTTTGGGAGGCCGAAATGGGCGGATCACTTGAGGCCAGGAGTTTGAGACCAGTCTGGCCAATATGGTGAAACCCCATCTCTACTAAAAAATACAATACAAAAATGAACTGGGTGTGGTGGCAGGCACCCAGCCAATTTTTTAATTTTTGTAGAAATGGGGTTTTGCCATGTTGCTCAGGCCGGTCTTGAACTCCTGACTCAAGCAATCCACCCGCCTCAGCCTCCCAAAATGCTGAGATTATAGGCCTGTGCCACCACGCTGGCCTGATTTTTTTTTCTTTTTGATCCTCTGCTGTAGTCTTAGCTATTGAGACAGGACTTGGTATACAGTAAGTGCTCCATAAATGTCAGTTGAAGGAAGGATACCATCGCAGACAAGGTGGGGGTGGGTGTGAGGAACAGGGAACAGCCCTTCTTGGGGGAGGGGATGAGAGGTTTGGGGCACTCACGATCTCAAACTTCTTGTCGGGATAGAGGCAGGTCTCTCCTCCCGCCGTGAAGTTGCAAAAAACCCTGAAGGAGTCCCGCGCGCAGCCCTGGTTGGGGTCAATCCAGTATTCCCCTGCCGCAGAGCCAGGCAGGGTGGGTGAGTCCGGGCAGACCCGACGGACCCCACCCCCACCCCGCATCGCATCCCAGTGGCGGGGGAACCGGACCTCACCATCAGGCAGGTGCGGGTGGTTGCGGTGCAGCTCGTGGCACACGAGGCCCGGGCGCTCGGCAGTGCCGGGAGGACGCTGCAGCTGCTCCAGCTCCAAGCTCAGCGACGTGAGCGAGGCCAGCACCTCCTCCAGGCCGCCCTCCACGAATGGGAGCGGGACTGGGACCGAGCGCCGGCGCCTGCGCAGCCCATGAAGCTCGGCAGGGGGACCCTGGGCGCGGGGGATGGGGACCGAGGAGAAGAGAGGGGAGATGGGGGAGGAACAGACGGGAGAAAGAGAGACAGGCAGAGATGAAGAGGGAGAGAGACAAACAAGGGGCAGAGACAGAGAAAGGAGAGAGAAGCAGACAGGGAGAGACACACGGGAAAGAGACAGGTTCAGAGATGGGGAGAAGCCAGGTTGTAAGAGGACAAAATAGAAAACCGCAAGAAAAGCAGACGCCGAGCGAGAGAGAGCAGGAAAAAGAGAAGAGATGAAATAGTGGCGCAGGGGAGCCAGAGACAGGTAAGGGAGATGGAGAGAGACAGGAAGGGAGAGATGGGGTCGGAGAGACAAGACCCATGTCAGAGCCCCCATGGGTGTCCCCTTAAACCCCCCTCCCAGCCCAGACCTTCCTTGGTATTTTGCAGGGAACTGCCCTCTTCACCTACATCCCCTGAACACCAGTGTGTGCCTCGCCCAGTGCTGGGCACAGCCTCTGGGGACACCCATAGTCCTTGCTCTCCCCCTAGGCCTTGGCGCCCAGCCCCCTCTCCCTGGGGAACTCACTGGGGGGCCTGGGGGCCCTGCAGGTCCGGTGTCTCCACGGGGGCCCATGGAACCCTGTAGGGAGAAGTCACTTGGAGGGTAAGCTCTGTCTTTGGAGACCCTTCCCACCAACACACACCAACACACCAACACACACCCCCACCAACACACCCACACCCCCACACACCAACACACACACCAATACACGCACAAACACACCAACACACCAATACACACACCAACACATACCAATACCACACATACCAACACACCCCCCACACACACCAACATACCAACACACACACCAACACACACACCAACACACCAATACACACCAACACACACCCACACACATCAACACACCAACACACACCAACACACACACCAACACACACACACCAACACACACACACACAGCCTTGGGGAAAGGACATAGTTTTCAGTACTGAGACACAAATTTTTCTTCCTTCCTTCCTTCCTTCCTTCCTTCCTTCCTTCCTTCCTTCCTTCCTTCCTTCCCTTCCTTCCCTTCCTTCCCTTCCTTCCCTTCCCCTTCCCCTTCCTCTTCCTTCCTTCCTTCCTTCCTTCCTTCCTTCCTTCCTTCCTTCCCTTCCTTCCCTTCCTTTCCTTCCCCTTCCCCTTCCTCTTCCTTCGTTCCTTCTTCTGCTAGAGTGCAGTGGCGCAGTCTTGGCTCACTGCAACCTCTGCCTCCTGGGTTCAAGCGATTCTCCTGCCTCAGCTTCCTGAGTAGCTGTGATTACAGGCGCCCACCAGGATGCCCAGCTAATTTTTGTATTTTCAGTAGAGACCGGGTTTCACCATGTTGGCCAGGCTGGTCTCTAACTCCTGACCTCATGATCAGCCCGCCTCAACCTCCCAAAGTGCTGGGATTACAGGCGTGAGCCACCGCGCCCAGCCACAAATTTTCATGTTTTAATGTCTCTGAAATCAGCATCTTAAAAACTTTGGCAAGTCACCGTTTACTTGGCAGAACTGTTTTCTTTCCTAGCAGCTTATAAAATAATGGTACATCTTATAATTGACGGCATTTTGGATCTGATGAAATACAACAGTAGGTGTTGAATAAATATTTGTCAAAGGCACGATGGCGTGAATGAAGAAAGAAATGAAGGCAGAGGCGTGGAGGCTTCTCATGCAGTGGAGGGGTGGGAGCTGGGCTGCACAAGCCCAGGGAAGGAGGGTGTACTCACCGGAGACCCCTTTGAGCCTTTCTGTCCCAGAGGGCCCTGTGGGGCACAAACAGGGAGAGCTGAGGTCCTAGCCTGGTCTGCCATAGTGACCTCATCCCACAAAAGATTCCCTTCATACTCACCACCATGCCTGGGGGCCCAGGGTGGCCCAGAGAGCCGATGGGACCAGGGGGACCCTTTGGAAAGGACATCAGGGTCAGTATTGGTGGGGTACACCCTACTGCCCTGACAGATCCCCTAGACAAGCCTTCAGTCCCATCCAAGAAAGACCCAAACCCTAGGCAAGCCTCCAATTCCCCAACAGAGAGACCTCAAACCCCAGACCCAGCCTCCAACTTGCCAGTTCCCAGATATAACCCCCTATTTTCCCCAGACACACCCTTATTAATCCAGACCCACGTTTCCTGGACCCCACACCCACAGTCTCCCAACAGCTCCTCCACCCACCCCCTCCTTCAAACATATTTCTCCCACTCAGGGCAGAACACTCACAGGGTCTCCCTTGGGGCCAGGAGGTCCCTGCATGCCTGGTAACCCCTGATCTCCTTTCTCACCAGCTTCCCCCGAGGGGCCAATGAGACCAATCAATCCAATGTGGCCCTGGAGGACAAAAGAGGCACAGACAGGGGAGGACATGGGAGGATGCAGGAGATTTTTCTCCTAGAGCCTTAGGGTGATGAGTTTGGGAGCAGAGGATGCCCTAATCTCCCAGCTCCTGGCCAGGGAGGGAGGGAAAAAGGGGAGGAGATGGGGAAGAGAATAATAAAATGATATTCTTACCTTTTCCCCCTTGGGGCCAGCATCTCCCTTCAGCCCTGGGAGGCCAGAGGGCCCCTGGGAGGAGAGCAATGGTCAGTGAGGGAGTCTCAAATGTGAACACTCAAGGTCTGTGTGGGTGGCTGGGGGATGGTCACATGGGAAATTATGCACACTTCAAATAGGAATGATCAGGGATGGAGTCAAAGCATGGTCAGTGTAGGCCAAGGTGGGATGATGAGAGCCACTGAGGGGTTGATTGGAGGATGGACACTGTGAGTGGTCAGTGGCCAAGGTCAGCATGGATGATCAGTGTAGACTGTCAGGGTGGTGGGTTGGTGTGCTCAGTGTAGATCATCAAAGTGGAGGGTCAGAGCAGAGGGTTAGTAGAGATGGGCAGTGTAGACCATCAGGGTGGCGTGTTAGAGCAGAGGGCTATGGAGACCAGCAGTGTCGACCATCAGGGTGGAGTGTCAGAGCAGAGGGCTATGGAGACCAGCAGTGTAGACCATCAGGGTGGAGGGTCAGAGCAGAGGGCTATGGAGACCAGCAGTGTCGACCATCAGGGTGGAGGGTCAGAGCAGAGGGCTATGGAGACCAGCAGTGTCGACCATCAGGGTGGAGTGTCAGAGCAGAGGGCTATGGAGACCAGCAGTGTAGACCATCAGGGTGGAGGGTCAGAGCAGAGGGCTATGGAGACCAGCAGTGTAGACCGTCAGGGTGGAGTGTTAGAGCAGAGGGCCATGGAGACCAGCAGTGTAGAGCATCAGGGTGGAGGGTCAGAGCAGAGGGCTATGGAGACCAGCAGTGTCGACCATCAGGGTGGAGTGTCAGAGCAGAGGGCCATGTAGACCAGCAGTGTAGACCATCAGGGTGGAGTGTTAGAGCAGAGGGCCATGGAGACCAGCAGTGTAGACCATCAGGGTGGAGTGTCAGAGCAGAGGGCCATGGAGACCAGCAGTGTCGACCATCAGGGTGGAGTGTCAGAGCAGAGGGCCATGGAGACCAGCAGTGTAGACCATCAGGGTGGAGTGTTAGAGCAGAGGGCCATGGAGACTAGCAGTGTAGACCGTCAGGGTGGAGGGTCAGAGCAGAGGGCTATGGAGCCTAGCAGTGTAGACCATCAGGGTGGAGGGTCAGAGCAGAGGGTTATGGAGACTAGCAGTGTAGAGCATCAGGGTGGAGTGTTAGAGCAGAGGGTTATGGAGACTAGCAGTGTAGACCATCAGGGTGGAGTGTTAGAGCAGAGGGTTATGGAGACTAGCAGTGTAGACCATCAGGGTGGAGGGTCAGAGCAGAGGGCTATGGAGACTAGCAGTGTAGACCATCAGGGTGGAGGGTCAGAACAGAGGGCTATGGAGACTAGCAGTGTAGACCATCAGGGTGGAGGGTCAGAGCAGAGGGCTATGGAGACTAGCAGTGTAGACCATCAGGGTGGAGGGTCAGAGCAGAGGGCTATGGAGACCAGCAGTGTAGACCATCAGGGTGGAGGGTCAGAGCAGAGGGCTATGGAGACCAGCAGTGTAGACCATCAGGGTGGAGGGTCAGAGCAGAGGGCTATGGAGACCAGCAGTGTAGACCATCAGGGTGGAGGGTCAGAGCAGAGGGCTATGGAGACCAGCAGTGTAGACCATCAGGGTGGAGTGTTAGAGCAGAGGGCTATGGAGACCAGCAGTGTAGACCATCAGGGTGGAGGGTCAGAGCAGAGGGCTATGGAGACTAGCAGTGTAGACCATCAGGGTGGAGGGTCAGAGCAGAGGGCTATGGAGACTAGCAGTGTAGACCATCAGGGTGGAGGGTCAGAGCAGAGGGCTATGGAGACTAGCAGTGTAGACCATCAGGGTGGAGGGTCAGAGCAGAGGGCTATGGAGACTAGCAGTGTAGACCATCAGGGTGGAGGGTCAGAGCAGAGGGCTATGGAGACCAGCAGTGTAGACCATCAGGGTGGAGTGTTAGAGCAGAGGGCTATGGAGACCAGCAGTGTAGACCATCAGGGTGGAGGGTCAGAGCAGAGGGCTATGGAGACCAGCAGTGTAGACCATCAGGGTGGAGGGTCAGAGCAGAGGGCTATGGAGACTAGCAGTGTAGACCATCAGGGTGGAGGGTCAGAACAGAGGGCTATAGAGACCAGCAGTGTAGACCGTCAGGGTGGAGTGTTAGAGCAGAGGGCTATGGAGACCAGCAGTGTAGACCATCAGGGTGGAGGGTCAGAGCAGAGGGCTATGGAGACTAGCAGTGTAGACCATCAGGGTGGAGGGTCAGAGCAGAGGGCTATGGAGACCAGCAGTGTAGACCATCAGGGTGGAGGGTCAGAGCAGAGGGCTATGGAGACTAGCAGTGTAGACCGTCAGGGTGGAGGGTCAGAGCAGAGGGCTATGGAGACCAGCAGTGTAGACCATCAGGGTGGAGGGTCAGAGCAGAAAGTTAGTAGACACAGACAGTATGGACATTCAGACAGTCAGTGAGGGTCAGCCTGCACCAATGCTGACTAGGTGGTCACTGGGTGCCCAGATTGGTCCTCAGAGCCAGGACCTCAGGGATAAGCAAGTCTCTTACCAGAGGGCCTGGAGGGCCCATCAGTCCAGGGGATCCCAGGAGGCCTGGTTCACCCTGAGGATGAAACAGAATATGGGGTGGGCTGCACCCTGCCAGAACCCACTGTGGACCCCCCGCCACCATGCACCAGAGGCAGCCTCTCCAGATGGTGATGGGATTGCAAGCTGGAAGCAGGTTGGGGGGAGGGGCTGGACCCAGCCTGTCCCACCCCTGCTTCACCCCACTCACCACAGGGCCAGGAATCCCTCGAAGACCTTCGGGCCCCACACGTCCAGGAGGCCCTCGAGCCCCCATTGGACCTGTCCTCCCTGGGGGCCCGTCGGGACCTGGCTCTCCCTGGAATGGACACAGGCAAGGGAGGGGGCCAGAGTCAGAGGATTCCTGCCTCCTGATCCACAGCCAAGAACTACTCAGGACCCAGAAGGAGTGGGTGCCTAGGGTGGTCACGGTCTGTCCTTACCTGGTGGCCCCACTATTGGCCCTTCCCCTTTTCAGGGACCCTTCCCCCTTTCAGGGGGACTCACCTTGGCACCTTTCTCCCCTTCTCTACCTTCTCGACCCATGTGGCCTGAAGGACCCTGGGAAGGGAAAGACAGTTGGGGGGGCTAGGGGCTGACTGAGGGTCTGAGGGGTGACTGGGGGCTGTGGGGTGAGTGGGGTCTGTAAGGTGAGTGGGGTCTGTGGGTGAGTGGGGGCTGTGGGTGAGTGTGGTCTGTAAGATGAGTGTGGTCTGTAAGGTGAGTGGGGTCTGTAAGGTGAGTGGGGTCTGTGGGGTAAGTGGGGGCTGTGGGGTGAGTGCGGTCTATAAGGTGAGTGGGATCTGTAAGGTGAGTGGGGGCTGTGGGGTGAGTGGGGTCTGTGGGGTAAGTGGGGGCTGTGGGGTGAGTGCGGTCTATAAGGTGAGTGGGATCTGTAAGGTGAGTGGGGGCTGTGGGGTGAGTGGAGTTTGTGGGTGAGTGGGGTCTATAAGGTGAGTGGGATCTGTAAGGTGAGTGGGGGCTGTGGGGTGAGTGGAGTCTGTGGGGTGAGTGGGGTCTGTAAGGTGAGTGGGGGCTGTGGGTAGGTCAGGGATCCAGGAGGTGGCTCATCACTTACCCTCTTGCCGGGGGGCCCAGGGGCGCCGGGTTCCCCAGAAGCTCCAGGCGGGCCCTGGAGGAGACAAGGGCACCAGCTGTGGTCTCAGCTAATGTTGTTTGAGCCTCACTGTTTTAGGACACCTTGGACCAGAGGACAGCTTTCCCCAGGCATCACCCCAGCACCGGGCACTCCCACCTCCCACCTGCTCCCTCAAGCTGTTCACATTCCTGGGGGTCCCCAGAGAGGTGAAGCAGGAGCATCTGCAGGGGCCTTGGGTACCCCACTAGCCCACTCCCCTGCCCCCCAATTTACTCATTCATTAGCTTCCCAACCCCCTCCCAGCACCACACCCTCTGTTCCCCCACTCACCGGCCCCCCAACATCACCAGGGTCTCCCTTCTCCCCTGGGGAACCGTCTATGCCCTGTATGGGGGGAAGACAGAGTTGGGTGGGGTGATGAGGGTCCGTGAGAATTTGGGGTGGGGCTGGGAGGCAAATGAAGGTTATTGGTTCCACTGTCAGTGCCCAGGTCTGTGGGGGTGGGGAGACGGGGACACAATCAGGAAACATGTCAGGATTGGGGAGGAGAGGGGGTCACACTCACTGAAACTCCAGGGTCTCCTGGGGGCCCTAGATCTCCGGGGAGCCCTGTGGGGCCCTGGAACACAGAATGATTAATAATCACATCTCTGAATTGTTGAGCAATCATGCATTTATGAAACAGATCAACTGTATCCAGGAACAGTTTGCTTTCTGGGGACACATTTGTGAGCAAAACATAAAATCCCCGGCCTGGTAGAGCAAACATTCTCCCATTTCATGGGTGCAGGCTCTGAGCTAAGAATGCTGCATGCATGGTCTCACTGCAGCCTCCTCACAGCCTCCCAGCTTGGGACTCACAGAGAAAACTGGCCATTCACTTGTCTATTCATTCATTCATTCATTCATTCATTCATTCATTCATTCATTCATGTATCTATACACTCAGAGAAGGGACATTCTGAACGATGAGACTCAAGTGGAGGTCCCAATGATGTTAAAGCCCCTCCCTGACCTCCACCCACCCCAGACCCTACTGTGGTGGCAAAAGGGCCTCAACCTTCACCTCAACACCAAATCCCACATCCACTCCCAATGTGACCCAATTCAATCTTCACCTTTACAACAGTGTTAGAATGATTCACTGTGAAATCAACTTTCATGCCATACAATGATGTATAACCACTGTATATATATGTTTCTTTGGTGTGTGTGTGTATTTTTTTTTTTTTAGTAGAGACGGGGTTTCACCATATTGGCCAGGCTGGTCTTGAACTCCTGACCTTGTGATCTGCCCACCTTGGTCTCTGAAAGTGCTGGGATTACAGGTGTGAGCCACCGTGTCCGGCCATTTCTGTTTCATTCACACATTTATTCACTAATTTACTCATCCATCCACCCACCCATCCATCCATCCATCCATCCATCCGTCCGTCCGTCCGTCCGTCCGTCCGTCCATCCATCCATCTATCCATCCATCCATCCATCCATCCATCCATCCGTCCATCCATCCATCTATCCATCTATCCATTCACTCATCTGTTCAGTAATTTTGTTCACTTATGCATCTATCCATTCATTCAGTCATCCATTCACACATTCACTCACTCATTTGTCCATTTGGCCACTCATTTATTCATCCATTCATTCACATTCATGCACCATTAATCTACTTGTTCATCCATTAATTTACTCATTTGTTCATTCATTCACTCATTTATTCATACACATTTATTCATTCGCATATTCATCTATCCACTGATTTATTCACTTATCCATTCATTAATTCACTCATTCATCTATTCATCCATTTATTTATTGAGACAAAGTCTCGCTCTGTCGCCCATTCTGGAGTGCAGTGGCACAATCTCGGCTCACTGCAACCTCTGCCTCCCAGGTTCAAGCATTTCTCCTGCCTCAGCCTCCCAAGTAGCTGGGACTACAGGCACATGCCACCATGCCTGGATAATTTTTGTATCTCTTTTAGTTGAGACAGGGTTTCACCATATTGGCCAGGCTGGTCTCAAACTCCTGACCTTGTGACCCACCCGCCTTGGCCTCCCAAAGTGCTGGGATTACAGGCGTGAGCCATTGAACCTGGCCACTTGTTTATTCATCCATCCATCCATCCACCCATTTGTTCATTCATCCATGTTCTGGAGGTTGCTTATGAAATCAGTAAAAAGTTTGGGAGAGCTTCAAGCACACTCAAGCGCTTCCTCACATGTCTGCCTCCACTTCCCCCCAGGACTCACCATGTTCCCTTTGGCTCCATCCTCTCCAGGGGGACCTTTCTTGCCTGGAGGTCCAGCAGCTCCAGATGGGCCTGAGTCCCCCTTTTCACCAATGTCTCCTTTGGGCCCCTTGACAGAAACAGGTCAGAGGTCAGAGTGGCCTGGACTGCCCAGGGATCGAGGATCAGCATTGGATTCAGGCATTGGGTGGTCTGGGACTTTTCTGGGGTCAGGGTTCAGAGTAGACTAGGCTGTCCAAGGATCAAAGGTCAGAAGGAGCTAGGACTTATGACAGTGAAAGGTCAGGATGATATAGGTGCCCACTGGTTATGTGCAAGGTTGGCCTAGCCCATGTGCTGCCCTTGAGTGAATTAGAAGATGGGCCCCCTCTGGGCAACTCATCCTCAAGTCAGGACTCATGACGCAGATTGGAGCCCTCACCTATCCTCTGGGCCATGCAGTCTTGTGCAGTGTGCAACCTGCAGAACTGTACATAGCAGCCCTGTCTGAAACCTTCCAGGTTTCCTTCCTCAAGGTAATCAGGGATGCCCACAGGACAGGGGTGAGTGGATGACCTTCGACTGCACAGAGTTTAAGGTGGCCCAAGATGCCCAGGGGTCAGGAGTTCCCTGAGATGAGTACAGGGACCACATCACATAGTCACTCACCAGGATGCCCGGGGCTCCTGGTGGCCCTGGGTCTCCAGCCTCCCCTGGCTCACCCTGCAAGAGGCAAAGTGAGGATGGGGAGAGGTCCTATCCTAGCAGACAGGGAGGGGCTCCCCAGAATGGCCCTGCCCCATAGGACTGGATTTGCCTCTTCCCCCCATGCAGCCCCTGCTTTCCCCCACTCACCTTCTCACCCACAGCGCCTGGCTGACCAACTCCTCCAGGCAGCCCTGGAGTGCCCTGGAGAGACAGCAAGGGGTAGGAATGGGACTGTGGAATCCCAACATCCTCTTACATCCTCTTACTAGGAAATGGGTGTCACCATCTCTGAACCATCTTGGCCCCCCAAGAGTTCTCACCTCTGATCCACTGGGGCCTTGGGGACCCCGAGGACCTGGAGCTCCATGGGGACCCTGTGGAAGGGTCAGAATAGTATCCAGTGACTCCATGGCCCCCAAAAGGCCACGGTGACCACAGATACCACTCTCGATGCTACTTACCCTTAAGGACCTTAAAGTGACAATGTCCCTCAAATGAATCTAATGCCTCCCCCAACCCTATAACGCCACCATCCTCCCCCCACCCCCAACCTTTCCCTGAGAGTGCATACCATGGACCCAACGTCTCCAACCTCCCCTTTCTCTCCAGGAGGGCCTGGCAGCCCCTGTGGAACAAAGAAGCAAGATTGGGGCACCAGGTAGGGAGACTCAGAGGTGCCAACCCCAAACCCAGACACCTACCTGCAATCCAGGAGGGCCAATCACCCCCACAAAGCCTCTGACTCCATCATCTCCTTTCTGCCCAAAGAGGCCTGGGGGTCCCCGGCGCCCCTGAGCCCCGTCTGCTCCCTGGAAGAATGCAGACAGGGTCATATTTGGGATCTGGGTCAGGGATTAGTGTACAGTGAGGCTCAAGGGTCAGGACTGAGGTTAAGGGTCAGAGTCAGGGTTCAGATTAAGTTTAGGGAGGGTCAGGGTTGAGTTTGGAGTTGGGGTCCAGGTTAAGGAATGGGGCTTTGAAATGAAGTCAAGGGTTGAGTCAAGGTGTTAAGCAGTGAGTTGGATTCCGTTCACGGGCAGGGTTCAAATGGGGTTGAGATGGGATTTAGCATTGGGTTTAAGGTTGGGGCCAAGGTTGGGGCCAGGGTCATATTCAAAGTCTGAGTTCAGGTCTGGGGTCAGCATTGGAAGAGTGGGTCAGAGCCGGGGTTAAAAATAGGGCTGTATGTTCCTATAGTTTGTTAATAAACAAACAAAAAGGAGAGGTCTGGGTCATGGCTTGTTTAAGAGATTTGTTTGGTTGGTTGTTTTTGCTTGCTTCATTTTGCTTTTTTTTTTTCCTTTTGAGACGGAGTTTCGCTCTTGTTACCCAGGCTGGAGTGCAATGGCGCGATCTTGGCTGACCACAACCTCCGCCTCCTGGGTTCAAGCAATTCTCCTGCCTCAGCCTCCTGAGTAGCTGGGACTACAGGTGCGCACCACCATGCCCAGTTAATTTTTGTATTTTTAGTAGAGACAGGGTTTCACCTTGTTGACCAGGATGGTCTCGATCTCTTGACCTTGTGATCCACCCACCTCGGCCTCCCAAAGTGCTGGGATTTTAGGCGTGAGCCACCATGCCCAGCCTGTTTCATTTTGTTTTAAGGAGTCTCACTCTGTCATCCAGGCTGGAGTGCAGACCTTGGCTCACTGCAACCTCTGCCTCCCCAATTCAAGCAATTCTCCTGCTTCAGCCTCCCGAGTAGCTGGGATTACAAGTGTGTGCCACCCATGCCTGGCTTTTTTTTTTTTTTTTTGAGATGGGTGGAGTGCAGTGGTGCAAATCTTGGCTCACTGCAATCTCTGCCTCCTGGATTCAAGCAATTCTCCTGTTACAGCCTCCTGAGTAGCTGGGATTATAGGCGCCTGCCACCAAGTCCAACTAACTTTTTTTGTATTTTTAGTAGAGATGGGGTTTCGCTATTTGGCCAGGCTGGTCTCGAACTCCTGACCTCAGGTGATCCACCCGCCTTGGCCTCCGAAAGTACTGGGATTACTGGCAGGAGCCACCACGCCTGGACGAAGATCAGGTTTGAGTAGGACTGAGGTTAAGGTCATGAGCAGAGTTGAGATGGGGCTAAAATGGGGTTCAGAGCTGGGTTTAGGTTGGAACTGAGTCCAATTGTAGGGTTGAATTCACATTGGGCATCAATATAGGGGGGCAGATTAAGGTTGAGGATGAGGTCGAGACTCAATCAGACTCGGGGTGCGTTCACATTGGGTGTTGGTATTGAGGGGACACATGGTTGGGTTGGGATTGAGTCAGATTCTGGGGTTGAGTTCACACCGGGTGTCGGCATTGGGGGAGGACCAGGGTTGGGTCTGGGGTTGCGACTGAGTCGGTGAGTTTCCACTGTCATTTGCACCCAGTATCCCTTCCCATCAAGGGTCCAGAGAAGGACAACAAAGCCGTGAGCACTCACTGGGGGACCTGGGTGTCCTGCAGGACCCCGTATCCCTGCTGGTCCAGGTGGGCCCTGGGAGAACAGGAAACAGAATAAAAAACTCCCTCAGGTTTAAGATCAGAGAGGGCACTAGAAATATCAATCAGCACCTCCCTGCCCACACCCTTCATGAGAACAACTTCCCCTACCCGGCAGCAACAGCTGCATCTCCCCAAATCCTGGCTTCTCAGCCACCAGCTAATGGGACCAGAGAGACATCTGTCCTAAGCCCAGCCCTGGCCATCAGGATCTTTCCCCACAAGTTCTACCAAGACCAGGGGCAAAGCTGGCTCAGTGATGGGAGACACTGGAATCAGATGCCTCAGCGCCTGCCATGCGGAGTCACAGGCAGAGGGAAGAACGTGTCACTAAGAAGGGAGAAGGAGTTCACCCCCACCCCAGTGCCTTTCCAGTTCTTCAGGAGCCCCAGCTATCCTTAGCCTGTCTGCAGTTGGGTTCTGTGGCCCCATTGCTCTAGCCAGCTCAAGTACCTTTTGTTGCATGTAGGTGTCAAGATGGTGCCTGGGAAGGCAGGAAACTCCATGGCCTCTCCTACCCCATAGAAATGATCTCTACGTCCCTGGCCTCCTCTCTTCTGCTACCTGCCCGCCCCGCCTCACTGGGGATCTCCACTCACCGCATCTCCTTTATCGCCTTTGATCCCCTTGTGACCGGGGGCGCCCACGTCCCCCTGCAGAGGAAATGGGATGAAGGACCCAGCTGCCATTCACCCCCATTCTCCCCTGGACCCTTTCTCTCTGTGAACCCCTCACCTTGTCCCCTTCCTCGCCAGAAGGCCCAGCAGCTCCAGAGGGTCCCAGAGGCCCTAAGGGCCCTGGGATCCCATCCTTGCCAGTGGCGCCAGGGGGACCACGTTCTCCCTGTTGTGGGGAATGGAAAGGGGGATGTCAGGGGAGGAATGTCCTGCAGGAGCCCAGTCCTGGGATGTGGCACGGCCAGACCCTGAGGGGGCCCTAGGAATGGGATGGGCAGGTCACTTACTGGGGACCCCTTCTCGCCTGCAGGCCCAATGGGGCCCTGGTTGCCACTTTGGCCAGGAAGTCCAATGCCTCCTGCTGGGCCCAAAGGACCCCGCTCACCAGGGGAGCCCTGAAAACAGAGGTAACAGATCAAGAATAATATGAGTAGTAGCCCTCCTTTATGGAGGGTTTTTAAGCCACCAGGCACTGAGTTCTGTGATTATCAGGATGGTATCTAACTCGTTCCCTTCCTGCAGCAGCCAGAGGTGCCTGTGAGCATGTGAGGGGCAAGGCATGTTCCTCTTCTGCTCAAGAACACTCCATGTTTCCCATATCACTTAGAGCAAAAGCCAAAGTCCTCTTGGCAGCCTATACACACACACAGACACACACATATAAATACACACATACATGTATTTATCTACATATATACACACACATATATTTATATACATATATACACATACATACATATGTATTTGTGTGTATGGATATATGTATATATATGTGTATGTATGTATTGGTAGAGACAGAGTCTGCTATGTTACCCAGGCTGGCCTCAAACTCCTGGGCTCCAGCAATCCTCCAGCCTCAGCCTCCCAAAGTGCTGGGATTACAAGCATGAGCCACCACGCCTGGCCCAAGAAAAAGGGTTTTTATATGTTGGTGGCCAACACACAGGTAAGTATTTGTTGGATAAATTGTCTCATTGAAGCTTGTGATCATACTTGAGATGAGGCTTCTCATCATGGCTATTTTACAGACAAGGAAACTGAGGCTTGCCAAGGAATACAACTGCCCAGCCAGTGAGCAACAGAACTGATCTCGGCTCACTGCAACCTCCACCGCCCAGGTTCAAGAGATTCTCCTGCCTCAGCCTCCAGAGTAGCTGGGATTACAGGCATCCACCACCATGTCTGGCTAATTTTTGTATTTTGAGTAGAAAGAGGTTTCCACCATGTTGGTCAGGCTGGTCTCAAACTCCTGACCTCAACTGATCCACCCACCTCGGTCTCCATCATGGGTTTTATCACGACAGTGTCAAGCTTCCAAGACACCTTGAGTCCCCTCCACCCTGCCCCCTCCCCAGCACATAGGGTTATACTTACATTGGCCCCGACGGGCCCTGGGGGTCCCTTGTCACCCTTCAAACCAGTAGGTCCCTGAAGGAGGAGATAATTTACAGTCAAGAGACTCCCAAGGGTGTCCCCAAGTCCTGTTTTCCTCTAGGGGGAGCTCACAGTCCTCACTCCTCTCCTGGGACCGGACACTGAGCTTTGAGGGGTCTGCCCTTCCCAGTTCCCGCCGCCATCTTTTTTCTTTCATCATTTCCCCTACTCTAAATGCCATTCCTCCATCCCCCTGCGGCCCCCCATCCTTTCCTTCTCTAAGGGACAGGCAAGAGGGTCTCCAAAGATACTCACCGGGTCCCCAGGGGCCCCCTTGGGGCCGGGAAAGCCCCTGGGTCCAGCTGGCCCTTCCTTCCCAAGGGGTCCTGGTGGTCCTAGTTCCCCCTGCAGAAGTGGAAAGGCGGGAAGTCAAGCTCCAGGGAGGGGCTGTCTCCTCCCAGTCTGTGACTCAGGGCCCCTTCCCCACGAGACTGATTCTGAGCCCTTGGTTGATCTTGGATGTTCAGTCACGATCTCCAGTAGACAGTGTCTCACCTTGGCTCCCTCTCTGCCTTCCAGGCCAGGAAGACCTTGTTCACCAGGAGGTCCAGGGGGGCCCGGAGGCCCCCTTTCACCCAGAGGTCCCACTTCTCCTGTCTTTCCCTGGTGAGGAAGAAGGCTCCTCTTGAGTGAGGGTGGCCTGGGGGAGATGCTCAGGTGTCCAGCTGCCTTCTAAATATCCCCCAACTGGTACAAAACAAGGGAAGTTTAAGGAGTCCACGCTGACCTGAGGGCCCAAGACACCAGCTGGTCCAGGCGGGCCTGTCTGACCTTGGAAGCCCTAGAGAGAAAAATTAAATGGTGAGAGGGGGTGTTACATGGGAAAGGGATGGGGGAGGGGGAGACGGGGAAGGCCTGATAGGATCAGGAATCTGGCCAGGCGCAGTGGCTCACGCCTGTAATCCCAGCACTTTGGGAAGTCGAAGTGGGTGGGGTCACTCGAAGCCAAGAGTTCGAGACCAGCCTGGCCAACATGATGAAGCCCCGTCTCTACTAAAAACACAAAAAATAACAAGGCATGGTGGCACACGCCTGTAGTCCCACTCGGGAGGCTGAGGCAGGAGAATTGCTTGAACCCCGGAGGCGAAGGTTACAGTGAGCTGAGATCGCCCTACTGCACTCTAGCCTGAGCGACAGAGCGAGACTCCATCCCATTAAAAAAAAAAAAAAAAGGATCAGGTATCAAAGGTTGAGGGGTTACTCACCAATTCTCCTCTCTGTCCAGGGTGCCCTGGTCGTCCATCTTTACCTTGGTGACCCTGGGGGATGAGGTAGGAAAGAGTTGGGGCACAGATACAGGGCTTCCTCCCTTCCCACATCCTCCACCCGCCTGATCCACAATGAGGGTGACGTCACTCACAGGGGGGCCCTTTGGCCCGGGGAATCCTGGAGGGCCTTGCAGACCAGGGAGGCCCTGAAATGGAACTGAAGTCATTATCTCATCCCTCCTGCCTGACTGCCCACTCCCTGAGCCAGACACAGCAACAACAGGAGCCAGCACATACTGAGTGCTTACTGCCTGCCAGCCTCCACATAGCAAGTCATTTTATTAACTACTGCAGCCCTTTAGGATGGAGACTAAGGTTACTTCCATTTTACAGAGGAGAAAACTAAGGCACAGAGAGGTTAAGTGTCTTGCCCAATGTCACACAGTAGGTGAGTGGCAGAGTCAGGACTTGAACTCATGGCTCTCTGACTTCAGAGGCTGTGCTCCTTCTTTTTTCTTTTTTAATGATGGAGTCTTGCTCTGTCACCCAAGTTGGAGTGCAGTGGTGTGATCATAGCTCACTGCAGCTTCCATCTCCTGGGCTCAGGTGATGCTCTCATCTCAGCCTCCCGAGTAGCTAGAACTACAGGCAGGCACCACCATGCCCAATGAAGCTGTGGTCTTCCCACTGCATTATAATATCTCTTCATCTCCTGGGCTTGTCCTCCACTCAGAGTCTCTCTCTCTCTCTCTCTCTCTCTCTCACACACACACACGCACACACACACACACACACTCACCTTTTCTCCAGGGATGCCAGGGGACCCGTCCTGGCCCACATCACCCTAGGACAGAGTAAATGAGACTCAGGCCCCAGAACAAACTCAACTGAGAAAAATTGGGAGGGACTAGCTGAGCCTGGGGCATGGGGGGCCTTGATTGCCCAACCATCCCCAACCATCCCATACCTTGGGGCCTGGTTGCCCTGTGGCACCTGGTTGCCCCCTCTCTCCACGGGAGCCCTGAGTAAAAAAAAAAAAAAAAAAGGCAAAGATCAGATGTGAGGTGGTGGGGGAGCCTGGGAGATGGGACCGAGTCTTCCAGGTCCCCTCCCCTTGTGACTCCCTCTCCCACCCCACCAGGGTCATTGATATAACCGAAACCCTTTCCCTGCCCACTGATGATCCCTCCACCATCTCTCCTTCCCAGCCCTGTCCCGAAGTCCCAGCGGGGTAGGGGCACTCTCTATTTTCTTACTGGTGGTCCCCGCTCTCCTTCCAGCCCTGGCTGTCCTGCCTTTCCCTGAAAATAAATTGTAAGAGAGAAAGCAGAAGAGAATTAGAGTGCGAAGGCAGGACAAACAAAAAACGGCACCTAGTCACAGACCCAGAAAGGTGTCAGCCACACATTCATTCACAAGCCTTTCAGTCATACACATACACACAAATACAACTTACACTCACAGCCACGCAAAGATCACAAACACACAATTACAGCTCTCATTGCATCTACAGAGTCCAAATGTGCAAGCATGTTTGCCTACAGACATATATTTATCACAGCTGTGCAGTATGCATACATGATTGCATGCAATCATGGCATGCATTTGGCAACCCATAGCCTGAAGATGAGACAAAGAACTCATCATACAATAGATCTTTTGTACACATGTATACCCACTGTAAACACATGCATGCCTGGATTCATCTGAGGACCTTGTCCTGGTAAGCACAGCAGCATACGTACACTCATGTACATGTATACAATGTTCATTAACACTGTTACAATACACACATAACAACATGAATACAATACATGCCTGTATACACATTACTCAGTGTGCACAGAAGCACACACGTGTATACACATGTCCTTTCACATGTGTGTACAAGCTTCTTGCACACATTTATGCCCACCATCATGCCCTTGTTTGCCCAGGCACAGGCCTGCAGGCTGCAGTACTCAAACCTTGTCTGATCTATATTGAAAGACAGATGAAACACACATACATGTACTTATGGTCATATTTACAGTAATACCATGTGTGATCACTTACATGTGTCATGCATTGCATATAATAGCATGTGTGCACATAAGTGCTTCCAGGCATAGACACAGACACCCAGGGTCCACCATTATCAGGCATGTCCACACATGCTGTTCCCCTCGGACAAGCCCCTCTCCCTTACCCTGGTCATGACTCACCGACTTCCCTTTCTCTCCTATGGGTCCCAGGGGCCCCGGAAATCCAACGGATCCCTGAGTGGAGAGAATTAGAAAGAAGACATGAGGGTGAAGAGTGAGTGGTGCATGGAACTGACCCCTCATACCGTCCTTTGGGGCATTTCCAGGTCACTGATTCCAGAAGCTTCCTTGGTCTCCAGCCCCAGCCTCCTCCAAGGCAGCCCTCTTCTCTCCTCTCCCTTCCTCTCCTCCCTTCTTATTTCTCTCCAGCAAAACTGGCCTCCTCGATGTTCCTTGGGCACAGCTGTATGTTCCTGCTTCAGGGCCTTTGCACTGGCTGCTCTCTTTGCCTGAAATGCTGTTCTCCTAGGTCTCCACACAGTCAGCCACTCCTGGCCATTTAGGTCTCACTCAGATGTCACCTCCTGAGAATGCCTTTCTTCCGCCATCCTGACTTTCACACATTGCCCAAGTCACCCTCTGTCTGTCACATTGTGCTATTTTGTTTTCCCAAGAACTCTTGCATTGAAATGACTCTTAGTCACTTATTCAATGCCTGTTTTCCTTCACTGGGACATAGCTCACTGGTCTTACTCCCCACTGCCTGGCACACAGTGAGTGCTTTTTAATATTTGTTAACTGACTCCAGTCCATGCCAGAGGAACCCTCCCTCCACTTGGGGGAAGACATCAGAAGCTCTGTTATCCTCTCACACTCTTCACTGTGCAGACTGAGTTCAGATCAGAAAAGAGATTTGCCAAGTCACCTGGGTGCGGGTGGCATCCAGTCTCAAATTCCATTCCAGGCTCCCTCTACCCTCCCTTCCCATCTAGGGGCTCCATGGTCCCTATACTCATTTTTTTTTTCCTTTTCTTTAGAGACAGAGTCTCACTTTGTCACCCAGGCTGGAGTGCAGTGGTACAATCATAGCTCGCTGCAGCTTCCACCTTCTTGAGTCAAGTGATCCTCCTACCTCAACCTCCTGAATAGCTGGGACTACAGGTGCACACCACCATGCCCAACTAATTTTTAAAATAATTTTTTAGTAGATATGAGGTCTCACTGTGTTGCCCAGACTGGTCTCGAACTCCTGGCCTCTAGTGATTCTCCCACCTCAGCCTCTGAAAGTGCTGGGATTACAGGTGTGAGCCACCACACCTGGCCCCTACGCTCTTCAAGGATCCTGCACACATGCACACAAGGACTTTCTAAAACCTTAGTCTGTGCCAAGTACAGTGGCTTATGTTTGTAATCCCAGCACTTTGGGAGGCTGAAGTAGGAGAATCACTTGAAGTTGGGAGTTTGAGACCAGCCTGGGCAACATAGCAAGACGCTGTCTCTGTAAAGAACTTAAAAAACCATTAGGCATGGTGGTGTGTGCCTGTGGTTCCCAGCCTCTCAGAAGGCTGAGGCATGAGGACTCTTGAGTCCGAGAATTGGAGGCTGCAATGAGCTATGATTGTACTACTGCACTTGAGCCTGAATGACAGAGTGACACCTTGTCTGAAAGAAAAGAAAGAGAAAAAGAAAAGAAAGAAAGAAAAAAGAAAAGAGAGAGGGAGAGAGGGAGGGAAAGAAGGAAGGAAGGGTGGAAGGAAGGAAGGAAGGAAGAAAGGAAGGAAGGAAGGAAGGAAGGAAGGAAAGAAGGAAGGAAGGAAAAGTTATCTATTAAAACTAAGTTAAAAGATTTTCCCCGATCATTAAAAAGAAAAAAGAGCCGGGCGCGGTGGCTCAAGCCTGTAATCCCAGCACTTTGGGAGGCCAAGGCGGGTGGATCACGAGGTCAAGAGATCGAGACCATCCTGGTCAAAGTGATGAAACCCCGTCTCTACTAAAAATACAAAAAATTAGCTGGGCACAGTGGTGCGTGCCTGTAATCCCAGCTACTCAGGAGGTTGAGGCAGGAGAATTGCCTGAACCCAGGAGGCGGAGGTTGCGGTGAGCTGAGATCACACCATTGCACTCCAGCCTGGGTAACAAGAGTGAAACTCCGTCTCAAAAAAAAAAAAAAAAGAAAGAAAGAAAGAAAAAGAAAAAAGAAAAAACTAGTTAAAGGGAAAGGATTCAACGTGAAGGGAAATCACACACACACAAAAGTGCTGCCAAATTCAATGTAGTTCCATAGAGCAAAAATATGGAACTCTGAGGATTCTGCACTAAAATATCTTCCCAAATGTCTTTTTTTTTTCTTGAGACAGAGTCTCACTCTGTTGTGTAGGGTGGAGTAAGTGACATGATCTCAGCTCACTATAACCTCCAATTCCTGGGCTCAAGCAGTTCTCCTGCCACAGCCTCTGGGTAGCTGGGATTATAGGCGCCCTCCACCATGCCCAGCTAATTCTTGTATTTTTAGTAGAGATGAGGTTCCGCCATGTTGGCCAGGGGGGTGGTGAACTCCTGACCTCAGGTGATCCACCCACCTCGGCCTCCCAAAGTGCTGAAATTACAGGTGTGAACCACTGTGCCTGGCCCCAAATGTCTTTATGTTCCTGCTCTACTCTGTAGAAACAGAACTCATCAGTGATATAATATGGATATAGTTTAGGCAGAAAAATGAATCTCATCAGTATCCTCACCCATCGAAACACTGGCAAACAAATGTTGTTTTTATGTAAGAATGTTTCTGCATAAGTACATTTGACTACAAGTTATAATTAATTCAAGATATGTAAGATGTGTATTTCATGATTCTATGATTCTCCCCCTTAACTGACTGTTGGTGAATGAAACTTAATCATGTCAAATAAAAGGATTCTACAGTTTTATAATCATTGTCATTGTCACCATGATCAACATTATTGTAATCAAATTGATGAGGTAGAAATTACTGGGATGTTTCACAGCAGAGAAAACAGGCTCAAGAAACTTGCCCAATATCACGTGGCAGGTAAGAGGGTATTTGAGCCCAAGTCTGTCTGATGCCAAAGCTCATTTTTTTTGAAATGAAGGAAGGCTCACTCCATTGCCCAGGCTGTAGTGCAGTGGTGCAATCTCGGCTCACTGCAATCTCCGCCTCCTGGGTTCAAGCAATTCCCTGGCTCAGCCTCCAGAGTAGCTGGGATTACAGGCACCTGACACCATGCCTGAATAATTTTTGTATTCTTAGTAGAGATGGGGTTTCACAATCTTGGCTAGACTGGTCTTGAATTCCTGACCTCGAGATCCACCCGCCTCAGCCTCCCAAAGTTCTGGGATCAACTGTGCCCAGCACCAAAGCTCACTTTTTGAAAAATTTTTTTGAGACAGAGTCGCCCAGGCTGGGGTACAGTGGCTCCATCATAGCTCACTGCAGCCTCAATCTCCCTGGGCTCAGGTGATCCTCACATCTCAGCCTCCCAAGCAGCTAGGTAACTGGGACCGCATTTGGCTATTTTTTTTTTTAAGATGGTATCTCCTTTTATCACCAGGCTGGAGTGCAGTGGTGCAATTTTTTTTTTTTTGAGATGGAATTTTGCTCTTGTTACCCAGGCTGGAGTGCAATGGCTCACCACAACCTCCGCCTCCTGGGTTCAAGCAATTCTCCTGCCTCAGCCTCCTCAGTAGCTGGGACTACAGGCGCGTGCCACCATACCCAGCTAATTTTTGTATTTTTAGTAGAGACGGGGTTTCACCTTGTTGACCAGGATGGTCTCAATCTCTTGACCTTGTGATCCACCCGCCTCGGCCTCCCAAAGTGCTGGGATTATAGGCATGAGCCACCGCGCCCGGGCTAGTGGTACACTCTTGGCTCACTGCAACCTTTGCCTCCTGGGCTCAAACAATTCTGCCTCAGCCTCCCGGGTAGCTGGGATTACAAGTACCTGCTATCAAGCCTGGCTAATTTTTTTGGATTTTTAGTAGAGATGGGGTTTTACCACATTGGCCAGGCTGGTCTCAAACTCCTGATCTCAAGTGATCCATCTGCCTCTACCCCCACAGTGTTAGGATTACAGGCATGAGCTACCATTCACAGACACATCTGGCTAATTTTTGTATGTTTTTGTAAAGACAGTGTTTTGCCTTGTTGTCCAGTCTGGTCTTGAACTCCTGGGCTCAAGCAACCCTCCCACCTCAGCTTCTCAGGGCTCTGGGATTACAGGCATGAGCCACTATGCCTGGGCAAAGCCCATATTTTGCATTCTTTCAATGACCCTTGGGGTGGGCAGCTCATCCCCCAAGACCACAGCCTGGGCCCCCAGATGTTAGTCTCTGAATCCTGCCCATCTCCAACTCTACCGCCAGCTCCAGCTTCCTACCTTAGATCCAGGACGTCCTGGATAACCTGGGAGGCCTGGCACCCCAAGCTTGCCCTGCAGAGAGATTATGAGACAAAGGTGAGAAATTGCAACCTGGAGGTCAGAGGCAGAAAGGTCAGGCTGGCTGGGGCATGGCGAACGGGCTAATGGAATGGGAGTTGGGGCAACAAGTTTCAAGTCCTGGCTCCTGCCTGCTAGGGGCACATCCTTGGGCAGGCCATTCAGCCATTCCAAGCCTCAGTTTTCCTTGTCTGTAAAATGGGATGAAAATGCCTATTGCATGTGGCAGTTATGGAGATAAACACCTAAGTTACGTGCAATAAATTGTTCTGTAATGCTGAGCTGAGGAATCAGGATGACAAGGTTGGTAGCAGCCTCGTGATGTCGGAGGCATAATAAAAGGGCAAGGGCAAAGGGCAGAGGGAGAAGGCTGGGGACACCCTGACTGTGGGAGGCTGGAGGGTGGAGAGTCATTTACCTTCTCCCCAGCTGAACCTGGGGGCCCCTCCTCGCCAGCCAGCCCCTCCTGCCCCTTTGGCCCCTCGGGACCATCCTCTCCCCGGGGACCTGGGGCTCCAGGCTTCCCCTGGAAGAGAAAGGAGAATCTTTAATATTAATCTTTTGTCCTTCCTGCTCTGTCTAGCTCCAGGTCATCCCCTTGCTGTCTTCCTCCAGCCCCATAGAACCACACCACCCCTCATCTGCAGCTGGTCTTACCCGATCACCTTTGAGCCCCACGTCACCCTTGAAGCCCGGGAAGCCGTCCTCTCCCTGGTGGGAGAGACAGAGGCTAGCAGTGAGGGCCTCGGGGAAGGGATGCCACCAGGACCCTATGACTGGGGGGTCCTTCTCCCAGAATGAATTCCTTCTCTCCTCACCTTCTCGCCTTTCTCCCCCTGGAGGCCCCGGTTCCCTGAAGTGCCCTGAAAAATAAAAAGGCTCTCAGGCCTCTGCCCTGCTTAAGAAGGACCCCAAACTCAGTCCCCTGCTCTAAAGCAGCCAGGACAGTCCCCAAAAGGATGCTAGGCAGAAGCTGGGAGGGACAGCTTCAGAAGAAATGATCTTTCCCCGGAGTCCCCTCCCTCCCCACTGGAGGCCTCCCAAGGTCATCTGTGCGGGGGTGTGTGGGGACAGCCAAATTTCCAAGTAAGTGATTCCGGTCTCCTGGAGACACTTTGTCCACAGTTCCTTCTGGCAGGAGAAGGCAGATGAGCATTCCAGGCCCGGACCTCATTACACAGGCAAAGGAATGTTCCCCACGCCAGCTACAAGGCGACTCTGTGCTTGGCTAAGGAGAGAACGCTCAGTGCAAGTCTGGATGCTGCTCACACCCAGTTCTGAAAACTGTACTTGGCTACGATGTATCTGAGCTCAGCAATGAAACGGCACTTGGATACAATATAGCCAGCCACAGAGAAATTCACTTGATCAAAATGTAATTGGGCTGATGGCCCCACAACAGTTGCTCTCTAGCTTTGGCTACAATGTAACCAAACTCAGCTACAACATGGGGGTCAATTAATGGAACTGCAGGCTGGGCATGGTGGCTCATGCCTGTAATCCCACCTTTTTGGGAGGCAGAGGCAGGAGGATCGCTTGAGCCCAGGAGTTTCAGATCAGCCTGGGCAACATGGGAAAACTTCATCTCTACAAAAAGTACAAAAAGAAGAAGAAGAAAAAAAAAAAAGCCGGATATGGTGACATGCACCTGTAGTTCCAGTTACCCAGGAGGGTGAGCTGGGAGGATTGATTGCGGCTGGGACTCCAGGCTTCATGAGCAAACTGATGGTGGCACTGTATTCCAACAATGACAACAGCCCTGTCTCAACCACCATCATCATCATCAAACGAAAAAACTGCCAAGCCTGATGGCACATGCCTATAGTCCTAGCCATTCAGGAGGCTAACGTGAGGGGATTACTTAGCCCAGGAGTTCAAGGCTGCAGTGGGCCAGTATTATGCTACTCTACTCCAGCATGGTCAACAGAGAAGGCTAGGTCTCTCTAAAATAAAACATTTTAAAAAATGATTTTTAAAATGTAACTATGCCTGGCTACAATGTAACTCTGAGGGTGATGCTTGCCAGACTCTGTGGCCTGCTGCAGTGTAGCTGATTCCTTGATTACAGTGTGACAAAGCTTGTCTAATGCACACATGTTCAGGTAAATTACATCTGTACTTGGCTACAATGTCACTGGACTCAGCTTCCATATGAACGTGAACTCTAATGCCCCTGTACCTCTATTTAGCCAGGGTGCAGCTCTTGGCTTAACTCAGCATTACTGTGCTTGTAGATTATATGGTTCTGAGCTTGGGTTAGAACACAATTCTCGGGCCAGGTGCAGTGGTTTACAACTGCAATCCAGCGCTTTGGGAGGCCAAGGCAGGCAGATCACCTGAGGTCAGGAGTTCGAGACCAACCTGGCCAACATGGTGAAACCCTTCCTCCACTAAAAATACGAAAATCAGGCAGGCGTGCAGGCACATGCCTTTAGTCCCAGCTACCTGGGAGGCTGAGGCAAGAGAATTCCTTGAACCCGGGAGGAGGCAGAGGTTGCAGTAATCCAAGACGGCTCCACTGTACTCCAGCCTGGCCACAAACTCTGTCTCAAAAAATAAAGAAAAAAAAAAAAAAAAGAAAAAGAAAAAGAAATGTGTTCAGCCTCTAATGGGCTTAACTCTTCTCAACAAGGTGACAACCACACTGTAAGGCTGTCCTTGGCTGTGCAGCTCCAAACCCCACTCCCACTACATCTGGCCTGTGTGATTCCCTTCTGCACACATCCAGAAGTTTCCAATGGAGCTGCATCCCTGAACCCAAAGCTGGTAAATCACTCTTACTTGCAAGCCCCCAATATCACCTACCTTCACTCCTCGAGGTCCAGGATAGCCTGGAGGGCCTGCCGACCCTGGTGGACCCTGGGAGAAAGACAAGGTCAGTGCCATTCTAGCCAATCCTTTCCACATTCCGAGAGCCTCCATCATTCTCCTCTGTGGCCCGTGACTCCAGGCCCTGCCTCCTGACCCTTGTTCCCAATCTTGTCTAACCTCCTGGTCACTCACCTGGACTCCTTTCTCTCCCGTGGGGCCCTCATGGCCTGGGTGACCCTGGGGAAGAAACATTCTAAGTTATCAGAGGCCAAAATTTGCCATTCCAATTCCCAAGCTTCCCCTTTCTCCTTCCTCCTTTTCCCAGCTCCTGGTTCTCACCGGAGGGCCATCAGCTCCTGGGAGGCCTGGAATTCCTGGGTTTCCAGGGGGACCCTGAAAGAAGATGAACAGCAGGGGAAAGACAGGCGTTCAGAGCCCTGGAGCACCACCAGGATCAGATCTACTCAGACATGCAGCCACCTCAAGGTTAAGGAAGAAGCAAACCCCACTGGCCAGAAAATCTCTCCCAGCTCTGCTCAAGCTTGCTGTGTGACCCCAGGCAAGCCCATTTCCCTCTCTGATCCTCAGAAATCCTTTGCCTCTGGGAGGGTTGCAAGGGGAACATAAAGACAGTACAAGATTGATGGCACAACAGGATGACTATGTCAATAATTTTTTTTATGAGATGGAATCTTACTCTGTCACCCAGGCTGGCATGCAGTGGCATGATCTCACCTCAGTTTTCTGCAACCTCTGCCTCCCAGTTCAAATTATTCTCCTGCCTCAGCCTCTTGAGTAGCTGGGACTACAGTGCCTGGTCAATTTTTGTAATTTTATTAGAGGAGGAGTTTCACCATGTTGGCCAGGCTGGTCTTGAACTCCTGACCTTAAGTGATCAACCCACCTCAGCCTCCCAAAGTACTGGGATTACAGGCGTGAGCCACCATGCCCAGCTTCAGTAATAATTTAATTGTACATTTAAAAATAACTAAAAGAAGCCAGGCACAGTGGCTGACACCTGTAATCCCACCAATTTGGGAGGCCCAGGAGAGCAAATTACCTGAGGTCAGGAGTTCGAGACCAGCCTGGCTAACACAGTGAAACCTCTTCTCTAATAAAATTGCAAGAATCAGCTGGGCATAATAGTGGGCACCTGTAATCCCAGCTATTCGGGAGGCTGAGGTAGGAAAATAATTTGAACTGGGAGGCAGAGTTTGCAGAAAACTGAGGTCACGCCATTGCACTACAGCCTGGACAAGAGTGAAGCTTCGTCTCAAAAAAAAAAAAAAAAAAAAAAAAAACCCAAAAACAAAAAAAAAAAAAAAAAAAAAAAAAGAGAAAAATTGGGCTGGTGTGGTGGCTCATACCTGTAATCCCAGCACTTTGGAAGGTGGAGGTGGGAGGATCATGTAGTCAGCAGTTTGAGACCAGCCTGACCAGCATGGTGAAACCCCATCTCTACTAAAAATACAAAAATAGGCCAGGCGTGGTGGCGAACACCTGTAATCCCAGCTACTCAGGACGCCAAGGCAGTAGAATTGTTTGAATCTGGGAGGTGGAGATTGCAGTAAGCAAAGATTGCACCACCGCACTCCAGCCTGGGCGACGGAGAGAGACTCTGTCTCAAAAAAAAAGGGCCAGGCATGTTGGCTCATGCCTGTAATCCCAGCATTTTTGGAGGCCAAGGTGGGCTGATCACCTGAGGTTGGGAGTTTGAGACCAGCCTAATCAACATGGAGAAACCCAGTCTCTACTAAAAATACAAAAAATTAGCCAGGTATGGTGGCAGGCACCTGAAATCCCAGCTGCTCGAGAAGCTGAGGCCAGAGAATTCCTTGAACCCAGAAGGCAGAGGTTGCAGTGAGCTGAGATCGCATCATTGCACTCCAGCCTGGGCGACAAGAGTGAAACTCTGTCTCAAAACAAACAAAAAAAGTATAATTGGACTGTTTGTAACACAAAGGATAAATGCTTGAGGGGATGGTTACCCCATTCTCATTTTCCATGACATGATTCTTAGGCATTGCAGGCCTGCCTCAAAACATCTCATGTACTCCACAAGTATGTGTATATATATATATATATATATATATATGTATATATATATATATTTATATGTATATATATATATATATGTATATATATCCCTACTATGTACCCGCAAAAATAAATTAAATTAAAACAGTGCAAAAGACATGTTGAAACAGAGGCTTCCCAACCACACCCCTTTCTTTAAGAATGCCAGCTGGGCAGTATGGCTCTTGCCTATAATTCCAGCACTTTGGGAGGCCAAGGCAGATTAGTTGCTTGAGCCCAGGAGTTTAAGAGCAGCTTGGGCGACATAGGGGGACCCCATTTCTACCAAAAAGAAAACAGCCAGGCATTCTGGCTACTCAGGTGGCTGAGGTGGGAGAATCACCTGAGCCCGGGGAAGTCAAGGCTGCAGTGAGGCACCATTGCACCACTGCACTCCAGCCTGGGCGACATAGTGAGAAATAAATAAAAACCAAAAATAAAAGATATGTGCAGAAAGAAGTCTGTCTGCCAGCGAAGGCGGAAGCAGATGTCCCAGGAAACAAAGATGAGACCACAGGGCCTGTGCATCTTGGTAATACCTTCTGTGACAGGCTTCTGTGGGCTCTCTGTATCCTGACAATATCCCTTATGTGAGCTAGCCTTGGTGGGTTTCTGTTTTTTGCAACCAATTCTTCCTCAACAAGGACACTTTGTAACTCTGGGCTGGCTTAGGGAATGTCGCAATTTATCACTATCCAGAGCTAACAGAGGAGCCCTGATGGGAAGATTTCCCTGGCAACAGAGTTGAAGGAAGGAGACTTGAGGAGGTCATGGTAGGTGGAACTGTCATTCACCTTCTCCCCAGGAGTGCCGATGAGTCCCTGGGGGCCGGGGATTCCCTGGGGACAGAAAAAAGAAGATGTGGGAAGGCATAAGAAAGAAGGATTATAAATCATTCTATAATAAAGACACATGCACACATATGTTCATTGTGGCACTGTTTACGATAGCAAAGACCTGGAACCAACCCAAATGCCCATCGATGATAGACTAGACAAAGAAAATGTGGCACATGTACACCATGGAATACTATGCAGCCATAAAAATTGACAAGTTCATTTCCTTTGTAGGGACATGGATGAATCTGGAAACCATCATTCTCAGCAAACTGACACAAGAACAGAAAACCAAATACTGCATGTTCTCACTCACAGGTGGGTGTTGAACAATGAGAACACGTGGACACAGGGAGGGGAGCATCACACACTGGGGTCTGTTGGTGGGTGGGAGGCCAGGGGAGGGACAGTGGGGGGTGGGGAGGTTGGGCAGAGATAACACTGGGAGAAATGCCTGGTGTAGGTGATGGGGGGATGGAGACAGCAAAGCACCATGGCACGTGTGTACCTATGCAACAACCCTGCAAGGTCTGCACACGTACCCCAGAACTTAAAGTACAATAATAAAAAAGACGAAGAAGAAGAAAAGAAAGAAGCAATGAGTGCAGAGGTTGGGAAGCCTGGGCATGGCCTAAGGTCTTAACTGACCACTCCCATGCCCCATTATTGGGAAAAATAGTTCAAACCTGGGACCCGTGGTTTCCCTGTTGTCCTGGAGGGCCTGGTTCTCCTGGAGGACCCTAGGGAGAAAGTGGGGTTTCAATGAAGCTGAGAGGGATCATGGTGTTGAGGCATCAGTCAGGGAAGGGAATAGGGATGTGGACAATCGGGGGGTCTGAGTGTCAGAAGGATCAGGGGTCAGAGGGCACAGGGCACGTACCACATGGCCTTTGGCACCAGGAGCACCGTCAATTCCAGTTACACCCTAGGAGAAAAAAGAAAGTGAGACCAGGACAGAGCAATAAGCTGGGAGCCTGAGTCTGAGACACCGAGAGATACAGGTGGAAAGGTGAGCGGAGCTGGGTGCGGTGGCTCATGCTTGTAATCCCAGCACTTTGGGAGGCTGAGGCAGGCAGATCACCTGAGGTTGCAAGTTCAAGACCAGCATGGCCAACATGGTGAAACCCTGTGTCTGCTAAAAATACAAAAATTAGCTGGGTGTGGTGGAGCATGCCTGTAATCCAAGCTAATTGGGAGGCTGAGGCAGGATAATAGCTTGAGTTTGGGAGGCAGAGGTTTCAGTGAGCAGAGATCACGCCATTGCACTCCAGCCTGCGCCACAAGAGCAAAACTCAAGAAAGAAAGAGAGAGAGAGAGAGAGGAAGGAAGGAAGGAAGGAAGGAGGGAAGGAGGGAAGGAGGGAAGGAGGGAAGGAGGGAAGGAGGGAAGGAGGGAAGGAGGGAAGGAAGGAAGGAAGGAAGGAAGGAAGGAAGGAAGGAAGGAAGGAAGGAAGGGAGGAGGCCGGGCACTGTGGCTCACACCTGTAATCCCAGCACTTTGGGAGGCCAAGGCAGGTGGATCATGAGGTCAGGAGCTCGAGACCAGCCTGGCCAACATGATGAAACCCTGTGTCTACTAAAAATACAAAAAATTAGCCAGTGTGGTGGCACGTATCTGTAATCCCAGCTACTCGGGAGGCTGAGGCAGAATAACTTGAACCTGTGAGGTGGAGGTTGCAGTGAGTAGAGATCACGCCACTGCACTCCAGTCTGGGTGACAGAGCAAGACTCCATCTTGGAAACAAAGAGAAAAGAAAAAGAAAGAAAAGTTAGCAGGCAGAGAAGCCAGCAACAGAAATGGACATGCAGAGGGCAGAAAAGTGAGGAAAAAAAGATAGACAGGGGCCAGGAATGGTGGCTCAGGCCTGTAATCCCAGCACTTTGGGAGGATTGCGAGAGGCCAGGAGTTCAAGATCAGCCTGGACAACATGGTGAAACCTTGTCTGTACTAAAAATATAAAAATTAGCCAGGCATGGTGCCAACACCTGTAGTCCTAGCTACTTGGGAGGCTGAGGCACGAGAATCGCTTGAATCCAAGAGGCGGAGGTTGCAGAGAGCCAAGATCTTGCCACTGCACTCCAGCCCGGGTGACAGAGTAAGACCCTATCTCAAGAAAACAAACAAACAAACAAAAAGACAGGGATGCAGAGAGCCAATGACACTCACCGGGCGACCCACGACGCCAGGGGAGCCTCTGGGGCCAATCAGTCCTCGGGGACCCTGAAAGGAAGCAGGCAAATTATCTCTACATGGCCTTGTGAGTTCTAGGGGGCCTTTGAGTCCTGGGGCTGACTCCCTCCCCTGCACCAAGCAAGGGGCCCAGGGATCCCTGATACTCACCGGCTCCCCAGCCTGGCCAGTGGGCCCTGGAGGTCCCTCTGGTCCCTGTGTGAAAGCATCATTACTTGGGAACAGGAAGGTACAACCCCCAGAGAGCCACCTCCCTCATCTGGGCAGCCCTTTCCAGGAGGTCTGAGTTAGACCAAGATCCCTGGGAACCTGCAGACTAAGTGCATGGGATTCCATTCAGGCCCCTGACTCCAATCCTGGACCTGCAACTCTCACCTCCTAACCCCACAATTTGTCCCCAGCTCTCAAGCTGGCCACTGTGACCTCCAGATCTTCCTCTCTGATTCTCATTCAGGCTTCCAAACTTACCCTCCAAACCAGGCCCTAATTCTCTTCCAAACTTACCCTCTCACCATCCTCTCCTGGAGGACCAGGTTGTCCCACGTGGCCAAAGTCACCCTGAAGCGAGGAACAGAGAAGAGTTCAGAGTGCAAGGGTGTGGGTGGAGAGGCCAGTCCCCCTGGGAAGGCAGATGGGGTGTGAGGAGTGAAGACAGGCCTCATGACTCTGATACTGAGGGAGGAGAAGGGGGCTTGAATATTGGGAGGAGGTCTTGGACCTCAGGGAGGGACCTCACACACTCACCCTTTGGCCCTTCTCACCAGGCAGCCCTGGGAGGCCATCGAAGCCACGATCACCCTGTCCAGAGACACCAGTGAGCCTTGAACCCATAAGGCTGACAGCCCCCACCGAGTCTTGTCTCAGCTCCATCACCTACCTTAGGTCCAGTGTCCCCTGGGAGGCCCCGAGCCCCGTCTGCTCCAGGGCGGCCCTATGGAGAAAGTGAGCCCAGAAGTCAAGGGTGAACCTCCCCTGTACCTCTCCCCCAAAGTCGGAACCCAACTTCTTCATCATCCCATCATCTAGATTTTTGTTTCTGAGATGGGGTCTCACTCTGTCACTCAGGCCGGAGTGCAGTGGCGCCATCTCAGCTCACTGCAGCCTCAGCCTTCCGAGTAGCTGGGACCACAAGTGCATGCCACCATACCTGGCTAATTCTTTTGTATTTTTGGTAGAGATGGTGGGGGTTTCACCCTGTTGCTCAGGCTGATCTCGAACTCCTGAGCTCAAGCGATCCACCACCTCAGCCTCCCAGACTGCTGGGATTATAGGCACGAGCCAGCATGCCCAGGGTAAGATACTATCTTTTAAACTGTATTTATGCATTTTAGAGCTGAGGTCTTGCTCTCTTGCCCAGGCTGGTGTCGTGGCATGACCATGACTCAATGCATCTTTAAACTCCTGGCTCAAGCCTCCCTCCCACCTCAGCCTCACAAGTGGCTGGGACTACAGGTGTGCACCACCATGCCTGGCTAATTGCTTATTTTTATTTTGTGTAGCTACTGGGTTTTGCCATGTTGCCCAGGCTGGTCTGAAACTCCTGGGCTCAAGTCATCCTTTCACCTCAGCCTTCCAAAGTGCTGGAATTACAGATACGAGCTGCTGTGCCATGGCCGGTTTATTTATTTATTCCTTTTTGAGATGCAGTCTCACTCTGTTGCCCAGGCTGGAAATATATATAAAACCATGGTCACATGTCACTGAACAACAGGGATATGTTCTGGAAATGCATCAGTGGGCAATTTCGTCATTGTGTGAACATCACAGAATGCACGTACACAACCCTGGATAGTCCTGCCTACTACACACCTCGGCTATGTGGTATAGCCTATCGCTGCCGGGCTACAAATTTGGACAATAGGCGACTGTACTGAATACCACAGGCAATTGTAACACTGTAGTGAGTATTTGTATGTCTAAACATACCCAAACATAGACATGGTACAGTAAAAATGCAGTGATATAATTTCATGGGACCATCACCTTATTTATTTATTTTTTTAACTTTTAATTTTTTTGAGACAGTCTCACTCTGTGGCCCAGCCTGGAGTGCAGAGGCTCACTGCAACCTCCACCTCCCGGATTCAAGCCATTCTCATGCCTCAGCCTCCCGAGTAGCTGGGTTACAGGTGCAAGCTGCCATGCCCGGCTAATTTTTGTAATTTTAGTAGAGACGGGGTTTCCCCATATTGCCCAGGCTGATCTCAAACTCCTGACCTCAAGTGATCCACCTGCCTTGGCCTCCCAAAGTGCTGGGGTTACAGGCGTGAGCCCCCGTGCCCGGCCAATCATCTTACAAGCATCATTATATCATTATGTGGTGCATGACTCGATCTGGAATCGGCCTCCTCGCCATTTCCTTCAGTGTGGTGGGCCTCTTTCTTGCCATGCTGCTTCTTCCACTTCCCCACCTGTTCATCTGTTATAGTTCAGATCCCAGGGCAAGCAAGCCCTTCCTGACTGTGCAGCCTGCCACACACTCAGTGGAGCTGCCATTCCTTGCCTTCCGCACTCTTGTCCCACTCATGACACCAGCGGACCCCAAGGTCACAAAGCCAAGGCTCGTGTTGGGTGTTGAGGGATGGATAAGGGGTGGTCTGGGAACCTGGCTGTCACTCACCATCTTGCCCACTCGGCCAGGGGGTCCATGAGGTCCCTGTAGACCTCGGGGACCCTAGGAGAAAGAGAAAAGGAGGAAGGAAAGGAAAATAAGAAGGAAAAGGGACTTATTTTATTTTAAAAAAAAAAAATTAGAAATGGGGTCTTGCTATACTGCCCAGGCTGGACACCTGGGCTCAAGTGATACTCCCTCCTCAGCCTCCCCAGCTTGGAGGGACACATTTATTTATTGTAGAGATAGGGTCTCCCTATGTTGCCCAGCCTGGTCTTGAACTCCTGGCCTCAAGCAATCCTCTCACCTTGGCCTCCCAAAGTACTAAGATTACAGGCATGAGCCACCATTCTCTAGGAAAGTCAGTAATTGCAAGGCATTTTGGTCCGGGGGGAAGGCGCTTCCCATCCGATTCCACCCCATCTCCGCCAGTCTCACCTGTGGCCCTGCCACTCCCGCCTCTCCTTTTAGACCTGGATGTCCGGGAAGGCCCTTAAGGGAAGAGAGATGGAGGAGTGTGGTTTGAAGGAAACGATCCTTCTCTTCAGATGCATGCACCGCCTCCTCCATGCAGCCCCCTTACTCACCACGGGGCCTGGGCGCCCGGTGAGCCCCACTGGTCCAGGGGGGCCTTTCATAGAAAGCTGGAAAGACAGAGTCAGAGCCTGGGGTCTTCCACAAGACCCCCAAAATTCCCCACAGAGGCATCTACAGGAGAAAAATATCCCCCTTCTGCCCAGCCCCTCCTTACACGAGGGCTCTGTCACTCTCTGGGGTTCCTCCCACTGTGTCCACGCCCCCCACTCACCTGGGTCTGCTGCAGAACTGCCTGAGCCTGGGCCTGCTGGAAGGAGACTTGGGGTCCTTTAAAGGAGCCACCTGCAAACTGGAACTGGGGGGAATTTAGTGGTGAGAGGAGCCCCGGGGAGAGGCCCCCTCCTGGATCAGGACTCCACTCCCCAAGATTGGGCCACTCCATCTCCTTACCGGCATCATGATCACTGTGCCCGGTGGGCCCCGGATCCCGTCAATGCCGGGGATTCCTGGGAGGCCAGCAGGGCCCTGAGAGAGGGACGGGGGCAGAGAGATGAAGACAGGGAGAGAGGAGACAGAGAAAGTGAAGACAGGGAAGGCAGAGAAGGATGAGACAGGAAGAGAGAGGAAGGGAGAGATGGAGAGACAGACAGAATCAAAGAGGGATCGTGCAGCAGAGAAAGAGAGAAATAGAAGGGGAAAGGAAAAGACAGATGGAGACAGAGAGTCACAGAGAAGAGGAGGGAGAGACAGAGAAGGATGGAGGTAGAGGGATAGACATACAGAGAAACGAGACAGAAAAGGCAGGGAAAGAGAGACAGAGATGGAGAAATAGAGGCAAAGATAGAGATGGAGGGAGGGAGAGAGACAGAGACCAGCAGAGAGACAGAAGAGAGATGAAGAGACAGAGTCACAACAGGAGAAAGACAGAGATGAAAGACACTCAGAAACAGAGAGAGACAGAAGAAAAGCAGAGTAGACCCCAGAGACACAAGGGGAGCCAGAGTAGTTAACAGATGGGAGACAGAGAGCAGAAGACACAAGGGGAGCCAGAGTAGTTAACAGATGGGAGACAGAGAGCAGAAGACGTCAGTGCCAGGCCTGGGATGGTGCTCCTGAGTGCTGTGCCCACAGATCCGTGTTCAGACCCTCATGCTCCCAGCCCAAAACCTCACTCCTCTAAGGATGCACCCCAGGGGTAGTCTCTTACCGGTAGTCCAGGGTCCCCAGGGAATCCTGGGGGTCCAGGAGGGCCTGAGGGGCCAACCACCCCCTGTTGGGGACAGAGAAACAGGAGTCACAGGAAGTGAAAGTTTGAGCCAGGCTGACTTTCAACCTACCACTGACTCTGACCTCAGGCTGACCTACCTACCCTAGTACAGACCCCCTCCAACTCCCCTCACGCAACGCTGACCCTCGCTCACCCCCAACACTACTCTCTCACCCCTACTCTTTTTAGAGACAGTCTCACTCTGTCTCCCAGGCTGGAGTGCAGCAGAATGATCACAGCTCACTGCAGCCTCCAGCTCCTGGGCTCAAGAAATCTTCCTGCCACAGCCTCCCAAGTAGCCAGGAGTATAGGTGAGTCTCACTATTTTTTTTAAATAGGTGGCTATTTTTTAAAGAGATGGGGTCTTGCTATATTGCCCAGTCTCTATGTTGTTTATCCTCCCTATTTTGACTCATCCGTTAAGCCTCAAATGTCCACTACCTTCCACTTGGCCAAGCAATATTACATCCCAACTCCTCACTCCAGGGGCACAAACACCCCTCTGCTGAAAGGGAAAGACTGGAAGAAGGAAACAGACATGACTTACTCGGGGTCCTGGGGCTCCTGGAGGTCCCTCAAATTGCTGCCCCTGAAGGGAGAAATGAGTGTGACCCCTGTCATCATGAACCCCTCAACCCCCTCGCAGTCCAGACCCCTCACCTGTTCAATCACTGCCGGCTCTCCTTTTGCTCCTTTCTGTCCAGCACCCTGGGGCGGGGTTGGGGAAGATAAGAGAAAAGAGATGTGAACTTGGACATAAACCCCTCAACTATCCGATCTCTCTCTCTCTCTCTCTCTCTCTCTCTCTCTCTCTCTCTCTCTCTCTCACACACACACACACACACACACACACACGGGGTCCACCCTCAGAGCCCTCTCTGCTCTCCTGTAACCAATACGCACTGAGAAGCTCAGCCCCCCGCATCCACCTGCTGACCCTGCATCAAGGTGAGGAGCATGAACTCCAGGGCCTGCTGCCCAGTAGTGATCCTGCATCTGCCTCTTACTAACCAAGTGATGTTGGGAAACAGTCAACCCTATGATCACTTACAGGTCATTGGTCCACTTGTAAAGCCAGTGGATGAATGATGACTGTGTATATTGCATGCAAAGATGAATGAATTAAAACAATGCTTGGCACACACCAAGCGCTCCAGGTAACAAGGTAACAAGGGCAAGTTAGTTACAGCCATGTGCCTCCCCTGTGGAACACCAAGCCTCGCTCCTTCCTTCCTTCCTTCCTTCCTTCCTTCCTTCCTTCCTTCCTTCCTTCTTTCTTTCTCTTTCTCTCTTTCTTTCCAATGGAGTCTCGCTCTCTCCCCAGGCTGGAGTGCAATGGCATAATCTTGGCTCACTGCAACCTCTGCCTCCTGGGTTCTACCAATTCTCCTGCCTCAGCCTCTTGAGTAGCTGGGATTACAGGTGCCCACCACCACGCCTGGCTAATATTTGTATTTTTAGTAGAGACAGGTTTCACCATATTGGCCAGGCTGGTCTTGAACTCCTGACCTCAGGTGACCCACCCACCTCAGCCTCCCAAAGTGCTGGGATCACAGGTGTGAGCCACTGTGCCTGGCTCCTTCTTTCCTTCTTTTTGTTTTTGAGACAGGGTCACTGTATTGCTCAGGCAGGATTTTCCTTTTTTTTCCCCCTCCCTCCCTTCCTTCTTTCCCTTTCTTTTTTTTAAGACAGGGTCACTCTATTGCCCAGGTTAGAAGGCAGGGGTATAATCATGGCTCACTGCAGCCTCGATCTTCTCAGACTCAGGTGTCCTCCATCCCTCATCAGCCTTCAGAGTAGCTGGGACCACAGGTGCACGCACCATCATGCCCAGCTAATTTTTTTTTTTTTTTTTTTTTTTAAGAGACAGGGTCTTGCTATGTTGCCGGGGCTGAATTCAAACTTCTGGGCTCATGTGATCCTCCCAAAGTTGGAATTACAAGTGTGAGGCACTATGCCTGGCCTCTTTTCTTTCCTCTAGAGACAGGGTCTTGCTCTGTCACTCAGCCTGGAGTACAGTGGTATGATCACAGCTCCCTGCAGCCTCCACCTCCCAGACTCAAGCAATCCTCCCACTTCAGCTGGGACCACTCTTGGGCTCAAGTGATCTTTCCACCTCAACCTACCAAATTGCTGAGATTATTGGTGTGCGCCATAGTACCCAGCCTCAGTTACCTCTTGATTTCTACCCTCTTCTCCTCCCCCTACCCTTAACATAAAAAGATCCTACCGGCCAGGCACAATGGCTCACACCTGTAATCCTAGCACTTTGGGAGGCTGAGGTGGGTCGATCACCTGAGGTCAGGAGTTTGAGACCAGCCTGACCAACATGCCAAAACCCTGTCTCTATTAAAAAGTACAAAAATTAGCTGGGTGTGGTGACACCTGCCTGTAATCCCAGCTACTCAGGAAGCTAAGGCTGGACAATCACTTGAACCCCAGAGGTGGAGGTTGCAGGAACCTGCTTTTCCTCCCAGCCAGCAGAGGGAGCCATCATGGATGGAGGAGGCGCTGAGACTGGCTGGCCCAGGAGCCCAGTGGTCAAGGTCCGACACTCAGGGCCAGCACCCCTGCACTCCAGCTTGGGTGACAAAGCAAGACTCTGTTGCAAAGGAAAAAAAAGTTTGTACTGACTTAAGGTGGTGCTTCAGAACAACAGTCCACTGTCTTCTTGGTTTGCTGTGTGTTGGAATAAGCCCGCTTTTCCTCCCACCAATTCTCATCTCTCTTGTTTTCCTTTCAAACATCAAGCCACTGAGCTTGGGTTGTTACATCAAAAGTGTATCCACCTTGCTCCACCTCCAGCAGCAAGGCCAAGACAAGCATGTCCCAAATCGGTCCACTTCTCTCCCTCCCTCCCTCCCTCCCTCCAATCTTCCTCCAGGCAGGTCACTTTCCGGACTGCGGACTGTGGGCGTCGGGCTCCCCTGCTGCCCCTCTGGCTCCCTCTACTGTCCATGTGCCATTCAGCAGCCAGAGAGAGTTTTTTGTCAAGAGATGGGCAGGACGGTGAGGGGGGTGGTGGTCTCACTATGTTGCTCAGGCTGGCCTCGAACTCCTGGCCTCAAGCGATCCTCCTATCTCAGCCTCTCAAAGCACTGCAATTACAGGCGAGGGCCACCGCCCCTGGCCCAGAGGGAGCTTTTAAAGCTCCAATATCGTATTCTTTCACAAGTGCTCAAGCGGCTTCTCCTGGCACTTGGACTAAAAGCCAAAACTCCAAAAAGCCAGAGTCAACTATCAGTAGAGTGCCTGACATAAGCAGCTGCAGAAGTCAAAAGAGAGACTGAGGCCTTTCGCAGCTCCAGGTAAAAATCCCTTCTAAGCCCACAAGATGTGATAAAAGCAAATAAATAAAATAGCACAGGAACAGAAAACCAAATACCACATTTTCTCACTTATAAGCAGGAGCTAAATGATGAAAACACATGGACACATAGAAGAGACCAACAGACACGGGGGCCTGGTAGAGGGTGGAGGGTGGGAGGAGGGAGAGGGTCAGTAAAAATAACTAATGGGTAACAGGTTTAATACCTGAGTGATGAAGTAACCTGTAGAACAAACACCCATGACACAAGTTTACCTATGTAACAAGCCTGCATTTATACCCCTGAACTTAAAAGTTAAAAAATAAAAACATTTAAAAATTAAATTAAATTAAACATATATAGGCCGGGCGCAGTGGCTCATGCCTGTAATCCCAGCACTTTGGGAGGCCGAGGCGGGTGGATCACGAGGTCAAGAGATCGAGACCATCCTGGTCAACATGATGAAACCCCGTCTCTACTAAAAATACAAAAAACTAGCTGGGCATGGTGGCGCGTGCCTGTAATCCCAGCTACTCAGGAGGCTGAGGCAGGAGAATTGCCTGAACCCATGAGCTGAGATGGCGCCATTGCACTCCAGCCTGGGTAACAAAAGCAAAACTCCTCCTCAAAATAAATAAATAAATAAACATATATATATATGTGTGTATATATATATAATTTTATTTTTATTTTTATTTTTTTCTGAGATGGAGTCTCACTCTTTTGCCCAGGCTGGAGTGCAGTGGCACGATCTTGGCTCATTGCAGCCTCCACCTCCTGGGTTCAGGCAATTCTCCTGCCTCAGCCTCCTGGGTAACTGGAATTACAGGCAGCTGCAACCATGCCCGGCAATATTTTGTAATTTTAGTAGACATGGGTTTCACCATGTTGGTCAGGCTGGTCTCAATCTCCTGACCTCAACTGATCCACCCGCCTCGGCCTCCCAAAATGCTGGGATTACAGGCTGGAGCCACTGCACCCTGCCTAAATAAATACTTTTTTTTTTCAAAAATTTTAAAAAAGGAATCCCAGGTTTTTAAAACCTAACCCCAGCCACCTAGACTCACAGGAAAGATCTGGAACTGAGTCTGAGATGGGTGTTCTGCTGCCCGGAAGTCAGGCCCCATGGTGGAATCACCTCCTTCTTCATCTTCCCTGGTTGCCTCGGTCTCTGGGGTCCCCAGCTCGGTTCCACTGTCAGGGTCCAAGCTTCCCTGAGAACATTAGGACAGACCAAAGTTTCCCCTAACCTCCTTATTGTCTGCCACCCCCAACCCTTGGGGTCTCCCCACTTCCAGCCCCAACCAACCTCTAGGATGGTGGTGGCATTGAGGCCAGTAGTCACAGTGGAGGTGATGACCAAAGGCATGGGGGTCGGAGGCAGATTTGGAGCCGGAGTCTCTGTCTTGGGGATGTCAGTGGAGGTCTGGAACAGGGATGGAGGCAGCCTTGGGCCTGGGGTCAAGGCAATCAAGACATCATCCCCAGGAGCTCCCAGTCTGGGGACAGGGCCAGAGAAGGCTCCCCAAAGAGCACCGAGACAGAAGTGTGCTGGCTGGACCAGGGCTGCCAGCAGAGGGAGCCGTCATGGATGGAGGAGGCGCTGAGACTGGCTGGCCCGGGAGCCCAGTGGTCAAGGTCAAGGTCCAACACTCAGGGCCAGGCTCCCAGAAGCCTGTCCCACATGTCCTCTCCCAAGGCAGAATTCAGCGGCCAACCAGCCAGGCCACAGTCAGAGAGGGAGTGGTGACTCCTTCTGGCCTGGACAGCTGCAGAGGAACTGGGTCAAGGCAGGGGTGTGGGGGAGGGGTGTGGGAAGAGGGTGGTAGGGTCCCAGGTGAGGGGACGAGGCTGAGGAAAAGGCTAAAGAAGGGCCCACTACTCCTGGGGTCTGCATTCAGGGCCAAGAAGATCTGGAACTGAGAGGCAGTGCAACCAGTGACACCCCCCCCAGCCACAGACCCCAAGCAATGACCCCCACCCAGGACCCCCCAACCCAGTGACCCACCAAGAATGACCTGCATCAACAGAACCCAATGATTCTAGAACCAGTGACCCATAAACAATCCCTCCCACTCCCATCAATGGCCTCAACCCATCACTCCTCCATTCAGTGATTTTCCCAACCAGTAATCTCAACCAGTGACACTACCTTGACTATTAGCACTAACTAGTGACTCTCCAACTAATAACCCCCAACAGTGACCCCTAATCAATTGTTCCTGTAATCAGTGATGCTTCAGCAATGAACATCCATACATGAGCCCAACAAAAGCGTCCTAACCAATGACCCCCAAGCAGTAATTTCACCTATCAATGACTTCCTAACTAATAATCCCTCAGGGACTCCCAAACTAATTACTCCATCCTTGACCCCCTGAAAATCACTCTTCCAACTTGTGGCCCCGATGAGAGACCCCACTATGACTTCCAATCAGTGACCACCCACCAACAACCTCCCATCACTGATCCTAAACTAGGGACATCAGTAATGCCAATAATGGTTTCTATCAACGACCTTCCACAGTGATCCCCAGCTAAGTGCACCCCAGACACTGACCTCAATTAATATCTCCCTAAATTATTCCCCCTTCCCCAGCCACCTCTATCAGGGAAGCCAAACAGTGCCCCCAACTAATGACTCCCAATGAATAATCGTCCTCACAGATGGGAGAGCTCATGAGATAGGACCCACCTCCACCCTGTCATCAATCACCCTGGCAGTCATCATTCAGCTGAGAGAAGTCAGAGCTCATGGATCACAGACCGAGAAAAAGATTATAAATTGAGGGACCAGAGATTAGTGGCGATCAGAGGCTAGAAGTCAAGCACCGAGACCGGAAGTCAGACTGTCGAGACCGGAAGTCAGACGGTCAAGACAGGAAGTCAGGCAGCCATGACCAGAAGTCAGGTGGTCAAAACCAGAAGTGAGCGATCTCGGGGCTCTTACCTGGTTCTCCAGGGAGTCAGGAGGTGGACTTGACGTCGAAATTTCCTTGTTCTTCTTTTTCCTGCCCTTCCCCTTGCGGCCTCGCCCTTTCTTCCTCCCCTTTCCCTTCCCCTTCCGCCGAGGACGAGGGGTTTCTGGTTCACCCTGGGGAGCCTGGGAGGAGGGTCCCAGTTAGGTCTAGAGCATTCCGCCAGCAGAGACCCCATCATTCAGGTTACCTGGGGTGAGACTGGCTCATGGCCCATGGGTCCTCACTCAGCCCTGTGACCTGCAGTCAAGGTTATTCATGTAACTTGGGGTCAAGGTGGCTCAGGAATATGACTTGAGGTCAGAGTCATTTGTGCCTGGGATCTGCTTGAGTAATGGGCCTTTTAGTGCCACATCTAGGGGATGACAATTCACTCTTTCCAGGGATCTGTAGCCTGGGAGAACCCAGCCTGTGTCCTGAGGTCAGGAGTGACATAGCCCCTCACTCACCTCTGTGGCTCCCGGCACCAGGCTGTCACAGCCGGGGAGGTACCGCTCACAAGCCTGGAAGGCAGCCTGAGGATCTGGACTTATCAGCAGCTCCTGAATGTCTCCCTGGGGGTCAGGGGTGTAGGAGTCAAGGAAGGCAGGCATAGGCTTACTCTGACCCCCATTACCCAGCAGTCCTGCCCACCTCCTGGCACCAAGGTGTGATGCTCCCTGACCCAGAGCATGCTAAGTGTAAGGAGGAGGTGACCTCATCACAGCCCTAGTAATCCCGCTACCCCCTGTAACTAAGAGAAGAAAAGATCCTATCAGGGGCACACCCGATCCCGCCCACAAGCCACAGCGCACACATCTGCCCCACTGGAGGTGCATTGGTTCCTTCACTCTCAGGAACAAGTTGAGCCAGGTGTCCTTCTATGTACTGGGGATAAGGAGCATGAGACAGATCAAGTCCCTGGCCTCCAAGAGGTGACACACATCACGGTCACACAGAGCTAACAACAGTCCCCACACCCAGAACACACATCACACAGCCACACAACACCGCTGCTTACCGGCTCCCAAAGTCATAACTGCCCACACACAATCACACACTATCACAGCAACCGGGACCATCTCAGGTCGCAGACTCAGATGCAGGACACCACCAGATCTTTCCACAAAAGCCAAGTAGGTGTCGTCACAATTTATGGTCTTGGCCGGGCTCAGTGGCTCATGCCTGTAATCCCAGCACTTTGGGAGTTCAACATGGGTGGATCACCTGAGGTCAGGAGTTTGAGACCAGCCTGGCCAACATGGCAAAACCTCATCTCTACTAAAAATTCAAAAATTAGCCAGGCGTGGTGGTGCATGGCTGTAAACCCAGCTGACAATCTCTTGAACCTGTAAGATGGAGATTGCAGTGAGCTGAGATCAAGCCACTACACTCCAGCCTGGGCGACAGAGTGAGGCTCCATCTAAAAAAAAAAATGTATACATATATGTTTTACATAACATATATATAACAAGTGTGCACTCGATTCCTTCAGCTTCCTGGGGATAGAAGCTTGACACCTTCCTTCTCCAATATCCTCTCCAAATTCAGGCTGTAGGCAAAACATCCCACCCTCTGCCTCAGGTTTCCCTATCACTGAACTCCTACCTCAAAAGTCTTCTCCCCAAGGTCCTGGGTCCCCAGCATAGTGAGTCCGGCTATGCTGATGAATCGGGGGCCATGGCTCAAGACAGGGGGCTGAGCTTCACAGTCAGTGACCAGGGTCACCATCCCACCATCTATGCTGACCGCCACACGGTGCCACCTGCAAGGGGACAGCCTCAGTGTGGGTCTCCTCTCCCCGCCCCTCATCCACGGACCCCCACCCACTCTCCCCATGCTCACCTTCCATCTGTGAGGTTGACCTGCTGGGGGAGGGGGCGGAAGGGGCCACCTAGGAGATCCAGGGCTGGCCCCAGTGCCAGGCCCAACTGCCGGGCACCCGTTTCATCATAAATGGACAGCAGGACAGACTGATTGGCTGGCTGGCCCCGCAAGGTGATCAGCAGGGAGAAGTTCTCAGGAAAGTGGCCATCTGGATGGGCAGAGGGAATGGGGCAGCTCAGATGGCTCGGCAGTGTCTCCCTCCAGGGTGACCCCCAGGCCCTCTACTCCGACTTACCTGGAAAGAGTTCCCACGTGGGGATGCCGAGCGTGCTGGCCTGGCCCACTCTGAATGCCCGGTCACCCTCCGGAGTCCTCTGGGGACAGAAGCCAGGCACCTCAGGGACCCCAGCCTGGCCTCCCCGCACACCCATGGCCTTCAGCACATCCACAGGATCTGCAGCAGAGAGAAGGTGAGGGGGCAGAGGTGGGGAGCAGCTAGAACAAGCCCAGGACTCCAGGATAGAGGCTCAGTGGTTTTTTGGGGTGCTCAGACTCTCTCGCCCTCCCCCCACCATGTGTTTGTGACTCAGAAAGGAGGAGCAAGCCCTGGCCCTCAGCACCCCCTGCCTCCTCACCACCCCACAGATGTTCCAACCTCATCAGCCTGTTGACTCTTGGTTTTTGGTGAGAAAAAAAGTTGACCTAGTTCTGGGATGAATCAAAGCTTTCTGGCCTAAGTAAGCCCCAGAGTGGAACTGTCCCCCTCTTCCCACTCCCCTGCGCAGGCTCCCTAGGGCTACATCCAGGCCTGGGACCCCCTTGCCAGGGGAAACCCGCATGGAGAGGAGGGGCTTCTAGTGTGTTTTCTTCCCCCATCTCCTCCCTCTCTGTAACCTCCTCCCTTGACCACCATCACCCACAGCCTCTTCCTTTTGACTACGGCCACTTTGGAGCTTCCCCTGACCACTCTTTCTCTGACCATGCCCACTAACTTCTCTTTCTGGTTACCCCCTCTGACCCTCTGATCTCCTGCCTGACCCCAGCCTATTCCCTCTGATCTCCTTTTTCTGCCTGATGGTAACCTCCTCCCTCTGACTTTCCCCTCTCCTCTGATTTTTCCTTCTGACTTCCCTTCCGACCTCCTCCCTCTGATTTCCACTTTGACCTCCTCCCTCTGAGCCTCATCTCTGACCTCCTCCCTCTGACTTTCCCCTCCGACCTCCTCCCCTCTGATTTTCCCCTCTGACATCCTCCCTCTAACATTTGCTTCCAACCTCCTCACTCTTACGCTCCTCTCTGACCTCCTCCCTCTGACTACCCCCTGACCTTCTCTTACTACCTAATCAGATCTCCTCCATCTGACCTGTAACCTCTTCATTTCTTCTCTCTGACCTCCTTCTGACAAGCTGTCTCTGATAACCTCCAGGCCTCCCCTCTCTGACCCTCTCCCTCTTTCATCCCAGCTAATGAGAGGACTGGTCTAGTCCAACAGTTCCTAATCTAGGCCATGCTACCAGCCCCACCCCGGCAGGCAGCCCAGCCAGTACTAAGTGGAACCACATGGCTGGGGCAGGGGAGGGTGGGGGCTTCCCCTGGGCCCCAAGCCCCTGCCTGACCCCCCTCCCCCCACCCTCAGCAAACTGTCCCACTGACCCCCTGCCCCAGCCTCTTGGCAGAAGCTGGATTCTGTAGAAGCTGGATTCTGCAGAATCTGCCATGACCTCACCCCTGGGGGTGGCTCTGCTGATCTCACCACGGGGAGCTGGTGGGGGGGGCAGCGGTACAAGACGTTGGGGAGGCAGGGGCTTGGATGAAGGACCCTATTCCCATTCTTCCTAGGTCAGAACCCTCATTTTCCAGACTCCTCAGAGGCCTGTTTCAGTCTCTGTTTTCTCTTGCCTCCAATCTCCTCTCTCCATCCCTGCTGGCCTTCTCACTGTCCCACTTTCTGTGCCTGTCTTTCCAGGCCTCTATCTGTGTCCAAGTCTGTCTTTCATTCTCTCTCTCTTTTCTCAGTCTCTCTCCCTCTCCACCTTCCTTCCCCAACCCATCACCCCAACCCCCATCTCTAATTGCCTGTTTTGTGGCTGGGCTGTCATTAAGAGAAATCTGGGTTGCAGCCCCCTGGGGCTGAGATCTGGGCTCCCAGGCTCTGCTGACCACAAGAGTGACTCCCCCACAGAACAATCATCCCAGCTGCGCCATCTCAGGCTGGGGCCCAGGGGAGGATTGAGATCAACGACCTCACCTAGCCTGGAGGCCCTCCCTGACCCCAGACCCCAGCCCCTCTGCAGAGGAAAGAGGGTCTTCCCTCAACTACCACTCATTTACATTAAGAAAGTCCTTCCCGGGCTGGGCACAGTGGCTCACGCCTGTAATCCCAGCACTTTGGGAGGCTGAGGCGGGTGGATCACGAAGTCAAGAGATCGAGACCATCCTGGTCAACATGGTGAAACCCCGTCTCTACTAAAAATACAAAAAGTTAGCTGGGCATGGTGGCGCATGCCTGTAGTCCCAGCTACTCAGGAGGCTGAGGCAGAATTGCCTGAACCCAGGAGGCGGAGGTTGTGGTGAGCCAAGATCGTGCCATTGCACTCCAGCCTGGGCAACAAGAGCAAAACTCCGTCTCAAAAAAAAAAGAGAAAGAAAAGAAAAAGAAAGTCCTTCCCGGCATCCAACTCAAATATCTCCTGCTTGAAACTTGTGCCCCTTCTGGAATGACCTTTCAGAAACTGACTGCCCTTTCTTTTCTTAGCTGGCTTTATGACAAAAAGGCACACAAGCGGCATTGAGTCCTGCCTACAGGGACAGGGTGTGTGGGGGGGTCTGTCGGGGGCCCAGTCTGCCTCCTGCCACTCTCCCCTGTGCTGGTCAGGGCCCTCAGGGAGATGCTGGATGGGGTCTGGGATGTGGAGGGACAGAGGCAGGGACTGGGTCAGGGCATGACTGGGAACCCCCCCACCCCAGGTATGCAGGTGAGAGAGCATTGGTGTATGTGAAAATATGAGCATGAGTGTGTGTGCAAATATGTGTATGTGCATGAGATTGTGTGAGCGTGGGTGAGTCTGAATGGGCCAGGCAGAGAATGGCAGGTCATGTCATTTCCCTAGGTGTCAGTGTGTGCAAATGTTTGGCTTCTAATGGAGGGATTAGGTGCAGTTGCTTGGCGTGTGGCCATGCTATGCTTGCAGTGACCCTGCAGGTGAGTCTGTAACACCTGGGACTGCTGATGAGGGAGTGTTTCTCTGTGAGAGTATGACCCAGTCAGCAAGTGGGTAATGGATTGTGAATGCTGACCGTATTTGTTCGGATGCCAGGGGCAGCATGTGTGAGAATTTGAGCGTGTGGGAGGGTCATAAAAGCTGGTTCCATGTGGCGGGTGGCTGAAGGGGGTTGCCTGGACACGGTGTTTTATATTCCTAGTGTCCCAGGGGACTTACATTCAGCGTGAGATTGCACGACCCTGTGGATGTGTGAGCATGGGAATGGGGCATAGGCCAATCAGGAACAAACCACATGTACAGGCACCTCCCTGGACTCCAAAGTGAGAAGTGTGCTGTGGTGTGTGTGTGTGTGTGTGTGTGTGTGTGTTGGGAAACTGAGCTCACCTTAGAAAGGGATTTCCAGGAGGGCCTAGCCTGGGGTCTCTCAGATAAGGGAAGCCCCATCTTCACCACTTGAGAAGTCACGCCATCCCCTGACTCTCGGAGCACCCCCAACTCCGAATCCTGTGGGGCGGGACACGGCGCCCAGCCAGATTCGAGCAGCTGGGCGTGCGTCAGCGCTGACTCACCCCATCCGGCGGCCCCCGGGACCCCTGGGGGGGCCCCTGAGAAACTCCTCGGGAAAAACACCCAAGGCTCCAGCAGCTGGGTTTAGGGGGAGCAACTTCCACTCCTGCCCCGCCCCGCCCTGCGTCCCGCCCCGCCCCGCCTCGCCCCTCACCGCGGCCCTCCCCCGAGGCCCTGTCCATGGTGCTGATAGCGGCTCTGGGGAACGCGGGGTGGGGGAGGGGGCAAGAGGGAGGGAGAAGATGGGCGCGCGCCAATTTGGGGCAGAAGAGGAAAAGGGAGAATGGGGTGAAGTCATTTAAAGAGACTCAAAGGAAACTGGGTTACCGAACAGCACCCTATACTCGTCCCCACTCAACTTCACCCTCACGGGCAATTATTTGCATCCCCAAATCACAACTACACCCCTCATAGGGGCACTCTGAGACACACAATCACACCCACAACCACACACACGGTTACCCTCGAAAATCAGCACATGAACAAGCACACACGTGCATACTCACCTGTCGCAATAGACGCACTCAGCACTGCCTTGCCACTCATAGTCACACTATCGTCATCAAGCCCCCAGGCAAGCACACACGCAACTTCACTCCAAATACACACACATGGCTACACACACATGCACACACGCAGGCACCTGCACACTGCATGCATTCCCACGCGCCCGCCAGAAAACGCAGTCACACATCCCCACCCCCATCCCCGAGCTGTCACACCCACAAATCGCCCAAAGTCGGACACTCAGGCGCCCACATCACACCGGGGCCGCACACAGCCCGCACACCCTCCCCTTCTACGCCCCTACGCCCCTCGCTCTTTTAGGGCCTCTCTGAGTGGTGCGCCCTGGGTCCCATCTCTTCCCTCCCGGCTCACCGGCCTGCGTCCCGGGCAGAAGCTGCAGCGTGGCCAGGAGCAGGCAGAGACCGGCCCGCGGCTGGCCCAGGTCCCGGAGGTTCCCCATCCCGGCGGAGCCCACGGGCAAGGCGGGGGACCGGACGGGGCTGCAGCGAGGCGCGGCGACTCCTCGGGCTCTGTGCGGTCACTTACGGCGGCCGCTCCTCTCGGGGTCCGCGGGAAACTGCTGCCCGAGACCCCGCCCCGGCCTCGCCCTGCGCTCCAGAGCCCGGCCAGGCGGGGCTTGTTGGAGGAGGGCAGCTGACAGCTGGACGGGGAAATTGGGAAACTGCTGAGCGCTGATTGGCCGGCTGGGATGGAGCCCAGAGCCAGGAGCTGGGTTGTTCCTGCCCCACCCCATAGAGGAGGAGAAGGGTCACTTCCACCCAGCCCTAGAGTTCCAGTCTTACCCCAGACCTTTTCCGCCTAGGAGATGGAGACCTTAGCCTCATTCAAACCTTCAGCCTCCATGCAGGCCCTAGAATTAGGGGGAGGCGCAGCTTTATACCAAATCTTTTAAATTTTATTTTTACATTTTATTTTGGAGGCAGAGTCTTGCTCTGTCAGCCAGGCTGGAGTGCAGTGGTGCAATCATAGCTCACTGCAGCCTCCAACTCCTGGGTTCAAGCCATCCTCCTGCCTCAACCTCCTGAGAATCAGGGACCACAGGCACACACTACCACACTCAACTAATTAAAAAATACATTTTGGCTGGGCGCAGTGGCTCACGCCTGTAATCCTAACACTTTGGGAGGCCGAGGTGGGTGGATCACCTAATGTCAGGAGTTCGAGACCAGCCTAACCAACAAGAATAAACCCCTGTGTCTACTTAAAAGTGCAAAACTAGCCGGGTGTGGTGGCACGTGCCTGTAATCCCAGTTACTCGGGAGGCTGAAGCAGGAGAATCACTTGAACCTGGGAGGTGAAGGTTGCAGTGAGCCAAGATCATGCCATTGCACTCCAGCCCGGGCAACAAGAGCGAAACTCTGTGTCCAGGGGAAAAAAAAGAAGTATTTTGTAGAGACTGGGGTCTTGCTATGCAGCCCTGGCCGGTCTTGAACTTCTGGTTTCAAGTGATCCTTCAGCCTTGCCCTCCCAAAAGGCTGGAATTACAAGCATGAACCACCTTACCTGGACCCAAGTCCTTTCTGCTTCACTCAGAACCCCAAGTGGGGTCCCAACCTCACCCTGAACTCTCACTCACCTACCTGCTTTATCCTCAGTCCCTTACCTGCAAAATAGGAGGTACCAGCCTCAGCCCCAAAGCCTTTCTTCAGGTCCCTAAGGGGTCCTCATCCCACCTCAAACCTTGTCCAGATCCCAAATGGGGTCCCCGGATTTATCCCAAATTTTCATCTCTCCACTCAAATCCCTGAGTCACGTATCCTGGCCCCAAATTCTCACCACAGATCCCAGAACACAGTTTTCACTTTCCCCCAAATTCTTGATTTCTCAAATAAAGGATCTCACCTCCATCTCTAACCCTCATCTCCCCCGACCCCGAGCCAGGCCTCCAAATGGATGCCCCGGCCCCAATCCCAAATCCCCACCAAATAGGGGAGTCTGGGCTGGGTGCAGTGGCTCACGCCTATAATCCCAGCACTTTGAGAAGTCAAGGCGGCCAGGTTGCTTGAGTCCAGGAGTTAGAGACCAGTCTGGCCAACATGACAAAACTCCATCTCTACTAAAAACACAAAAATTAGCCAGGCGTGGTGGCTGGCACCTGTGGTCCTAGCTACTTGGGAGGATGAAGTGAGAGAATCACTTGAACCCAGGAAGTGGTGGTTGTAGTGAGCCGAGATTTGCCACTGCACTCCAACCTCGGCAACAGAGCAGGACTCTGTGTCAAAAAAAAAAAAAAAAAAAAAAAGGCATCAAGGGGGCTGGGGTGTGAGAATCTGGCCCTGTCGCAAAGCAGGGCACAGCTACCTGGAAGGAAGGGGTGGATTCTTGCCATTCTTGGGGTGAGGCAGAGGCCCCCCTCACTGTGCTGGGTCCCCCACCTGCAGCATGAAGAGGCCCCCAGGGAGTCAAATAGAGATTTTGTGCAACTGGACAAGCACAGACACGAAGGATGAGAGGGTGCTTCCCCAGGGAAAGGAGGAGCCAAAAGGCGTATCCTGAGCCCTGAACTACTCCCCGAACCCTGTTCCCCCCACCCCTGCCCCAGGGGAACAGTGAGACGCAGGCAGAGCCTCCCTCCTGGCCTCTGACTCCCCAGACAAAGAGTCTCTGTGTCCCTGAAGAGGAGGGGGTGGGGCCCCATCAGGCCTGACGGGGAGTTGGGGGGCCCCCCCAGGGTGGGAGGAGGAGAGGGACTCTCTGTAAGCTGCTCCTCCTCCTCCCTCTACAGGGACATCCGAGGCTGAGACTTCTCCAACTAAAAGGCTCTCACAAAATTCCTGCCCTGCCCTGCCTTGCTGGAAGTTCTTCCTGTAGTCTAACTGCTTCTTCTGACAGTTCTACACCCCTTCCCTCCATGAAACCACACTTCTGGATCCACATTCTCTGTCATCTTCTCTCATTCTCTCCCTTCAATCAGAGATTCTTCATCTAGAATACAGACACTAATTCCCCCCAGCTTTCACAAAAACTCTCCCAGTACTAAATAATTTACACTTGGCCGGGCTCAGAGGCTCACCCCTGTAGTCTCAGCTCTTTGGGAGGCTGAGGCGGCTGAACCACTTGAGGTCAGGAGTTCAAGACCAGCTTGGCGGAGTTCAAGACCAGCCTGGCGGAGTTCAAGACCAGCTTGGCCAACATGGTGAAACCTTATCTTTACTAAAAATACAAAAATTAGCTGAGTGTGGTGGCAAGTCCCTGTAGTCCCAGCTACGCGGGAGGCTGGCACAGGAGAATCGCTTGACCCCAAAAGGCAGAGGTTGCAGTGAGCTGAGATTGCACCACTGCACTCCAGCCTGGGTGACAAGAGCAAGATTCTGTCTGAAAAATAAATAAATAAATAAATAAAATAATTTACACTCATAATAAAAATAAAAATTAAGAAAACAGGCTGGGTGCAGTGGCTCACACCTGTAATCCCAGCACTTTGGGAGGCCTAGGTGGGTGGATCATGAGGTCAGGAGTTCAAGACCAGCCTGACCAATACGGTGAAATCCCATCTCTACTAAAAATACAAAAAATTAGCTGGGCATGATGGCGCATGCCTGTAGTTCCAGCTGCTCAGGAGACTGAAGCAGGAGAATCGCCTGAGCCCGGGAGGCAGAGATGGCAGCGAGTTGTGGTTGCTCCAGCCTGAGCAACAGAGTGAGACTCCGTCTCAAAAAATAAAATAAAATAAAAAGATAAGAAAACAGTTTACAAATGGCCAAGGCCAGAGCATCACTGGAGGCCAAGAATTCGAGTCCAGTCTCGGCAACTTAGCAAGATCCCATGTCTAAAACAAAATTTAAAAAACTAGCTGGGCATGGTAGTGGGCACTGGTAACCCCAGCTACTCTGGAGGCTGAGGCGGGAGGATTGCTTGAGGCGGCAGTGAGCTATAATGGTGCCACTGCACTCCAGCTTGAGTGACAGAGCAAGACCCTGTCTCTTAAAAACAAACAAACAAAAACCAGTGATGCGTATAAAAGGTGGAGAAGAAATTTTGGGCAGATGAAGAAAATGAGGTGCAGAGAAGATGTGAGATTCTCTCTAACTGCCTCTTCAGGGTCAGTCCAGAATCGACGGTCTCCGGGGGAGGGTAGGGGCTTCTTCCTGCAGGGGATCTGTGGGAGGTGGTTAGGAGGGAGCAGATGAGCCCAGGATGAATGGTGAGAGTCAGGTGCTGCCCAGCAGAGGTCACGCGTCCAGGGAGGGGATCAACATGGCCGCTGCACCCCGGACTGTACTGATCTCCGGCTGCTCATCAGGAATTGGTCTGGAACTTGCAGTGCAGCTGGCCCATGACCCCAAGAAGCGCTACCAGGGTAAGAGGTGCAGGGTGGTGCTAGGAGGTGGCAGGGTGCAGATGGCTTCCCCAGCACTGTCTCCCCTACCTATCCCTTCCAGCTGCACTTGTGGGCTTGGGGAGGACCAGCAGGCATGGGGTCTTCCTCTCCCTCCGGGAATCATCCCCTCATCCTGCAAATATTTCTTGAGCACCTTCTGGCTGTTCTGAATGCTGGCAACACAACTGGGGATGAAATAGATGAAAATCTCAGCCCTCAGGACGCATGTCATAGAACTGGGGTACGAGAGGGAGGATGGGAGATAAACAGATGAAATTGTTGCTGTATCTGGTGGGAATATGTGCTAAGAAACAAAATGAAGCATGCCAAGAGTGACGGGTGGTATTTTTAGAAGGGTTTCACTGGGGCACTTCCTTGGCTGGAATAATTACTACCCTGATGCTAACTCCTCCACCTCTCCCCAGATTACTGCTTTTAATGAGATAAGCTTCTTAAGCACTCCTGACCTTGGGGGTTGAAGGGATGGCCTTCTAATTCTAGGCACTTGCCCCTCTGCAGCTCTGACATAAATCCCTGGGACCTGCATCCTAACCAACCAGGAGAACCCCTGACCCAGACGAGCATGCTGCAGTCCAAGTGGGCAAAGGGTTGTTACTTATAAGGAGGCGACTGGGGGTGAGGGCACTGCCCCAGTTGGCAGGGCTGCTTCCCCCAGCCCTCTGTCCTCTGTTTTAGAGACACTCACAGCTTTGAGCGTGAGAGCCTGAATGCCAGTGTGCAGGGAAGAACGTGTGTCCCTGTGGGCAGGCAGATGGGTGCATGAACCTGCTGGAGGCTCGTGCTGATTGAGCTTTTACAATGCACCAGGCTGCATTCTAAGTTCCCTGGCATCCAGGAAGTCGTTCGTTTCTCAGGCCTGTGAGGCAGGCACTGTCAGCCACCCCAATTTATTATTATTTTATTATTTATTAGTTTGTTTGTTTGTTTTGAGTCAGAGTCTCATTCTGTTGCCCAGGCTGAGTGCAGTGGTGCAATCTCAGCTCACTGCAACCTCCACCTCCCAGGCTCAAGTGATTTTCATGCCTAAACCTCCTGAGTAGCTGGGATTACAGGCACACGCCACCATGCCCGGCTAATTTTTTGTATTTTTAGTAGATGGGGTTTCACCATGTTGGCCAGACCAGTCTCAAACTCCTGGCTTCAGTTGATCTGCCCGCCTCGGCCTCCCAAAGTGCTGGGATTACAGGCGTGAGCCACTGTGCCCAGCTGCCCCATTTTAGAAGTGAGGAAACTGAGGCACAGACTGTCGAAGGTCTTTACTCAAGGTCTCTCAGCTGCAAAGTGGCAGAGCTGGGATTTGAACTCAGGCAACCCATCCCTTGCATCCATGTTTGCCACTAACTCTCATGTAGATGCAAGTGGCCTCATTCATGTGGCTGCTACCCATGAATCACACTGGCCCAAAGACAAGATGCAAATGCCCCCAGGAGTGTTCATGGGTGATTATGGGTGCACACGTGGGGGGATATCAAACATGTATGCTGGGGCAAGTCCAGAGTACATATTCTGAGGTCCCACTTAAGAGCATAAGCTGGAGGCCGGGCACAGTGGTTCATTCCTAAAATCCCAGCACTTTGGGAGGCTGAGGCAGGGGGATCACCTGAGGTCAGGAGTTCAAGACCAGCCTGGCCAACATGGTGAAACCCCTTCTCTACTAAAAATATAAAAATTAGCCAGGCATAGTGGCACGTGCCTATAATCCCAGCTAGTTGGGAGGCTAAGGCAGGAGAATGGCTTGAACCTGGAGGCAGAGGTTGCAGTGAGCTGAGATTGCGTCATTGCCCAGCATGGGCAACAAGAGCTAGATTCTGTCTGGAAAAAAAAAAGAGAGCAAGAGCATGAACTTGGCTGGGCACTGGGGTTCTCTGGCCCCTCATGCCTGCAATCCCAGAACTTGGGGAGAATGAGATGGGCAGATCATCTGAGGTTCAAGACCAGCCTGACCAATATGGTGAAATCCTCTCTCTACTAAAAATATGAAAAATAAGCTGGGCATGGTGGCGGGGCCCTGTAATCCCAGCTACTCAGGAGGCTGAGGCAGGGAAATCGCTTGAACCTGGGAGACGGAGGTTGCCGTTAGCCGAGATAGCACCATTGCACTCCAGCCTGGGAAACAAGAGTGAAAGAGTGAATCTCCTTTAAAAAAATGTGGCTATTCACTTAAGTGTTTATATATGTACATACGTTGGCTGTAGGTGCGCATGCGCTTTTTTCATGGCAGTCTGTTTTGTGTTTATATATTTTACTGTCTTACCTACTAGGCTATAAGTTCCATGAAGGCAGACACTATTGATTGATTGATTTTTTGAGACCGAGTCTTACCAGGTTGGAGTGCAGTGGCATGATCTTGGCTCACTACAACTGCCACCTCCAGGTTCAAGCGATTCTCCTGCCTCTGCCTCCTGAGTAGCTGGGATTACAGGTGCCTGCGACCATGCCCAGATAATTTTTTGTATTTTTAGTAGAGATAGAGTTTCACCATATTGGTCAGGCTGGTCTCCAACCTCAGATGATCTGCCTGCCTCATCCTCCCCACGTGGTGGGAGGATGCCTGCCTCAGCCTCCCGAGTAGCTGAGATTACAGGCACGTGCCACCACACCTAGCAAAGTTTTGTATTTTTAGTAGAGATGGGGTTTCACCATGTTGGTCAGGATGGTCTCAATCTCTTGACCTTGTGATCCACCTGCCCAGGCCTCCCAAAGAGCTGGAATTACAGGTGTGAGCCATCTTGCCTGGATTTATTCTTTGATTTTTTGAATCAGGGTCTCACTCTGTCACCCAAGCTGGAGTGCAGTGGCTCTGTCTTGGCTCACTGCACCCTCAAACTCCTGGGCTCAAGCGATCCTTCCATTGCAGCCTCCCAAGTAGCCTGGACTACAGGTGGGGGCCAGCCCACCACACCTGGCTAATTTGTATATATATTTTTTGTAGAGATGGGATCTCGCTTTACTTGTCCAGGCTGGTCTCGAACTCCTGGGGTCAAGCCACCCTCCCACCTTGCCCTCCCAAAGTGTCGGGATTACAGGCGTGAGCCACCAGGCCCGAATGACTTTATCTTATTTCATGCCATAGCCTCAGCACCTAGAATAGGGCATAGTGTATCGTAGATGCTCAATAAATGTCTGTTGAACTCATGGTTGGCAGGATGGATATAGGTAGGTGGAGATGCGTGTACACAAGTGTGCATTTGTTGGCTGAGTGATAATGTAGGTGTGTAAACTGTGACTTCTCATGCAAGATCACAGAAACACGCAAGCCCTCACCCAGGGGAAAGGAGCTCAGTGCCTGTCCCTGCTCTACTCTCTGCCCCCAGTGGTGGCCACTATGAGGGACCTGAGGAAGAAGGAGACACTGGAGGCTGCTGCTGGGGAGGCTCTGGGGCAGACCCTCACTGTGGCCCAGCTGGACGTGTGCAGCGATGAGTCGGTGGCCCAGTGTCTCAGCTGCATCCAGGGAGAAGTGGACGTGCTGGGTGAGAGTCACAGTCCCTGGTTCACTAAGCCCCATCCTGGGCTGAGTATAGACCCTCAATACGGCCAGGTCTGAGCACCAGCTTTCTGGTTTCTTCAGCAGTCTCTAAACCTGGACAGAAGGGGTAGATCAATTGGCCAAGATGGGTAGACAGATGGTCCTACCAATGATTTACTAAGGGCTGGGTAGGGTGGCTCACGCCTGTCATCCTGGCACTTTGGGAGGCTAAGATAGGAGGATTGCTCGAGTCCAGGAGTTCAAGAACAGCCTGAGCAAAATAATGGGACTCTAACTCTACAAAAAAAATTAAAATTTAGCCAGGCATAGTGGTGCATGCCTAATCCCAGCTACTTGGGAGGCCAAGGTGGGAGGATCCCTTGAGCCCAGGGGTTTGAGGCTCCAGTGAGTTATGATAGAGCCAGTATGGAAGACAGAGCAAGACCTTGTCTCAAAACTCAATTTTTTTTTTTGAGACATAGATTTGCTCTTGTTACCCAGGCTGGAGTGCAATGGCGCGATCTCGGCTCACCGCAACCTCCGCCTCCTGGGTTCAGGCAATTCTCCTGCCTCAGCCTCCCGAGTAGCTGGGACTACAGGCGTGCGCCGCCATGCCCAGCTAATTTTTTTTGTATTTTTAGTAGAGACGGGGTTTCACCATGTTGACCAGGATGGTCTCGATCTCTTGATCTCTTGATACACCTGCCTCGGCCTCCCAAAGTGCTGGGATTACAGGCGTGAGCCACCATGCCCGGCAAATCAATTTTTTTTTGAGATGGAGTCTTGCTCTGCATCCAGTGGCATAATCTTGGCTCACTGCAATTACCACCTCCCAGGTTCAAGCGATTCTCCTTCCTCACCTCCAGAGTAGCTGAGATTACAGACACCTGCCACCATGTCCAGCTAATTGTTGTATTTTTAGTAGAGACGAGGTTTCACCATGTTGGCCAGGCTGGTCTCAAACGCCTGACCTCAAGTGATCTGCCCACCTTGGCCTCCCAGAGTGCTGGAATTACAGGCATGTACCACCACACCTGGCCAAAAATGAATTTTTTTAAAAGAATAAAAATATTAGAGACACTAGTAACAAACAGAGGCCTGGGCGGGGCGGATTTTATGGAATGGAAATTCTCACATATGGAGAAAGCCATATGTGGTTGGGAAAATTACTTGGATGAGTCACTTGGGGAAGACAGTATGATGCAGAAATAAGTCATAAGGTCCCTAAACCTTCACAGGAGGGTGGGTGTTGCTGTCTTGATGTGATTTGGGGTCGGAATTCAATTGCTCATGCATTAAGGGGGACGCTATTCCCAGCAGCCCTTCCTCCCACCCAGGGCTGAGGATCCCCTATGACAAATGCTAAACTGTGTTCAAAGATCATCAAGGTTTCAGCCGGGCTCGGTGGCTCACACCTGTAATCCCAGCACTTTGGGAGGCTGAGGCGGGTGGATCACGAGGTCAGGAGTTTAAGACCGGCCTGACCAACATGATGAAACCCTATCTCTACTAAAAATACAAAAAATTAGCTACTTGGGAGGCTGAGGCAGGAGAATCGCTTGAACCCGTGAGGTGAAGGTTGCAGTGAGCCAAGATCATGCCATTGCACTCCAGCCTGGGCAACAAAGCAAGACTCTATCTCAATAAATAAATAAATAAAGATCACCAAGGTTTCCAGGGTTTCATATTTGTCCACCTAAGATACCGTGGACATGGAGTACGGGATGGGGTGATTCAGGGAGTGTCTGAAAGTGATGCTAGGGGACAAGGGATTTGCGGTAACCCTTAGTGCCTCTTCTCTTAGTGAATAATGCCGGAATGGGCCTGGTGGGGCCCCTGGAGGGGCTCAGCCTCGATGCCATGCAGAATGTCTTTGACACCAACTTTTTCGGAGCTGTCCGTCTGGTCAAAGCTGTGCTTCCAGGCATGAAGAGGAGGCGGCAGGGCCACATTGTGGTCATCAGCAGCGTCATGGGGCTGCAGGGTGAGCTGTGGGGACCCGCCCCTGGAAATCCCAGCAGTGTCTGACCCTCTCCAGACTGGAAGGATGGCAAATGGGTTTTAGATCATATTCTAATTTAGCCTGGAGCCCGGGTGTGATGGTTCACGCCTATAATCCTAGCATTTTGGGGGGCTGAGACGGGAGGATTGCCTGAGCTCAGGAGTTTGAGACTAGCCTGAGCAACATGGTAAAAGCCTGTTTCTAGTAAAATACAAAAAAATCAGCCAAATGTGGTGGGCACATGCCTGTAATCACAGCTATTCAGGAGGCTGAGGCAGAATCGCTAGATCTCGGGAGGCGGAAGCTGCACTCCAGCCTGGACAACAGAGCGAGACTCCGTCTTCAAAAAGAAAAAAACTGAGAAATCAGCCGAGCATGGTTGTGTGTGCCTGTAGTCCCAGCTACTCGAGAGGCCGAAGTGGGAGGATCACTTAAGCCAGGAGTTCAAGGCTGCAGTGAGCTGTGATGGTGCCACTGCAGCCCAGCCTGCAGGACAGAGCAAGACCAAGCAAGGAAGGAAGGAAAAGAAAGAAAGAAAGAACAAAAGACAGAAAGAGAAAGAAGAGAGAAAAAGAAAGGCAGGAGAGAGAAAGAAAAAGGGAGAAAGAGACAAGGATCCCACTGAAGAGAAAATGGAGGGGATTCCATGTCCATGGGGCCCAAAGGTTTAGAGAATGGAGGGAAATAGGGGAGTTTCCTGGGACCAGGTAGAGCTGGAAGGTGGTGGCACCCGAGAACAACCTTGTCCTGACCCCGTACGACCCCATCACACACAATGCCATACAGCCATCATCTTGGCACCAGATATCTGTTCTGTCTGGTCCCCACATCCTCGTTGCTCTGTCTCCCAAAGGCCCCATCACCCTGGAACCCACAAAACCTATCTCCCAGACCCCCAAAGAGGTTTCCTCCCTCTGACCCTCACAGGTGTCATCTTCAACGATGTCTATGCTGCCTCCAAGTTCGCCCTGGAGGGATTCTTCGAAAGCTTGGCTATCCAACTGCTGCACTTCAACATCTTGTGAGGCGGGCACGTGGGCAGATGGGGGTTGGAGGCCGGGCTGGGGAGTTGGAATCGAAACGGGGAAAGACAATGAAGTTGGGTGCAGTGGCTCACACCTGTAATCCCAGCACTTTGAGAGGCTGAAATGGGAGGATCGCTTGAAGCCAGGAGTTTGAGACCAGCCTGGGCAACATATATCGAGACCCTATCTCAACAAAAAACTTAAAAATTATCCAAGGGTGGTGGTGTGTGTACCTGCAGTCCCAGCTACTTTGGAGGCTGAGGGAGGAGGACTGCTTGAGCCTAGGAGTTGGAGGCTGCAGTGAGCTATGATCATGCCACTGCACTCCAGCCTGGGCAACAGAGTAAGACCTGTCTCTTAAAAAAAAATTGGAGGCCGGGTGCGGTGGCTCACGCCTGTAATCCCAGCACTCTGAGAGGCCGAAGTGGGTGGATCACCTGAGGTCGGGAGTTCAAGACCAGCCTGACCAACATGGTGAAACCCCATCTTTAAAAAATAAAAATAAAAAAAATTGGACAAAATAGGGCAGGGAGTGGTTGAACTGTCAGACTCACACTACCCCTGCCTGGTCACAGCATCTCCCTGGTGGAGCCAGGCCCCGTGGTCACCGAGTTTGAGGGGAAGCTTCTGGCGCAGGTTTCTACAGCTGAGTTCCCAGGCACTGACCCTGACACCCTGCACTACTTCCGGGACCTCTACCTCCCAGCCTCCAGGGAGCTGTTTCGCTCCGTGGGACAGAGCCCACAGGACGTGGTTCAGGTGAGTGAGGGGCCCAGAGCCCCAAGATGTGGCTCGGATATGTTTCAGGGAGAGGCCCTCCCTGGGTCCCAGCACTCAGGGACTCCACCCTGCAGGCCATTGTCAAGGTCATCGGCTCAACTCGACCACCCCTGCGCCAACAGACCAACATCCGCTACTCGCCGCTGACCATGCTCAAAACCGTGGACTCCTCCGGCAGCCTGTACGTGAGAACCACCCACTGCCTCCTCTTCCGCTGTCCACGCCTCCTCAGCCTCGGCCTCCGATGTCTGTCCTGCGGCTGCCTCCCAGCCCGGGTGCGGCCAAGATGAGCCGAACAGAGCCTCACGATCCCCACCCCTAAACAACTAGATCTGTTCATTCCATGTCTAATTCAGAGACTGAGCAGACTCTCCATGCATTCATTCACTCTGCAAACTCCTCTCCTGCTCTGTGCCTGGATGTGGCTAGAATCCCAGAAAGGCCTCAATTTTCAGGCATAGACACCTCTGTGGTCACAGTTGGAATAGAGAGAGGAACCCCGGGAACTTGGGCTGGGGAGCCCAGAGCAGGAAGCCCCAGCTGTCGCTGGGAAAGCAAGGGCGGCTTTCTGGAGGAAGAGGCATTGTTATGACCCTTGAAGGATGAGACAGACTCTGCCTCATTCAACCTCATGACTTCACGATCCTGGGCCCGAGAATACAGGAATGATTCATAACTCCCACCCCCCACCCCCGTGCATACCAGAGCTCTGTAGACCAAGGGGACACTCCTGGTTACACATCCCATCAGCAAAATGTATTTGAGCACACACCAGCAATGTATGTATATTTTTTCCATTAAATATATATTTATAATCACAAGTCATAGTTACATTTACTATTTAATGAAGCTCGATTTCTTAAAATTGAATAAAAAATTAAAAAGCCAGTTGAACTACTGGCTCCAAAGAGAGAGAGAGAGAAAGAAAGACGGAGAAAGCCAGCAAGCAAGCAAGCCGGGCTGGTGGCTCACGCCTGTAATCCCAGCACTTTGGGAGGCTGAGGCAGGCAGATCACTTGAGGCCAGGAGTTCGAGATCAGCCTGGCCATCATAGCGAAACTCTCTCTCTACTAAAAATACAAAAATCAACCGGGCACGGTGGCAGGCGCCTGTAATCCCAGCTACTAGGGAGGCTGAGGCATGAGAATCACTTGAACCCAGGAGACAGAGGTTGCAGTGAGGCCAAGATCACGCCACTGCACTCCGGCCCGGGCGGCAGAGCAAGACTCTGTCTGAAAAAAATAAAACAGAAACTCATGAAAGGATAAACAGACTTTTGTATATCCTTATAAAGGAAGGAAATTCTGACACACGGGTGAGTACTGAGAACACCAAGCTGAGTGAAATAAACCAGATAGAAAATTCCACTTATCTGAGAGGCCTAAAGTAGTCAAATCCACGGAGGTGAAAAGTCACACAGTGGGCACCCGGGGTGGAGGGAGGACGGAATGGGGAATCTGTGTTTCAAAGGGACAGAGTTTTGGTCTGGGAAGTGGATGAAGTTCTGGAGATTGACAGCGGTGAGGGTTGCACCCCAATGTGAATGTACCTAAGGCCGCTGATCTGTACACTTATAAATGGTTAAAGTGGTAGTTACTATTTTTTTGGAGACAGTCTCGCTCTGTCACCCAGGCTAGAGTGCAGTGGCACAATCTCAGCTCACTGCAACCTCTGCCTCCTGGGTTCAGGCAATTCTCCTGCCTCAGCCTCCAGAGTGGCCACAGGCGTGTGCCACTATGCCCAGCTGATTTTTGTATTTTTAGTAGAGATGGGGTTTTTCCACGTGGGTCAGGATGGTCTCAAACTCCCAACCTCAGGTGATCCTCCCGCCTTAGTCTCCCAAAGTGCTGGGATTATAGGCGTGAGCCACCATGCCCGGCCAAAAATGGTAAGTTTTGTAGTGCACATATTTTACCACAATTTTATTTTTATTATTATTTTTTCTGAGACAAAGTTTCGCTGTTGTTACCCAGACTGGAGTGCAATGGCACGATCTCGGCTCACCGCAACCTCCGCCTTCTGGGTTCAAGCAATTCTCCTGCCTCAGCCTCCCGAGTAGCTGGGACTACAGGCACGCACCACCATGCCCAGCTAATTTTTGTATTTTTAGTAGAGACGGGGTTTCACCTTGTTGACCAGGATGGTTTCAATCTATTGACCTCGTGATCTACCCGGGTTGGCCTCCCAAAGTGCTGGGATTATAGGCGTGAGCCACCGAGCCCGGCCTTTACCACAATTTTAAAACAGACATGGAGAGTTTTAGTTTAAACAAACTGAATATAGGCCAGGCACAATGACTCATGCCTGTAATCCTAGCACTTTGGGTGACCGAGACAGGTGCATCACCTCAGGTCAGGAGTTCAAGACCAGTTTGGCCAACATGACTAAACCCCATCTCTACTAAAAATACAAAAATTAGCTAGGCACGGTGGTAGGTGCCTGTAATCCCAGCTACTCAGGAGGCTGAGGCAGGAGAATTGCTTGAACCCAGAAGGTGAAGGTTGCAGTGAGCCAAGACTGCCCCACTGCACTTCAGCCTGGGTGACAGAGTGAGACTCTGTCTCAAAACAAAAAACACGCAACTGAATATATACTTTAAAAAACTTTTTTTCACTAAAAGCATCATACGATATGAATTAATGTGAACTTTACTTGTTACCTTTAATCATGTATACCTTGGAGGATTTTTTTTTCTTTTTTGAGACAGGGTCTTGCTCTGCTGTCTCAGCCTCCTGAGTAGCTGAGATTACAGGCACACTCTACTACACCCAGCTAATTTTTTGTACTTTTAGTAGAGACGCAAGGTGGTGCACGCCTATAATCCCAGCTACTCAGGAGGCTGAGGCAGGAGAATTGCTTGAACTGGGGAGGTGGAGGTTGCAGTGAGCCGAGATCACACCAGTGCATTCCAGCCTGGGTGACAGAGCGAGACTCCATCTCAAAAAAAAAAAAAAGTTTGGACTTACTCTATTTATTTATTTAATTTTGAAATGTTTCCTAGCTGGAGTCTTGTTCTGTCACCCAGGCTGGAGTGCAATGCGCAGTCTCGGCTCACTTGTCCCACCTCAGCCTCCCAGCCTTACTCTTATGTTGTGGAATTATTATTATTGTTATTACACTTTTAAATTTCAAGACCCAGTAACAAAGGACGTACTGATAGCACAGTGGCTCACACATGTAACCCCAACACCGGGAGGTGAAGCCAAGCAAATCACTTGACGCCAGGATTTTGAGACCAGCCTGGGCAGCACAGCAAAACCCCTTCCCTACAAATAATTTCAAAAGTAGCCCAGTGTGGTAGCATGCCCCTGCAGTCTCAGCTACTCAGGAGGTTGAGGTGGGAGGATCCCTCGCATCCAGGAGTTGGAGGCTGCAGTGAGCTATGACTGCACCATTGCACTTCAGCCTGCTGAGAGAGACAGACCCCATCTCAAATAAATAAATAGATAAAGGACATACCCACACTGATTCTGTTAAAACACAAAGATGGCTGGGCACGGTGGCTCACGCCTATAATCCCAGCACTTTGGGAGGCTGAGGCGGGCAGAACATGAGGTCAAGAGATCAAGACCATCCTGGCCAACATGATGAAACTCGTCTCTACTAAAAACGCAAAAATTAGCCGGGCGTGGTGGCACGCACCTGTAGTCCCAGCTACTGGAGAGGCTGAGGCAGGAGAATCACTTGAATCCAGGAGGCAGAGGTTATAGTGAGCCTAGATAGCGCCACTGCCCTCCGGCCTGGAGGCAGAGCGAGGCTCCTTCTTCAAAAGCAAAAACAACAACAACAAACAAACAAACAAACCAGAACCAAAAGGTACAAAGGTAAAGTCAATCCTCTTTGCAAAACTCCCCAGTGGCTTCTCCTCCTATTTAGACTTTTTTTTTTGAAACAGGATCTTGCTCTGTCATCAGATTGGAGTGTAGTGATGCAGCCTCAACCTGCTAGTCTCAGAAGACCTTCCCACCTCAGCCTCCTGAGTAGCTGGAACCCCAGGTGCACGTCACCACGCCTAGCTAACTTTTAATAAACTTTTTGTAGAGAGGGAGGTCTCACTATGTTGCCCAGGCTGGTATTAAACTCTTGGTCGGCTTTGCAGATGCCACCGCCGCCTGGAGCCTTGTAGTATCAGCCATGGTCAACCCCACCGTGTTCTTCGACATTGCCGTCGACGGCGAACCCTTGGGCCGCGTCTCTTTTGAACTGTTTGCAGACAAGATTCCAAAGACAGCAGAAAACTTTCGTGCTCTGAGCACTGGAAAGAAAGGATTTGGTTATAAGGGTTCCTGGTTTCACAGAATTATTCCAGGGTTTATGTGTCAGGGTGGTGACTTCACACACCATAACGGCACTGGTGGCAAGTCCATCTACGGGGAGAAATTTGATGACGAGAACTTCATCCTGAAGCATGCAGGTCCCGGCATCTTGTCCATGGCAAATGCTGGACCCAACACAAACGGTTCCCAGGTTTTCATCTGCACTGCCAAGACTGCGTGGTTGGACGGCGAGCATGAGGTCTCTGGCCAGGTGAAAGAGGCATGAGTACTGTGGACGCCATGGAGCGCTCTGGGTCCAGGAATGACGAGACCAGCAAGAAGATCACCATTGCTGACTGTGGATGACTTTCATACGTTTGACTTGTGTTTTATCTTAACCACCAGACCGTTCCTTCTGTAGCTCAGGAGAGCGCCCTCCACCCCATCTGCTCGCAGTTTCCTAGAATCTGTGCTCTCGCTGCAGTTCCCTTTGGGTTCCACGCTTTCCTTGTTCCCTTCCATGCCTAGCTGGATCGCAGAGTTAGGTTTATGATTATGTAATAAAGACTAATAAAATAAAATAAATAAACTCTTGGTCTCAAGCAATCCTTCTGCCTTGTCGTCCCAAAGGGCTGGGATTGCAGGTGTGAGCCGCCGTGCCCGGCCTGTTTTCCCTCTTATTCAGACTCAGATCAAAACTACACCATCTGACCACTGAACATTTGTCTCAAATTATCTCCCACTTTCCCCCATCCCCCACTCATTCCAGCAACACTGGCCTCTTTGCTGTGCCATTTCGTCTGTCTGTCTTTCACTCTTTTTTAGAGACAGGGTCTCTCTCTGTCACCCAGGCTGGTGTGCAGTGGCACAATCATAGTTCACAGCAACCTCAAACTCCTGGACTCGAGTGATCCTCCAGCCTTGGCCTCCTAAAGTGCTTGTCTCACAGGTATGAGCCACCATGCCTGGCCTCCTTGCTGTTTCCTCTTCATAGAATGTTTTCCCCAAATATCCACAAGGCTCCCTCCTTCACTTCCTTCATTTGCTCATATATCACCTCCTCCATGAAGCCCTCCAGGATCACCATAAGATAGCACACTGTTCCTTTATTCTCTTACCTGTTTTATTTCCCATCATCTGACATGGTTCTCCCTTTCTTTCCTTCCCCCCTTCCTTCCTGCCTTCCCTCGTTTTTCTTTTCTTTTTCCTTCCTTCTTTTTCTTTCATATATACATATATAAACAAGGGCCTTGCTTTACTGAGCAGGCTGCTGTTGAACTCCTGGGTTCAAGCGACCCTCCCACCTCGGCCTCCCAAAGTGCTGGGACTACAGACATGAGCCACCACGACTGGGAAGCATATACTACTATGCTACGCTTGTTTCTTACTGGCGCCACCCCCTAGAACGTCAGCTCCACGGGCAGGGGACTGTTGTTGTCTCTTTTCTCTACCCACATCATCAGCACTGTGGAAATGAAAAAATGACTCAAGGAGCCTGGGCTGGGGACTGGAAGTGACCAAGCTAGCACATCCTGGCAGTAGAGTCCACACTGAGAAGCTCCTGATACCTCCTACCTGGACAAGACAGGGTACTTCTCTGACCCTCGGTTTCTTCATCTGTGAAATGGAGCTTGCCAGGGAGAAAGTCCTATTAAGTGCTGGGAACGTAGTAGGTGTCTAATAGATTAGAGCCCTTAATAATCATGTTGATGGTAGCCTTATTCCTTGGTCTCCTGGGTCCTGCCCGGCCTTTCCTGGGAAGCTCTGAGCTACAAGCCCTGGAGGAGGGAGTAAAACCAGAGGCTGCATCTCTGTAAGGACACATCCCTGCAAGGCCGCCCCTCCCTCCTCGGTTTAAACTCCGGGTCCCCGGGAGGGGAAGGCGGACGGAATCTGAGCGGCAGGCGCAGCTGCTCCGGGCGGGCGGCCAAAGTCTCCTCCCTCCAGCACCGGCATTCCTGCGGGAGGGGCCGAGAGCAGCTGTTCGCCTGGCCGGAGGCTCGCTGGCGCCCTCTGGTGTCCAAGTGCGAGACGCCACGTGGACTTGAGCAGGAGCCGCCAGTCTGTCCCAGGCCACTGTCTGCAGCTCAGGTGGACCTGGGTGGAGCTAGGTCCACCCCCTACCTTTCTGGGGTTCCCTTTACCATCCGGGTTCACGAACTCAGCTGCCATTACTAAACTTGCTGTGTGACCTTGGGCAAGACACTCAACCTCCCTGTGCCACAGTTTCTCAGCTGGGCAATTTGGGATAGGATTCTTCACCTTTTTAGTGCTGCTGTTTTTCTCTTTCTTTCTTTCTTTCTTTCTTTCTTTCTTTCTTTCTTTCTTTCTTTCTTTCTTTCTTTTCTTTCTTTCTTTCTTTCTTTCTTTCCTTCCTTCCTTCCTTCCTTCCTTTCCTCCTTCCTTCCTTCCTTCCTTCCTTCCTTCCTTCCTTCCTTCCTCCCTCCCTCCCTCCCTCTCTCTCTCTCTCTCTCTCTCTCTCTCTCTTTTGACAGAGTTTCACTCTTGTTACCCAGGCTGGAGTGAAATGGCGCGATCTCGGCTCACCAAAACCTCTGCCTCCTGGGTGCCTCCTGGGTTCAGGCAATTCTCCTGCCTCAGCCTCCCGAGTAGCTAGGACTACAGGTGCGCACCACCATGCCCAGCTATTTTTTTTTTTTGTATTTTTGATAGAGACGGAGTTTCACCTTGTTGACCAGGATGGTCTCGATCTCTTGACCTCATGATCCACCTGCCTCGGCCTCCCAAAGTGCTGGGATTATAGGCGTGAGCCACTGCGCCCAGCCTAAAAAAAATTTTTTTAATGGCTCAGATTGTTCTACCTGGAAATCTCATCGTGTAGACAGAGACATTGGTACTGGGAGATAGGGCCCAGACTGGAGGAAAAGAAAGGGACTGTGGAGAGAGCCAGCTGATGCCCCTTGCTTCTGGACAATTGCCTGTCCCAGACACCTGCAATCCCTGCCCGCAACAGAGGGGGGATGTGAACACCTGCTGAAGGGAACTCTCACCCCCAGCCCAGGCAGAGCTAAACAGAACTACTGAAGGCCAGGCACAGTGGCTCACGCCTGTAATACAGGTACTTTGGGAGGCCGAGCTGGGCGGATTACCTGAGGTCAGGAGTTTGAGAGCAGCCTGATTAACATGGTGAAACCCCGTCTCTACTAAAAATACAAAAATTAGCTGGGTGTGGTGGTGGGCATCTTTAATTTCAGCTACTCATGAGGCTGAGACAGGAGAATTGCTTGAATCTGGGAAGCAGAGATTGCAGAGAGCCAAGGTTGTGCTACTGCACTCCATCCTGGGTGACAGAGCGAGACTCCATTTTAAAAAACAAAAACAAGACCGGGCGCAGTGGCTCACACCTATAATCCCAGCACTTTGGGAGGCTGAGGTGGGCAGATCACAAGGTCAAGAGATCAAGAACATCCTGGCCAACACAGTGAAACCCCGTCTCTACTAAAAGGACAAAAATTAGGTAAGTGTGGTGGCAGGCGCCTGTAATCCCAGCTACTGGGGAGGCTGAGGCAGGAGAATCACTTGAACCCGGGAGGTAGAGGTTGCAGTGAGCCAAGATCACACCATTGTACTCCAGCCTGGCGATAGAATGAGACCCCGTAAAAAAAAAAAAAAAAAAAAGAACAGAACCAATGGAGATTCCCTGAAACCCTGGGACAGTAAATATAGACACTAATGTTCTAGAACCTTCCAAATTAAGTGTCACCTGCTTATCTGAGCCAGGCTTAAATTTGATTCTATTGAGTCTTTGCTCCCTAAAACATCAACTTAAGAGCATTAGCTGAAGCCTCACTGCTCCGCAGCTGCCTGACATGGGGCAAATTGCTTAGCCTCCTGGGGCCTCAGTCTCCTTATCTGTAAAATGTGTGCTAATTACTTCAGCATGACTGGAAGGCAACTCTTCCTCCCCCTTCTCCCCCTTCTCCCCCTTTTCCCCCTCTTCCCCTTCTCGCCCTCCTTCCCCCTCCCCTCCCCCTTCCTTCTCCCCCTCCTCCCCTCCCTCCCCCCCCCTCCTTCTTCTTCTCCCTCTCCTTATCCTCCTCCTCCTCCTTCCCCTTCCCCTCCTCCTCCTCCTTCTTCTTTTAAGGTAGGGTTGCCCAGGCTGGAGTGCAGTGGTGTAATCACTGCTCACTGCATCCTCGGCCCCCTGGGTTAAAGCAATCCTCCCACCTCAGCGTCCTGAGTAGCTGGGACTACAGGTGTGCACTACCACACCTGGGTTTTTTTTTTTTTTTTTGTAGGGACAGAGTCTCACTATGTTGCCCAGGCTGGTCTCAAACTCCTGGCCTCAAGCAATCCTCCTACCTCAGCTTCCTGAAGTGCTGGGATCACAGGCATGAGCCACCACTCCTGGCCCAGCTGCAAACCTTCTATGAGGGGACAAAGAGCACATTGAACGCTGTCTGGAAACAAATGCCCAAGGAATAAATAACTAGATCCCACTCCTCTCTTTGCTTCTGACACCCTTGGTTTCAGCTCTCTACAAAGGCAGGACCTATAAAATGGGCACACATTAAGGCCCAATTAATGGGAGACTATGAGATTTCAGGAGAAAATGCACCTTAGACCCTTGGTAAGTAAGTGTGCAGTAAATGTCCACTTCACACAGGCAGGGATTTTGTCTGTCATGCTCACTGCTGTGTCCCCAGCATGCCAAGTAGGGGCCAGGCTCATAGTAAACGCTTAACGAATCTTTGCTGGATAAATGTGTATTATCTGCTGGATGCAGTGGCTCAGGCCTGTAATCCCAGCACTTTGAGAGGCTGAAGTGGGTGGATCACTTGAGGTCTGGAGTTCAAGACCAGCCTGGCCAACATGGTGAAATCCTGCCTATACTAAAAATTCAAAAAATTAGCTGGGTGTGAATGATGCACACCTGTAATCCTAATGACTCAGGAGGCTGAGGTGGGAGAACGGCTTGAACCTGAGATTGCCGTGAACCAAGAGCGCACCACTGCACTCCAACCTGCAACAGACTGAGATGTCTCAAAAAAAAAGTGGCTGGGCACAGTGGCTCACACCCATAATCCCGGCACTTTGGGAAGCCAAGGTGGGTGGATCATGAGGTCAGGAATTTGAGACCAGCCTGACCAACATGGTGAAATCCTGTCTCTACTAAAAATACAAAATTAGCTGGGCATGGTGGCGCACACCTGTAATCCCAGCTACTCAGCAGGCTGAGGCTGGCGCAGAGCCAAGACTGCGCCACTGCACTCCAGCCTGGACAACAGAGCAAGACTCTATCTCAAAAAAAAAAAAAAGTATATTATCATTTAGCAGGGGGATCAGGAACCCTTCAAGAGGCAAAATTTCCCAAGCTGCTGAATTGACATCACTGTAGGGGGTCGAGTCAAACAGGCTCTTCATCAAGCCCAGCTGCCTCGTAGAGGCAGACACCACAAAGCCATCTCAACATTGTATTTAATAAGCCCACTGAACAGTGCGAATTATTTGAGGACAGAGAAAGCCTTTTTCCAGGAATGCTTCAAGCATGATGTGTTTTCTTCCCTGGTTTAATATGTATAATTTGCCTTCTGGAAAAGGAACCCAGAGACTCTGGCATGGCTTAGGAAACAATAGACAATGACCACAATTTACTAAGCGGAATTGCCTCCTGCAAGGATGGAGAAATCCGTGTAGTACAAGGACTTGAACCCCGGAAAGAGGACTTTGACCCGTGGATTTCTCAGGAGGTTCCGTTATGGTGGGTCCTGAGGCCAGATGGTCAAATGCCACATGGCTGCTCATGCCTGGAATTGGGAAATAGGGAAAAAATGCCAGCACTGCCCCTATTTGGGCAGCTGCCCTGTTTTGCCAATTTCACAAGGGCAAAAGTAGGGAAAATCCATCCAGGCTAGGGAAGAAAGATGTTTGCTCCTCCTCCTGTCAGCCAATCGCAACCAAGCCCTGAGTTGTGTCCTGGGTGTGCAAAGCTCCTTGCTGGGTGAGGGGAGGGCTTTAGGATAAGACCTTCATGGCCAGGCATGGTGGCTCACACCTGTAATCCCAGAATTTTAGGAGGCCAAGGCGGGCGGATCACTTGAGGTCAGGAGTTCAAGACCAGCCTGGCCAACATGGTGGAAGCCCGTCTCTATTAAAAATACAAAAATTAGTCAGGTGTACTGGCGCATGCATGTAATCTCAGCTACTTGGGAGGATGAGGCCTGAGACTCACTTGAACCCAGGAGGCAGAGGTTGCAGTGAGCTGAGATTGCGCCATTGCATTCCAGCCTGGATGACAGAGCCAGACTCCATTTAAAAAAAAAAAAGGATTAGACCCTCATGGCTCATGGGGCAGGCAATTCTCCTACCACTCTGGCCCCAGAGGAAGGGGACTGGGGTACTTCTCAATGCATCTGACCCAAGCCTCTTTTGGAGGCTTGGCTGGAAAGTAAGAAACACCCCTGACTCCACCCCATTGGATTTACAGGAATTCTCGCCCCACACTTGTTTAGATATTAACTCAGCCACGACAAGCCAAGGCAAACAGTCCAGGGCTGGGGCAGACGAGAGGACAGACATCTGCAGCTGCCATGGATGTGCCCTGGCCCCTGGGGTGGATTCTGCTTCTCTTGGGAAGCCCCCTTACCCAAGCTGAGCCTCTGTGAGTCTGGGGAATGGAGGGGGCTCAGCCAGCTTCCTGCACATCCGATGTCTGTGATTCCAGCGTGTAACTCCTGTTCTGTGTCACTTTCCCTACTCAAGTCCCTTACTGCCACTGTGTTTATCTACCAGCAGGTACATCCTGGTGACCCCCCGAGTCCTGAGGGTCGGCAGCCCAGAGAACATCCACATTCAGGCCCATTCGGACTCCAGGCAGCCCCTCACAAGGACCCTGGAGGTGAACCTCACAGTGTGGGACTTCCCCAGGAAGAAGACAGTGTTGGCAAGGAGCCAGCTCATTCTCTCACCAGGAAATAACTTTATGGGCCAGGCACCTGTGACGGTATGTGGCAGGCTGGGATGGGTGACCACAAAGTGAGGCTCTGGGTCAGCAATAAAGGCAAAAAGGGGCAGACTCGGTCTGGAGAGTAGACGCAGGCCCCAAAGTACTTACTGCTCCTCTCATGCCCTGTCCATTTAGAAGTCGAATGTCCTTAATACTGGGCTCCAAGAAGCCTCCATTAGCCCATTTGATGCCTCTGCATGAATTATAAAAGGTGCCTTCTGTCGGTAGCTTGGGAAGCTGAGCAAGGACTGGGTCCGTCCTTCCCTTGGCTGGGCGTTCTTGTGTAGTGAGCAACCTGCACAACTGCACGTGGCAACATGTCTCCCAAAGACAGAGCCAGAAGACCTTCAGTCAATTGCTCCTTCCAGGATCTGTCCCAGGGCTTTACCCCCAGCCAGGGAGACCCCAGCAGAGCCTGCGGAGTATGGGTATCTCTCTCTCTCTCTCTCGGGTTCCTGAGAGCCTGGTATACCCCCCACAACCAGGGCAGCAATATGTCATCATCCGGGCAACTTGGGCACCCAGTTCAGTCTCCTCATTCATGGAGAAGATGGTGCTGGTGGCTCCTCATGCTGGTTACATCTTCATCCAGACAGACAAGACCATCTACACACCTGAGCACTTGGGTACAGCCCTGAGGCCCTTGGCCTGGGACAGTCACTGGCTCTCATCCCTAGTCTCTCCCAATGTCTGAGATACTCCCATCCCCTAAAACCTTTTCCACCTCCCAAGATTTCTCTCTGCATAAATGGCCCCCCCACAGCCCAAGATTCAAACCTCTCTCTCCCTCTCTCTCTCTCTCTCTCTCTCTCTCTCTCTCTCTCTCTCTCTCTCTCTCTCTCTCTCTCTCTCTCCCTTCCTCTACCCAATACTCAGAGTCCTCCTTCTCCCCCAGTTCAGTACCGGGTGTTCACTGTGAACCACAGGATGGACCCTGTGGCCAAGATATTCATTCTGGACATCAAGGTGGTCTTTCCTGATGGGGGGTGAATCCGGGACTCGGGTTACACGGTGTGCATGCCCCCCGGGCTGTCCCAGAGGGCAGTCACCAGCACGAGCCCCTGTCCCCACAGAACCCGAATGGAATCCCTGTGACTAGCCAGAGTGTGTTGGCCAAGGACGGCTTCTTTTACAGCTCCTTTCACCTCCCAGAGCTTGTCAGGTCTGGGAGCCCGAGGGGTGTCAAGGGAAGCTGTCATTCTCTGTCTCCATCTCTCTTAACTTTCTGTGCCTCAGTTTGGGGACCTGGACCATCGAAGCCCGCTACCAATGTGCACCCAGGCAGAGGTTCAAGGCTGCCTTTGATGTGAAGGAATATGGTGAGAAGGGTATGGATGGTGTGGGCAAGATGAACACGCCAGGGACGGGACTGGGATGGAAGGGAGGTTTCAGGGGGAGCCTCTGCTGTGAACCAGGACCTGAGCTGGGCACTGAGTGCTGGGTGCTGGTGTTTTAGACCTTAGGGGTTGGCAGAGCCACCGAGGAAGGAGCAGGACTGGGAGGAGATGAGGGAGCAGATGCAACACTGAGGGTGCCCATGGCTTTTTTTTCTCCTAGTCCTCCCATCTTTTGAGGTCCAGCTGATCCCCAACAGGACTTTCTTCTCCCTCAACGATGAGGCTCTGGGCATTGATATCCAGGCTCGGTGAGCCCCTTCCTCCCAGCCCTGCCAGAGGGCCAGGGACACAAAAATCAAGTGCACAGAAACAAGTGCCAGGTGTGATAGCTCATACCTGTAATCCAAGAGCTTTGGGAGATCTAGGCAGGAGGATCACTTGAGGCCAGGAGTTCAAGACCAGCCTGGACAACATGGTAAAATTTCTTCTCTACAAAAAAAAAAAAAATACAAAAGTCAGCAGCCGGGCGCAGTGGCTCATGCCTGTAATCCCAGCACTTTGGGAGGCAAAGGCAGGCAGATCATGAGGTCAAGAGATCAAGACCATCCTGGCCAACATGGTGAAACCCCTTCTCTACTAAAAATACAAAAATTAACCAGGCATGGTGGAATGTGCCTGTAGTCCCAGCTACTTGGGAGGCTCAGGCAGGAGAATCACTTGAACCCGGGAGGCGGAGGTTGCAGTGAGTGGAGATTGCACCACTGCACTCCAGCCTGGCAACAGAGCAAGACTCTGTCTCAAAAAAAAAAAAAAAAAATAATAGCTGGCTGGCTGGGCACGGTGGCTCATGCCTGTAATCCCAGCACTTTGGAAGATCAAGGCCATCCTGGCCAACATGGTGAAACTCTGTCTCTACTAAAAATACAAAATTAGCTGGGTGCGGTGGTAGGTGCCTATAGTCCCAGCTACTCAGGAGGCCGAGGCAGGAGAATCACTTGAAATAAGGAGGTGGAGGTTGCAGTGAGTGGAGATCGTGCCACTGCACTCCAGCCTGGTGACAGAGTGAGACTCCATCTCAAAAAAAAAAAGATATATACACACACACACACACACACACACACACACACACACACACAATTGCTGGGCACGGTGGCACACACCTGTAGTCCTAGGTACTCAAGGACTACTGAGATGGGAGAATCGCTTGAACCCAGGAGGCGGAAGTTGCAGTGAGCCGAGATTGCACCACTGTACTCTGGGTGACAGAGTGAGACTCTGTCTGAAAAAAAAAAAAAATTAGCCGGTATGGTGGTGTGTGCTTGTTGTTTCCATTACTAGGGAGGCTGAGGTGGAAGGATCACTTGAGCCCAGGAGGTAGAGATTGCAGTGAGCCAAGATTGTGCCACTGCACTCCAGTTTGGGTGACAGAGCAAGACCCTGTTGCAAAAAAAAAGAAAGAAAGAAAAGAGAAGAAGCAAGCCACTTCTGTAGCACTTAGGGTGGCAGACGCACTCTTCTCCCACCCATGGGCTATTCTGGGCCACCTATGTTGTCCTGTGAGGTTGTGCAGACCATGTCTGCCACCTGTGAGGTCGTATTTCTTCAAGTCTACAAAGTTGTACAGACCACCTTGTCTACCCGATGGAGTTATGCTGAGTCTCATCTCACCTGCAGCTTCACAGTGTAGACCACCTCTGAAAGTCCATGAGGTGGTACAGGCTACCTTTGCCATCGTGAGATTGTCCAGACCATCTCTGCAGCTCTACGAGATGGCAAATGACACATTTGCCACCTTGCGTTTCGCAGACCATCTGCATAGCTCTGTGAGGTTGTTCAGGCAATGCTGTCCACCAGAGGTTGTACAGGCGATGCCTGCCACTTCTGGACATTATATATAACGTCCGCAAACCATTCCTGCAGCTCTGGCATGCCACATAGGCCACCTGGTTTCCCTGGTGAGGCTGCACAGGCCACTTCATAGGTTGCCCAGACTTCTTGCGGCTTTATGTAGTCTTAAGTCCACCTCTACCATCTCGGGAGATTGCACAGACCACATCTGCAACCCATCAAGGCTTTATGAGATATATTTTTCACCTCTCAGAGTTGTGTGTGTCATCAGTGAAACCATCTAAGTTTCCAGGGGCTACCTCTGCCCCTCCCAATTGTGCACAGCCATCTCCGAAGCAACATGAGGTGTGTGGGTGCTTCAGAGACAGTGGAATGATCCTTCATCTCCCCACCCCAGGTATATATTTAACAAGCCGGTGGACGGACATGCTCTGGTCATCTTCGGGGTAAAGTTGGATTCCCGCCGGATCCTTATCCAAAGCTCCCTGCAGACGGTGGAGGTAACTGAATCCCGGCCCCTCCCCGACCTCCAATCCACTCCACCCTCTATCACTCCCCAAGCAACCGTGTCTCTTCCTCTCTCTTATCCTACAAACAGATCTCTGAAGGCCTGGGCCACATCTCTCTCCAGAAGGACATGCTGACGTCCACATTCCAAGGCCCAGAAAAGGACTTCATTGGAGGCTCAATCTTCGTCAATGTCACCGTGTTCTCCTCAGGTGCCACCCTTGCCTAGGCCCCTGACTGAGGACAGGACATGGTGTTCTTGCCCAACGCAGACACCCAACCCACGTAGCCTGGGGCCATTAGAGAAATGGGAAAACACCAGAAGGGGTGGAAGGAGCTGAAATGGCATTATTGTCTTTCTCTGCCTTTACCAAGTTGGGGCTCCCATACTAATCCTGCCACTCACTCAGGAAATTGAACCCCCTCACGAACTCTACGGTCCCCCTGTCTCTACAGGGGGTGAGATGGTGCAAACTGAGACCTCAGGGGTGAAGATCATCCAGAGCCCATACAACATCAAGTTCACTAGGACACCCCAGTATTTCAAGCCAGGAATGCCCTTCCACTTTCGGGTCAGAGTCTGGACTCACTACAACCAGGGACTCAGGGCCCCCTCCCCAAAACAGACCTCCCACAAGGAGACAAAAACCCACACTGGACTCACCTGTATCCAACTCATCTGAAAGTTGAATTCATCATGTTCCCCAGACTAATCCCAGAGTCCCCCCAAGCCTTAACCCAGGTACCCTCAAAGCACAGTGATGGCTCCAGAATTTCTCTATGGAGAAATTACCTTCATCACCTCTATTAGAGGCCACAATCAGGCTGGAAGGTGGTGTTTGAGGCTTTATCTAAGAGGCTGCATTTGCACGGTAAAGCATGTTCTTTTCACATGTTAATTTGAATGGGCATTGGGAAAGCCAGGAATATCCTTTGGCGTCAGTCCTACTTCACGTTTCCTGCAGGCTCTCCGTGCGTCCTCCGTCCCTCCACTCTGTCTTTCCACTCACCATCGGCTCCCAGACACCCAGGGTAACCACGTGTGGTTGTCCACTGCAAAGCTCTAGGGGGCGCCATTCATAAAAACTCTAATACGAATGGTGCCCCTGGTGCTTAGTGCATCACTTATATAGTTGTACAAAGCAATCCTCCTTATAGCCGGGCGCAGTGGCTCAGTCCTGTAATCCCAGCACTTTGGGAGGCCGAGGCGGGTGGATCATGAGGTCAAGAGATCGAGACCATCCTGGTCAACATGGTGAAACCCTGTCTCTACTAAAAATACAAAAAATTAGCTGGGCATGGTGGCGCGTGCCTGTAATCCCAGCTACTCAGGAGGCTGAGGCAGGAGAATTGACTGAACCCAGGAGGCGGAGGTTGAGGTGAGCCGAGGTCACGCCATTGCACTCCAGCCTGGGTAACAAGAGCGAAACTCCGTCTCAAAAAAAAAAAACCAATCCCACTCAGATCACGTTCCAGTCTCACCTCTCACACCGGGCCACCCCAGGCTTTTTCTTCACCTTACCCCAGATTCCACCCCAGGTCTTCGTCTCAAATCCTGATGGATCCCCGGCTTCCAGAGTCCTTGTCCACTCCCCAAACCAAAAAGTGTATACCTCGACTGAGGGTTTGGCCACTCTGACCGTCAACACAGATGGAAATATGGACAAGCTCCCCGTCCAGGTACCAACTTGACAAGGCAAGGAGGGCGGGTTGGAGCTGTGTGAGCTGGAAGAGTTGGGGTCTACTTGCCCATCACCTTCCCCAGGTGAAAACTGAACAATCTCTTCGGCCAGAAGAGCAGGCTTCAGCCAGGATGACAGCTTGGCCTTACTTGACTCAGGATTCGTTAGGGAACTTCCTACACATCGAAGTAAAGACACTGGATACAGAGGTTGGCAGCAGCATCCAGCTGAGCCTCAACACAAGGCACCAGAACCCTGAAACCAAGAACAGGATCACTCACTTCACCATCCTGGTGAGGGACTGGGACCAGGATCTGAGTCAAGGAATTCTTTCCTTGGAAAAACCTTGACTTGCTGGGTTGGAGAAACTATGAAAAAATATATGACGATGGGAAAATCTTGAGTGGGCTCAGATCAAGAGGCTGAAGCAAAGAGACTATGGGCCTCCACTGTGGGCTGGGACAGCTTCCGGGAAAGACTGAAGCTGCCCTACCTTTCTCATCCTTGGTCTAACCTTGTCTCCAAGGTCCTGAGTAAGGGCCAGACTGTGAGTGCTACACATCAGCTAAAAGCCCAGGAGAGTGTCTACACGTCAGCCACTATTGATGTGACTTCAGAGATGCTGCCCTCCTTCCGCATTCTGGCCTTTTATTTACTTCCCAGAGGAGGAAGCCAGAACCCTGAGCTGGTGGCTGATTCCATATGGATTGATGTGAATGATGCATGGGGACGGTAAGACAAACTCCTGACAGTTTGTGCACCAGCATCATAAAGCCCCACGAAGGGTCTGTACAAGTGTAGGCATTCCCAAACCGGAAGCCAGGGGAGAGAGGGGGAATATCTGGCCTAAAGAGCTCAACACAAAGTACAGTGATGATGCTGGAAAATAAATACAGAGTTGGGATTAGCCTAGTGGAGCTCCCAGATGCTCCATCAGCGCAGCAGGGGACATAAACTTGAATGTGGACTTGTACCGTCTATGATTACCTTTTCCTGACATCTCTCTTTTTCTTGGTTCAGCTGAAAGTTGGCTTGAAGAATGAGGGATTATTCCAGCCTGTGGAGCCCAACAGCCTAGTGGAACTGAAGGTGACAGGTGATGCAGAAGCCACAGTGGGGCTGGTGGCTGTGGACAAGGCTGTCTATGCCTTGAACAGCAAACACAAGCTCACTCAGAAGAAGGTAAGAGCATGTGGTCTTTGGGCCAAGATATTGCCAGGATGTTCTAGCTGCAGCCTCAGCTTCTTCAGCCATAAAGAGGACAGCATCAGTGTAAGGACTCAAGGGGACGGTGCAGAGTCTAATGACTGAAAGGTGATAAGAGCTCAAAAAATGGGAGATAGTATGAGAATTATTATTTGAGCCTGCAATTCCCATTCACCACTGCTCCTTTCATTTAGGAGTCATGGAGATCTCACATCCAGGCTCCTCTCTTGTCCTCTAGGTCTGGGATGTCGTGGAAGAACATGACATTGGCTGCCCAGCACGAAGTGGGAAAGACAGATTTGCTGTGTTCAAGGATGCTGGATTGGACCTGAAAATCAGCACAGGAATGGATAGCCTGGCAAGCTCAGGTACAGGCTTGGAGGGGTGGACAGGAGGAGGGCAGGAATGGGGGCAGTGCTGCCTAGTGGGGTTTAGTGTCAAACAGATATGGGCTGTAATCCAGATCCTGTCACTTACCATGGGCTAGTCACATTTCTCTCTGAGTCTTGATTTCCTTGTCCATAAAATGGAGATAATCATTGTCAAAGATACAGACTAACAGTAGGTTAACCAGGTCGTTTATTTCTCATTCAGTAACACTGGGAAGGTCATCCTGGGACTCAGACTCCTTACAGGAGTCCATCCGTGCCAGGCAGCAGGGTGAAGGGAAGTGGGAAGGGGAGGACACTTCCACATCTCACTGGACAGAATTCAGTCACGTGGCCCCATCTAAGTGCAAGAGAGGCTAGGAAATGTAGTCTTTTTCTGAGTGATCTATACAAGATGGAGGCTTAGTTGCCACAGATGAGGGATGATAAAGATTTGGAGACAACTGAGAGTGTCTTCTCTCAGTATAAATAGTAATATTCATAACAGTTCTTATTCATTACATGCCAGACTCAGTGCTAAGTACTTGTACATGCATGATCTCATTGATAGAACTATGATTATGCCCATTTTATGTCACTGGGGAAATTAGCACCCAGAGAGGTTAAGTGACTTTCTGAAAAGCTCCCAGCTTTTAAGCAACAGTCTTGAATATAGGAGGCTATCAGGTGAAATTAAGTGATACATATAAAGCACTGGACACACAGCAAACACCCAATGAACATAATCAAGAATGTTGGTAATGATCTTGGCAATCGTTCTATCATCATTCCCTCTGCTCCCCAGATTGGCCCTGCCCCCGGGACCTTCCTCCCAGCCGCCATCACTGCTCCCTGAAGAGGATGGAGACAAAGAGGCAGGTCAGTGTCAAAGCTGCATGTCTCCCTCCATCTCCCCAACCTACTGTATCCATCAGGGCTTAGAATAGGACACCCAAAGCACTCTAGGTATTTCTAGCAGAGAGGGATCTAATGGGGGGAGTTTGGTTCTTATGAAATCATTAGATGGGCTATTGGGGTGGACGTTGGAAGGCTGCTTGCTGGGACTCAAGATAACCCCATGTCAGTCTTGCAATCCATGAAATATCAAGAAACTGCTGCCAATATCTCTCATAAGGCTGGTAGGTTGATAATGAAACATGGACTCATGCCCATTGCAAAAACACCCACAGACTGGAGCCCACCCATCAGCTACCACTGCTGCGGGAAAAACGGTTTCTGCTTCTCTTCTATCTCCCAGATCTCTCGTGAGAGCATCTCAGTGGCTGCATCTAATCCCATTCAGAACCCCAGCAGCAAGGCAGTATGGGGAATGTAGTTTTCAGATGTCTAGCCTCTGTGGTACAGGAAGGAATGCAGACAAAAGGAGAAAGAGGTCTTGAGTGTCATTGGACAATATCTAAACTGCCATCCTGAAGACTAGAGTGTGAACCAGAAGAAGGGGTTTTGAGCCTGGAGTCAGGGGAAGATGGGAGGCAGCACTGGGTGGTGTTAGAGGCATGGAATCTGAGGCTGGCACGGTGGCTCACTCCTGTAAACTCGGCACTTTGGGAGGCCAAGAGTAGGTGGATCACTTGAGATCAGGAGTTCGAGACCAGCCTGGCCAACATGGTGAAACACTGTCTCTACTAAAAATACAAAAATGAGCAGGGTGTGGTGGTGGGCACCTGTAATCCCAGCTACATGGGAAGTTTAGGCATGAGAATCGCTTGAACCTGAGAGGCAGAAGTTGTAGTGATCTGAGATTGCACCACTGTGCTCCAGCCTGGGTGACAGAGCAAGACTTCATCTCTTTTTTTTTTTTCTTTTTTTGAGATGGAGTTTCGCTCTTGTTACCCAGGCTGGAGTGCAATGGCGTGATCTCGGCTCACTGCAACCTCCGCCCCCTGGGTTCAGGCAATTCTCCTGCCTTAGCCTCCTGAGTAGCTGGGATTACAGGCACATGCCACCGTGCCCAGCTAATTTTTTGTATTTTTAGTAGAGACGGGGTTTCACCATGTTGACCAGAATGGTCTCGATCTCTTGACCTCGTGATCCACCCGCCTCGGCCTCCCAAAGTGCTGGGATTACAGGATTGAGCCACCGCGCCTGGCCAATCTCTTTTTTTTTTAAAGATGGGGTTTCACCCTGATGGCCAGGCTGGTTTTGAACTCCTGACCTCAGGTGATCCACCCACCTCAGCCTCCCAAAGTGCTAGGATTACAGGTTTTAGCCACCACGCTTGGCCGCAAGACTTCATCTCAAAAAAAAAAAAAAAAAAAAGCAGTATGGATTCTGGTCCCAGCTCAGCCACTTGGAAGCCTTGACTTTAGGCAAATGAACTCACCTTTCTGTGGCTCAGCTTCCTTGTCAGAAGCTCACCATGTGAGTTCAATATGAGGCTTCAGAAAGAGCACAGGTAAGGCACTAGACATAGCATCTGCCACAGGGTTATCGCTAAATAACGGCAAGGTGTGCATAGCATCAAGGTGAATGGGTCCTAGCTTCTTAGATCCTGCCCAACCCTTCCTCTTTCCCTCTATCCCGCAGTGAACAAGTTTAACACAGAGCTGGAGCAAAGGTGCTGTAAGGCTGGGCTCCAGGAGAGCCCGGTGGGGCTGTCCTGTGAGGAGAGAACCTGGCATGTCCGCCACGGTCCAGCCTGTGTGGCTGCTTTCCTGGACTGCTGCCATCTGTCTGAGACCCTGACTCGGGAGGCTCGAGAGGATCAGCTGCTTCTGGGGACAAGTGAGGGGGCCATGGCAGGAGATGCAGGGTGGGAGTTTTGTGGAGGGATATAGAGTGACACAGGACAGGCTAAGGGGTGATACGGGCCGTGGGGGATTGGAGAAGAGGACCCCACAAGGATTCTGGTGGAACATGGAAGAAACATGAAGGAGACTCTGCCTCACACCTGCTCCCTGCAGCGGATGAAGAGGAGGACTTGGATGATCTCTTTGAGGATGACATGCCTGTACGGACCCTGTTCCCCGAGAGTTGGCTCTGGAGGAAGTTCACTCTGCCAAAGACTGACTCGGGGCAGGACATCAGCCCCCATGCCAGAATCTGGTCCCGGGTCCTTGCCATCATCAGTGGATGCTGGTCAGGGACAGTGACCCCAGCAGTGACGTTGAGCCTCAGGACAGTCCCACAATGGGGAAAATATCTTAACGGGTTCCCTAAAAAGATGATGACCCTCTGGTGATGTTGTCACTAATGAGATGACCTGATGATTCTCAATAGTGACCATAACCCCTGCATGGTGATCCCAACCCAGAGATTCTGTCCATGCAGCACAAACTCAATGACGCCCCCTCGCTCCCAGCAGCATCTCCCACTACCCCATCTCTGTGAACATGCCGGATTCCATCACCACGTGGCAGTTTGTGGCGGTCAGCCTCAAGGCTGGTCAAGGTGATCCCCAGCAAGCCCAGTGCTAAGGGAATGTGGGTATGGAGACCCTACCCAGCCCCTCTCCCCAACCCAGCCTGTGCTTGAACCCAGTGTGCTCTCCTGGCTGTAGGTCTCTGTGTCTCAGACCCCTTTGAGCTGACAGTTATGAAATCCTTCTTTGTGGACCTTAAGTTGCCCCACTCCGTGATCAGGAATGAGCAGGTGCAGATCCAAGCCGTGTTGCACAATTTCAGGAATCATCAGGCCAAGGTGAATCCCCTGAGCCCTCAACTTCCTGCCAAAATCTCTGCTAGCATGTATTTTATTTTATGCTTAAATTATTTTTATTTGTTTATTAGATGGAGTCTTGCTCTGTTGTCCAGGATGGAATGTAGTGGTGTGATCTCGGCTCACTGCAACCTCCACCTCTAGGGTTCAAGTGATTCTCCTACCTCAGCCTTCCAAGTAGCTGGAACTACAGGCATGCACCACCATGCCCAGTTGATTTTTGTATTTTTAATAGAGACAGGGTTTCACCATGTCAGCCAGGCTGGTCTCGAAACTCTGACCTCAAGTGATCTGCCTGCCTCAGCCTCCCAAAGTGCTGGGATTACAGGGTGAGCCACTGTGCCCAGCCTATTTTTTTAAATTTATTTTTTGAGATGGAGTTTTCTCTGTTACCCAGGCTGGAGTGCAGTGGTGTGATCTCAGTTCAACCTCCGTCTCCCGGGTTCAAGCAATTCTCCTACCTCAACCTCCTGAGTAGCTGGGACTACAGGCGCCCACCACCACACCTGGGTAATTTTTGTATTTTTAGTAGAGACAGGGTTTTGCCGTGTTGGCCAGGCTGATCTCAAACTCCTGACCTCAAGTGATCCACCTGCCTCGGCCTCCCAAAGTGCTGGGATTACAGGTGTGAACCACTGCACCCAGGCTATTTTATTTTATTTTTGGAAACAGAGTCTTGCTCTGTTGCCCAGGCTAGAGTGCAGTAGCGCGATCTCAGCTCGCTGCAACCTCACCTCACAGGTTCAAGTGATTCTTGTGCCTCAGCCTCCCCAGTAGCTGGGGTCTCAGATGTGTGCCACCACGCCTAGCTAATTTTTAGTATTTTGAGCAGAGACAGAATTTTGCTGGTTGCCCAGGGTGGTCTCAAACTCCTGAGCTCAGGCAATCCACCCTCCTTGGCCTCCCAAAGTGTTAGGATTACAGGCGGGAGCCACCATACCCAGCCTGTTAGTGTGTTTTAGAAAAGGAAGTTGGGTGTATTTATTATTCCCATGGGTCAGTAAAGTGGAGGCTGTTTTGGAAAATCTAAAATATTCTCTTATTTAACTAGGCATATTGGTGCACACCTGTATTTCAGCTACTTGAGAGGCTGAGGTAGGAGGATGGCTTGAGCCCAGGAGATTAAGGTTGCAGTGACCTGTGATTGCACCACTGCACTCCAGCCTGGGTGACAGAGTGAGACCTTGTCTCTACAGAAAGTAATTTTAAGAAGATTAGTTAGCCAGGCTTGATGGAATGCACCTGTGGTCCCAGCTACTCAGGAAGCTAAAGCAGGAGGATCGCTTGACCCCAGGAGTTCCAGGCTGCACTGAGTCCTATTTGTGCCACTCCACTCCAATCTGGGTGATACAGCAAGATAAAGGAAGAGAGGAAGGAAGGGAGGGAGGGAGGGAGGGAGGGAGGGATTAATTTAAACCTCACGACAACCCCATCAGATGGGTACTATTATTGTTCTTGGTTTAGAGATAAGGAAATTAAAGCACAGAGAGGTTAAAGTGCTTGCCTGGAGTCACACAGCACATAAATGGCAGATGGGGCTCTGACTCAGGCTGGGTCTGTGGTCCCCATCACTAGGCTTCACTGTCACCTACTTGGGCATCTCAGGGCAGGGAGGGGACTGTGACACTAGAGTCCTGGACCACGCCATGCATTGATACCCCCTCCCTTTGCCCATTCTGCTCTAGGTCCGAGTGGAGTTCCCCCACAGGGAGCCACTGTGCAGCGCATCAAAGCCAGGAGCACCATCCCGCCAGGTGGTGGTCATGCCCCCCACCTCCTCCAAGATGGTACCCTTTGTTCTTCTCCCTCTGGAGATAGGCAAAGTGGACGTGGAGGTCAAGGCTGTGGGCTATGGGATCCAGGACCACGTGAAGAAGACACTCTTGGTCCGGGTAATGGGCACCCCCAGCTCCCTAGCTGTTGGTGCAGACAGCAGGGCTTCCACCAGGTCCAGGCTGTGTGATCGTGGATGGGGCAGGTGGGCCCAGGATGGATAAACAGGGCTCCTAGATGGGAGTGAGGTGAGAGAGAACGGATCTGACAGTTCAGTTGGTCGGCCAAGCACAGTGGTTTACACCAGTAATCTCAGTTTAGGAGACCGAGGCGGGTAGATCATCTGAGGTCAGGAGTTTGAGACCAGCCTGGCCAACATGGTGAAACCCCATCTCTACTAAAAATACAAAATTAACTGGGCGTGGTAATGCACACCTGTAGTCCCAGCTACTCCGGAGGCTGAGGCAGGAGAATCACTTGAACCTGGGAAGTGGAGGATGCAAAGAGCCAAGATGGCACCACTGCACTCCAGCCTGGGTGACAGAGTGAGGCTCTGTCTTAAAAAAAAAAACACAAAGAAAAAAAGTTTAGTCAGTGGACTGATGGGAGGGGCTCACAAGACCCCACTTCAAAGGAGTCAGGCCTGGGATCAAATCTTGTCTCTGCTTTGTGACCTTGGGCAACTTACTTAACTTCTGTGTTCTGAGCCTCCCTTTCTTTGTTTGCGGGATGAGGGTAATTTTCATACCAGCGAATAATCAGAGTTGCAAAAATGACCATAACCAGTGTATGGTCCATCAAAAATACTTTATTAGGCTGGGTGTGGTGGCTCATGCCTGTAATCCTAGCACTTTGGGGGGCCAAGGCAGGTGAATCATGAGGTCAGGAGTTCAAGACTAGCCTGGCCAACATACTGAAACCCCATCTCTACTAAAAATACAAAAAATTAGCTGGGTATGGTGGTGGGTGCCTGTAATCCCAGCTACTAGGGAGGCTGAGGCATGAGAATCACTTGAACCCAGGAGACAGAGGTTGCAGTGAGGCCAAGATCACGCCACTGCACTCCGGCCCGGGCGGCAGAGCAAGACTCTGTCTGAAAAAAATAAAACAGAAACTCATGAAAGGATAAACAGACTTTTGTATATCCTTATAAAGGAAGGAAATTCTGACACACGGGTGAGTACTGAGAACACCAAGCTGAGTGAAATAAACCAGATAGAAAATTCCACTTATCTGAGAGGCCTAAAGTAGTCAAATCCACGGAGGTGAAAAGTCACACAGTGGGCACCCGGGGTGGAGGGAGGACGGAATGGGGAATCTGTGTTTCAAAGGGACAGAGTTTTGGTCTGGGAAGTGGATGAAGTTCTGGAGATTGACAGCGGTGAGGGTTGCACCCCAATGTGAATGTACCTAAGGCCGCTGATCTGTACACTTATAAATGGTTAAAGTGGTAGTTACTATTTTTTTGGAGACAGTCTCGCTCTGTCACCCAGGCTAGAGTGCAGTGGCACAATCTCAGCTCACTGCAACCTCTGCCTCCTGGGTTCAGGCAATTCTCCTGCCTCAGCCTCCAGAGTGGCCACAGGCGTGTGCCACTATGCCCAGCTGATTTTTGTATTTTTAGTAGAGATGGGGTTTTTCCACGTGGGTCAGGATGGTCTCAAACTCCCAACCTCAGGTGATCCTCCCGCCTTAGTCTCCCAAAGTGCTGGGATTATAGGCGTGAGCCACCATGCCCGGCCAAAATGGTAAGTTTTGTAGTGCACATATTTTACCACAATTTTATTTTTATTATTATTTTTTCTGAGACAAAGTTTCGCTGTTGTTACCCAGACTGGAGTGCAATGGCACGATCTCGGCTCACCGCAACCTCCGCCTTCTGGGTTCAAGCAATTCTCCTGCCTCAGCCTCCCGAGTAGCTGGGACTACAGGCACGCACCACCATGCCCAGCTAATTTTTGTATTTTTAGTAGAGACGGGGTTTCACCTTGTTGACCAGGATGGTTTCAATCTATTGACCTCGTGATCTACCCGGGTTGGCCTCCCAAAGTGCTGGGATTATAGGCGTGAGCCACCGAGCCCGGCCTTTACCACAATTTTAAAACAGACATGGAGAGTTTTAGTTTAAACAAACTGAATATAGGCCAGGCACAATGACTCATGCCTGTAATCCTAGCACTTTGGGTGACCGAGACAGGTGCATCACCTCAGGTCAGGAGTTCAAGACCAGTTTGGCCAACATGACTAAACCCCATCTCTACTAAAAATACAAAAATTAGCTAGGCACGGTGGTAGGTGCCTGTAATCCCAGCTACTCAGGAGGCTGAGGCAGGAGAATTGCTTGAACCCAGAAGGTGAAGGTTGCAGTGAGCCAAGACTGCCCCACTGCACTTCAGCCTGGGTGACAGAGTGAGACTCTGTCTCAAAACAAAAAACACGCAACTGAATATATACTTAAAAAACTTTTTTTCACTAAAAGCATCATACGATATGAATTAATGTGAACTTTACTTGTTACCTTTAATCATGTATACCTTGGAGGATTTTTTTTTCTTTTTTGAGACAGGGTCTTGCTCTGCTGTCTCAGCCTCCTGAGTAGCTGAGATTACAGGCACACTCTACTACACCCAGCTAATTTTTTGTACTTTTAGTAGAGACGCAAGGTGGTGCACGCCTATAATCCCAGCTACTCAGGAGGCTGAGGCAGGAGAATTGCTTGAACTGGGGAGGTGGAGGTTGCAGTGAGCCGAGATCACACCAGTGCATTCCAGCCTGGGTGACAGAGCGAGACTCCATCTCAAAAAAAAAAAAAAAGTTTGGACTTACTCTATTTATTTATTTAATTTTGAAATGTTTCCTAGCTGGAGTCTTGTTCTGTCACCCAGGCTGGAGTGCAATGCGCAGTCTCGGCTCACTTGTCCCACCTCAGCCTCCCAGCCTTACTCTTATGTTGTGGAATTATTATTATTGTTATTACACTTTTAAATTTCAAGACCCAGTAACAAAGGACGTACTGATAGCACAGTGGCTCACACATGTAACCCCAACACCGGGAGGTGAAGCCAAGCAAATCACTTGACGCCAGGATTTTGAGACCAGCCTGGGCAGCACAGCAAAACCCCTTCCCTACAAATAATTTCAAAAGTAGCCCAGTGTGGTAGCATGCCCCTGCAGTCTCAGCTACTCAGGAGGTTGAGGTGGGAGGATCCCTCGCATCCAGGAGTTGGAGGCTGCAGTGAGCTATGACTGCACCATTGCACTTCAGCCTGCTGAGAGAGACAGACCCCATCTCAAATAAATAAATAGATAAAGGACATACCCACACTGATTCTGTTAAAACACAAAGATGGCTGGGCACGGTGGCTCACGCCTATAATCCCAGCACTTTGGGAGGCTGAGGCGGGCAGAACATGAGGTCAAGAGATCAAGACCATCCTGGCCAACATGATGAAACTCGTCTCTACTAAAAACGCAAAAATTAGCCGGGCGTGGTGGCACGCACCTGTAGTCCCAGCTACTGGAGAGGCTGAGGCAGGAGAATCACTTGAATCCAGGAGGCAGAGGTTATAGTGAGCCTAGATAGCGCCACTGCCCTCCGGCCTGGAGGCAGAGCGAGGCTCCTTCTTCAAAAGCAAAAACAACAACAACAAACAAACAAACAAACCAGAACCAAAAGGTACAAAGGTAAAGTCAATCCTCTTTGCAAAACTCCCCAGTGGCTTCTCCTCCTATTTAGACTTTTTTTTTTTGAAACAGGATCTTGCTCTGTCATCAGATTGGAGTGTAGTGATGCAGCCTCAACCTGCTAGTCTCAGAAGACCTTCCCACCTCAGCCTCCTGAGTAGCTGGAACCCCAGGTGCACGTCACCACGCCTAGCTAACTTTTAATAAACTTTTTGTAGAGAGGGAGGTCTCACTATGTTGCCCAGGCTGGTATTAAACTCTTGGTCGGCTTTGCAGATGCCACCGCCGCCTGGAGCCTTGTAGTATCAGCCATGGTCAACCCCACCGTGTTCTTCGACATTGCCGTCGACGGCGAACCCTTGGGCCGCGTCTCTTTGAACTGTTTGCAGACAAGATTCCAAAGACAGCAGAAAACTTTCGTGCTCTGAGCACTGGAAAGAAAGGATTTGGTTATAAGGGTTCCTGGTTTCACAGAATTATTCCAGGGTTTATGTGTCAGGGTGGTGACTTCACACACCATAACGGCACTGGTGGCAAGTCCATCTACGGGGAGAAATTTGATGACGAGAACTTCATCCTGAAGCATGCAGGTCCCGGCATCTTGTCCATGGCAAATGCTGGACCCAACACAAACGGTTCCCAGGTTTTCATCTGCACTGCCAAGACTGCGTGGTTGGACGGCGAGCATGAGGTCTCTGGCCAGGTGAAAGAGGCATGAGTACTGTGGACGCCATGGAGCGCTCTGGGTCCAGGAATGACGAGACCAGCAAGAAGATCACCATTGCTGACTGTGGATGACTTTCATACGTTTGACTTGTGTTTTATCTTAACCACCAGACCGTTCCTTCTGTAGCTCAGGAGAGCGCCCTCCACCCCATCTGCTCGCAGTTTCCTAGAATCTGTGCTCTCGCTGCAGTTCCCTTTGGGTTCCACGCTTTCCTTGTTCCCTTCCATGCCTAGCTGGATCGCAGAGTTAGGTTTATGATTATGTAATAAAGACTAATAAAATAAATAAATAACTCTTGGTCTCAAGCAATCCTTCTGCCTTGTCGTCCCAAAGGGCTGGGATTGCAGGTGTGAGCCGCCGTGCCCGGCCTGTTTTCCCTCTTATTCAGACTCAGATCAAAACTACACCATCTGACCACTGAACATTTGTCTCAAATTATCTCCCACTTTTCCCCCATCCCCCACTCATTCCAGCAACACTGGCCTCTTTGCTGTGCCATTTCGTCTGTCTGTCTTTCACTCTTTTTTAGAGACAGGGTCTCTCTCTGTCACCCAGGCTGGTGTGCAGTGGCACAATCATAGTTCACAGCAACCTCAAACTCCTGGACTCGAGTGATCCTCCAGCCTTGGCCTCCTAAAGTGCTTGTCTCACAGGTATGAGCCACCATGCCTGGCCTCCTTGCTGTTTCCTCTTCATAGAATGTTTTCC